ATTTTCTTATAATTAACACAGTAAATTGAATATTAATAATAATGATATTCCACTAATGTGTAAATAGTCCAGCCACATTCAAGGTATTTTTATTAAAAATTGGCATCACATTAATCAAATCAAATGGAATCAAATCACAGTGATATTTTGGGATTTCATCATGCACTGAACCATTGTTTAAAGACTTGAACCGAAACAAAACAAATTGTTGTGAGGTCAGAGATTTACACCACTGATTATTATTATTATTATTATTGTTGTTGTATTTATTAAACTCTCTCTCTCTGTTTTCCTCTCAGCTAACTCGGTGTCGTGCTGTGAGCGTCTGCAGAAGGAGAAGGAGGAGGTGTGCGTGGCGTTGGAGGCGGCGGTTTTGAAGCTCCAGCAGCAGCACCAGGCTGAGCTGACTCAGCTGGAGGAGACGCTCAGGGACTTCTACTCAGCAGAATGGGACAAAACCCACCAGGCCTACCAGGAGGAGGCCGACAAGTGCAGGGCGTTCATGCAGCAGCAGGTGGGACACGTCCCAAATCAACACATACTGCACTACGCTACAGTCTCTGTGGAACCTGTTCATCATAATAGCTTTATGCCAGATGAAATCTTTCAAAAAATACTGTTAATTACATGATTTTCAGATTTTAGTCATATTTTATAGATTTCATTGGATTAATCAGCCCAAATTGTGTCCACTGGAGATCAGCTGAAGTCCCTATAGGAAAGTCTGTCCACTTGGCGGCTTAGCAATCGAATGTAATTTGCAGTCACAAGGCTCCTCTACTTGAATGGGAGAGACCTATAAATGAATAAAGCCTGAATTGATAGATAGCTACGTTAACATTTCAAAAAAAGATTTGAACTCATTGATAAAATCTGCATAAATAGTTTGTAGCACACACAAAAAAAATCAGGTTGTTTCAGCTACTATCTATGCTTATATCCCCAAAAAGAGGGGGGATATTACCCTCATATGCCCTTAGCAAAAAGTTGATTGGCTTTTTTTTAGGGTAGGACTTCTCATGACACACTGTCAGTGTTATAAGCTATCCGTAACTGCGCTGTTTCCACCGTAACTCCCCAATTCGTAGCCCAGTGAAACTCTGCTGTTGCGGAAGTCCCCAGATCATGGGCAAGTTGAACTCCACAGTCACAGTGCAAAGATCATGGCCCAATCAAACTCCTCTGTCACAGTGCAAAAAGTCATGGCTCAGTCAAATCCACTGATGCAGTGCAAAGTCCCCAGATTGTGGCCCAGTCAAACTCCACTGTTGCAGTGCAAACATTGCGGCCCAGTCATACTCCACTGTCATGGTGCAAAGATCATGGCCCAGTCAAACTCCACTGTCGTGGTTCAAAGATCTCAGCCCAGTCAAAATCCACTGTCATGGTGCAAAGTCCCCAGGTCGTGGCCCAGTCAAACTCCACTGTTGCAGTGCAAAGATCGTGGCCCAGTCAAACTTGTTTGTCACAGTGCAAAGATCACTGCCCAGTCAAAATCCACTGTCGTGGTGTAAAGTCCCCAGATTGTGGCTCAGTCAAACTCCACTGTCATGGTGCCCTCAGCTCTCTGTATAGCTAACAGGTCATTATTATTATTATTATTATTATTATTATTATTATCTATGTGGTTCAGTCATGGTGGATTCATTTGTACTTCCAACTTCAAACTCCTTTGATGTGGTACAAAGTCCCCAGCTTGTGTCACAGTTGGCTAACAGCTAACAGCTCTATATTATTATCCTGTGTGGTTCAGTTATGGTGGATTAGTTCCTAATGACAGACTGTACGTCTTTATGGGTAGGCAGTGATATGACTAAAGATAGTGAGTTACTGAGAATGCAGTGTTCCCGCTGTCACACAGGGTGCTCATTAAAGCAGGTGAAAACGTATCATTGTTGTTAAGGCATCATCTGCAGTTTTACAAGTTGTTTTCGATGTTTATTAGTTTATGGAGCGGCTGTTTTGGAGACTGTTTGTACTGTGTACTGTAGTCTCGGCTGCTCAGTCGTCTGTTCGAGTCTATGATCCACAACGATTCTACTTTCAAACTTCAGCTGTGATTGAAAAAGGCTCTTAACCTTTAGTGGTTATAGAGTTATTACTGTGATCTTGCTGAAATGTAATTACATGCTAACATATTTAATCATATATCTACCAAATGAAGAAGTTTTACATCTGATTTGGATTCTATGTTTACTATATAAACCGTTTTAAGCAGTTTTAACAATGACAAACATGGCAAAAATGTAAAGGATGTTTTTTTCTTTTCACAAAACAAAACTGCACACAGAACAATAACGCTAATAAAATATCTCCCCTTCAGTTTACAGACACAGATGTGGAACAGATTGAGCTGGAGTGAACCATTACTAATACTAAAATAAATATGAAGTATATACAACATGCTTAAAAGCGATTTCTATAGATTACTGAAGCTCATTGATTGATTTGCTGTCGTACCCTCGGACAGGTGGAGGAGGTGAGGAGCAAACAGGAAGCTCTGAGGAAAGAACAGGAAGCAGCACATGCTCAGGAGATGGAGGCACTGAAGGAGGAATACGAGACGGCACTAACAGGTGAACATTAGTTTACAGCACATCCCTCTCTGTCCATCTCTGTATCTCTATATCTCTGTATCTCTCTCTCTCTCTCTCTCTCTTCATATGTATACACACACACACACACACACAAACACACACACACACATATATATATATCTTAAATCTGCTTTTCTCTCTGGAAAAATTAAATTCAATTAAAGTTCAATTTGAAATTTTATTTTATTCTATTGCATTTCATTCTGTTCTGTTCCACTGCATTCTGTATTCTATTCTATTCTATCTCATTCTATTCTTTTCTATTCTATTCCTTTTCGTTCTAGTATTATTCTATTCTGTTTCCTTCCATTCTGTTTTATTCTATTGTATTCTAATGCTTCATTTCATTCTATTCATTTAATTCTATTCTAATAGAATTATATTTAATAGAAATATTGCATTTCATTCTGTTCTGTTCCACTGCATTCTATTCTATTCTATTCCTTTTCATTCTAGTGTTATTCTATTCTATTTGATTTCATTCTAATGTTGTTCTTTTCTATTTCATTTCATTCTATTCTATTCTAATCTGTTTCATTTCATTCTGTTTCATATCATTCTTTTCTATCCTATTTCATTCTAATCTATTCTAATTCATTTCATTTTATTCTCTTCTATTCTATTCCTTTGCATTCCAGTCTGTACTGTTCTGGTCTGTTCTTTTCTATTTTATTCTGTTGTATTCTCTTATATTTTGTTCAGTCTGTTTCATGCAATTCTGTTTTATTTTATCTTTTTTCCAGTTTGCTAGTGTCTCCGTGTGAAGTAGACATGGGCAATACAGCCAAAAGTCTTATTAAAAGATATTTTTCTACATTATTTGCTCCAGCTACTCCTTTAACCCAGAAGGATAAGCGGTGTAGATAATGTGTATTTGATCTTGATATCAAACTGATCTTGATAATATTGATCATTATTATATACATTATACATTATAAACACTGTATAAATGCATACTGCTCAATGTGGAGACTAATGAATAATATTCTGACCTGCGAAGGAAACATAAGATAATCATATTGAAACGTGAGCTTTTGAGCTTATGAAAGGTGCTATTTACAAAAAAACATGTTCTTTACTATAATTAAAAAACCTTATCTTACATCCGATTTAAGAAAAACAAATCAGTTCCGCACCTCAAAGAACGAGTGGTCTTTTATTTACTTTTTCACTCTCTATGAATTCAACACTGTAAACAGCTAACACTAGCTAACTCTGCTAACTGTCCCACTGGTTAGAGCTGTCATGAGTGAATGGCTAGACTTCTTCTCCCTCCCTGTCTAGGGATTAACTTAGTGTGGACTTGTGGTCTAATCTTGCAGACGCTTTGAAATATCTATCAACATGTGTCCAGTTGCCTTGACTCACTGCTATACTAAACACTTTCTGAAGTTTCATCTGCCTCATTTAAACAATTCAGAGCAATCGGACTAATTGTGATTTTTGTTCTTCGTTTTTTTTTTAACCCAGATCTCAGGAACGCCCATAAGAACAACATGCAGGAACTGGAAAATATGCGCAAACAATCAGAGGCTTCAATGAACGTAAGCACTGGGCATTTCACACACATATGTTAATGCATATAACTATAAAAATATGAGATCTGCTGACTTTGCATCTTAATACAACCTGTCATATCATAAAACTCCTTACTTTACTTGTTTTATTTCTATGTTTCTCAGGCGAAGATTGAGAGCCTGATGGAGGAGAACGAAGCTCTGAGCGCCAAACTGAGAGAGGAAGAGGAGAGGAGGAAGGCTCTCGCAGACAAGAGCCAGGTAAAACATTCAAAACACTGTGAAGCAGGGGTCTCAAACTAGCGGCCCACCGCAGATGTACGATTTATCCTTAAAATAATGCAATTTTTAAAAATATTTCTGTGGCTAAATATTTAATTTGATGGGTATTAGCCCCACCCACCAGATACTGTGGCTGGTTACATAAGCTGTAGCCAGGTGCAAAAGTTTGTGCACCCCTGGTCAAATTACATCCTCTACAGAAAGCACAGGTTTGCACATTTTAACTTTCTTATTTACAGAATTTAACATATAAAAAGTAGCATAAAAGGTGGCCTGTGAAGAAGTAATGGCACTTATATACATATAGCTCGCAAATGAACAGAAATTGTGCACTAAAATTTGCACAAAACTTTCACTTAGAAAATCAACAAAACATCATAGATTAAGGGTGTTCAAACTTTTGACAGTATATACAGTTACTTCTGATGTTAAAACACACAAGAATTGCTAATAAACATTGAGTAAAATGCACTTAAGTGAATGTATATGTTACTTTGGACATATTTTTCCCATATTTATAGTTTATAATATAGATAAAATATTAGATGAAAAATTGTATGTAGTTAAAATGAATACAGATATGGGACAGAATTGTTTCCTGCATTCCTACAAGACCACCTGGCTAGTGGCCAGGTAATTGAAGTTTGAGACCCCCAAACTCTCTATATGCTAGTATGGTCCCTCTCTATATGCTAGTATGGTCCCATATGGTTTCCATAGATTTAAGATGTTAAAACAGTCGTTGTTCTCTTCTCTCTGTAGAAGGACCCTCATATGGTGTACCTGGAGCAGGAGCTGGAGAGTTTGAAAGTTGTTCTGGACATTAAAACAAGTCAGCTGCACCAGCAGGACAAAAAGCTCATGCAGATGGACAAGCTGGTGAGGACACCTGCGCACACATACACATGCATGCATATGAATATAATCATAAATATACTGTCATTGCCAGAAAAAAATATTTCCTGTAATTATTTTCAGATGTAATTGTAATTTGAAAACAGCAGCAGCCAATAGAAGTGGCCCAATATTACATGGAATAAAATCATGTGTTAATGTTTCGCTCCGCTGTTGTGCAGATGGAGAGTAATGTGAAACTGGAAGAGTGTCTGAAGAAGCTGCAGCAGGAAAATGAAGACTACAAAGCTCGCATGGACAAACATGCCGCGCTTTCTAGGTACGTGCACTGAATTGTGCGTATTTGTAAGAGTGTGAGAAGTTGCAGGTGTTAAAGCGATAGTTCGGCTTGTTAATGTGTTAAATCGATGTGTTAAAGTGTTTGTTGGAAAATCTAATTTACACAATTTTCCCCACTTATCCCAGATGCAATCAATCAGCCAACACATGTTTGGTGTCTGAAGTTTGCTTCTTTAGTTTTGTACTGAAGCTACGAGGCTAATGTAGCTAACCAGTAATGAAAGCTTATACTACATGAATAACCTCAAACAGTCTGACTTAAAAACGGACGACAGTATGGACAAATTCGTGAGAACGTTGTGAAGCTTAAGCAGAGATTTTCTAACAAAGTGAGGTTACAAACTCAACAGGCTTTGGAGCTTTTCAAGCTTCCACAATTCAGTATCACACAAATTCAAAGTCTGATTACTGCCAGAAAATAAAAGCTTAAAAAAAAATCAAAGAAAGCTACTGCTGGCCATAGTGTTTATGTTGCCATGGTTACATCTAAGACCTTTTGCTGATTAGTTCTTAGGGTGGTTTTGCCAAAGTTTAGGTTCTAAACTGGTTTTAAACTGAACCGAAGTCTTTAGCTAAGCCTTTGTTGAGATCAGTCGGATATGCCAGTGATCAGCTCACTCACGATGATCACTAATGTCTTAATACACGTTAAATAAGATGCCAAAATGAAAACCATCCCACAGACATGACTGTCTGCCCAATTTACACAATGATAATGCTTTTTCAATATTTATGACTGGAATATTAGCCTGGCTGCTGTAGTGTCTGAATATATTTAAAGTAAAGTGAGTGTTTATGTTAACAGATCATAGATAATTTAAAATGTGCACCATTTTGGAGCAACCACCGTCACCCAGGTCACCTATTTTTAGGCCCGACCATGTCTTAAACCCAAGCAGGGATTCGTGCCAGTCACAGCCCATATTTGCTTTACATTTCTTTAAATCAAGCATGTCGAACTGGGGACAAATTGCTGCGGAGATTAGGGTTTACCTTCGTCTAACGCTCTGAATTCAGTTCATGAAGGCCTGATGATGAGCTGAATCAGGTGTGTTTAGTGAGGCAATGTGCTGAGGTCTGCAGTGTTTTGGCCCACGAGAACTGGAGCTGACACATGTACTTTAAAACTTTCCACCTACATTCACTCCTTGTCTCTCTGTCTCCCCCTGCAGGCAGCTGTCCACAGAGCAGGCCATGCTTCAACAGACCCTACAGATGGAATCAAAGGTCAACAAGAGGCTGTCAATGGAGAACGAAGAGCTGCTATGGAAGCTCCACAACGGTGACCTCAGCAGCCCGAGACGACTCTCGCCCTCCTCGCCCTTTCCCTCGCCCCGAAACTCCGCCTCCTTCCCCAGCGCCCCCATATCGCCCAGATAACCCTGCCCCCAAGACCCCCCAAACCACAGACTTCACCCTCAAAGCACCCCCCCCCAAAACCACTCACTTCACTGGACGTTGTTTTACCCTTTGGAATGAATTGAGTGACTTGTGTACAGTTTATAAAAGACCCGATCACCTCTCCAGAAAAAAGACAATGTTGCACAGATGCACTTCCAGAGGGAGGGACTTGCCTTTGCTCTGCCGTTCGTTTCTTTCTTTCCTTACTTTTCCCCTCTTTTGATGGAGGAAAACACCTCAGGGTTTGTATATAGACTCTCCTCCTCATGCTCTCACCACGTTTGGTTCCTGCTAGTGCTCCCTTCGTTTTCTAAAGCAGGGTTTGTGCATCATATTCATGAAGCTTAATTTGAGGCCTCCCTTTCGCTTACCTGCTCAAAACATAACCAGAGTGGGGAAGAAACCCCCGGTATGCCTGTTTTGAGAATGATGATGAAATAAAGAAGAGGAAACCTGGTAGACGTCCCATAGGAACTGTAGAGAAAGTTTTATTTAGACATCCTACTACTCAAAATCTCGAATACTGCTCCATGTACCAACCAATATAGCATGTAAATCCAAATAACCTGCCCAATCCTGATGCTCTCGAATGTATTCTGCCATCCCTAAGGCCTGTTTTTCTCCGACTGTCTGTGAACTGGAACTCTTTAAGAATGTCTCCCTCATCTCAAGCACCGTCTTTGTTTTTTTTATTTTTTATTAACACATTAAAAATACCTGAACACAAAGGCTGATGTTTCCTGCTTGTTCCTGATATTTATCACTCTGATGTCACTCTTTAGGGTGGGTACATGCGGAACTTCAGTTGCCCAACAGTAAACCGTGGACGACTGGACGACTTATAATGATTCAATGATGTTCCTGAAAACATTTGGATAAACTGCTTAACATTTATCTAATAGAAGTCATTCCTACAAGAGTGTTATTTCATATTAAAACAGTGTATTATTTCAAAAATATATGGGGCAAAATTATAGGCACCGTTAAAAATACTTTAAATAAAACCAGAGAAATTTGCATTTTGGGTGGAAAAAAATCTTTCTTTTTATTGCTTCTAGTCTCCAGGCACTCTGTTTCTTTCAGAACTGCACAGTTTCGTTAATCCCTCAAAACCCCAGGCTTATTACATATAAAGGCTTATTATTCAGTAACTACAGGGACTTCAGTGCAAACTGGTTGAGCTATTCTTAGGTCATATAAATGTGTAATAAAACTTTGGGCCCACTGACCATGTAGGGGGTTAATTCCTGAGCTTTTTGAATTTCAGAATCCACTGTTAGATGCCACCTTTATGACCAGAAGCTTCTTGGAAGCCTTTCTTAAGGACAAGCCATAAAACGCAGCACCTGAACTTTGCAAATGTCATTGGAACTACAAATGGAGTCGTGTAATGTGGCCAAATGAGACAAAAACCTTTTGATTATGCACACCGTCGTCACTTTTGGTGAAAAAAGGCACTGCATACAATGAAAAGCACTGGATACATTGCAAAAATGCTATCTTCTTATACTGATGTATGTCTGATCTTGTCTTCAGTGATTTAGTAAGTCGAATTGTCGTGCTATATTGGCAGATAATTTTACTCATTGTAAGAAATGCAAGCAAAATTATCTGTCAGTATAGTGAGATTGTTTGAATTAGTCACTTAAAACAAGCACAAACTGTCTAGAAATAAGTTAAATAATCTTACATTAAGCTTACATCATCCCCAAAAAGAAACACTAGATGTATTGACTAGAGCCACTGTTAATTATGGTGGTGGGTCACTGATGCTGTTTGCTGCTAAGCGTCCAGGGGCTCTTGTGAAAATAGCTCAGTAAACTCTTGAGAAAAAGGTGAGTTTCATATCTAACAGGTCTGTAAACAGTAAACAGCACTTTCCACTAACATCCCTGTTCACCTTTCCTTTTCGTGCAATTTTTATGAGCACTCCTGACATCTAGTGGCCAAACTAGGTATCACCATGAGGAACATGATTACAGTGAACATTGAGCCTTGATGAAAACTGCTTGCAAAGCCGTGCTGACTGAATAAGTCTCTGGCTCTCAGTTTGAGTCCTGGATACTTAACTAGAGCTGTAAGTTTGGCTGTTTGTTATTTATTTTCAAGTAATCAAACGTATTGTGCTTTTAAATACATTATTTTTTCAAAAAGCAAAATGAGTGACATTCATCATTTCTAAATGAATACTGTCTCTCTTAAATCCACAAGCAGGTGCTCAGCATAAATAAGGGTCTCCAAAAGGTCACTGGGTTTTTAACATAGGGGTCACGAGTACAGTAATAATATTAAAACTAAATATTAACTAATATGCATTCCACCCAACAAGCGCTGGGATAGGCTCCAGCACCCCCCACGACCCAGGAGAATAAGCATTTTAGATCATTTGTGTGTGTGTGTGTGTGTGTGTGTGTGTGTGTGTGTGTGTGTCCTAAATAATATATTGCTGTTGTTGGAAAAAACCTTGTATCTCCAAAATGGTAACTTTACAGGAGAAGGAAAAAACCTACTTTACTTTTAATGTAAGTCGAGACATTTTTCATTTTGGGCCGTTTCTTTTGGTCCAATACTCAAGAAATTTACACACAATATTAAGGGTGACAGGCATTTTCAAATTGTGTCAAAAACTGATTGTTGTTATTGTTGTGTCCATCAGTGTTCTTTCAATACAATTCCCAGCATGCATCACTCAAATACTTTAAGCAACCAATAGAAATCCCCCTAGGAACTCCTGACTGTGAGCATACAAAGATGATAACATCAGTTATTTTAAAATTTTTACCAACATTTTTTTATATTAGCCAGTTAGCAGCAGGGAAATATTTCAAACAGCCTTTCAAGCATTTGGTGTTTTTCAAATGTTCCTCCTACCTTCAAGATTCATCATCAGAAGGTGGTGCTCCCTAATTTATAAACAGAAAAATCTAGTTATAGATGTTACTGTGGCTCTGCTGTAGGAGGCGAGTAGGTACGTTTACAGAAGATGTATCAATAGTTACTTTGTTCATTTTGGCTGAAGTGCCCCTTTATCTGATAACAGCCTGTTGTTATGAGTGTCTATAACTACACTGTTATCTATAACGCTACATACAAAGTTAGAGCTTAACCCTCTACTGCACGCATTATGAGAGCAATTAAAAAATAAAAATAAATAAATATTCGATTCACTTTTCTTGAATAAAATGGACCTGGTTGTGTGTGCAAGGGCTTTTGGGGTATGTTGCCCGGGAAGAAATGATATAGAGCCGTGTTCCCTGAGGTGGTGAGACCTGGCTTGTGTCTATCCAAATCCATTCCACGTGTTGCTTCTAGGCAACAAACATATTTCTGCAAACTCGCATAACAAAAAAAGTGATACTGAATGTTAAAAAAAGAGGTTTAAAAGTGCTCAATAAGAGACAGTATGACCAAATACATGCTTTTTATTGACTTACTCATACTCCTCGCTTTATTGATAACCCTGTCGTTGTCTTTAAATATGTATAATGTTATCATAAAGTGAGGAAAATGGGTTTGTTGCCCTGAGGCAACATCATGCAATAGAGAGTTAAAGATGCTGTTACTACTGTTTTTATCTATGCAGTTCACATGATTTAGGTATGCAGCTAGCACGATGCTAATTGTTGGGATGTCAGCTTGCATTTCTTGTTAGCTACGTTGCTGTGAAAAAGTATTTGCTCCCTTTCTGGCTTCCTATATTCTTGTATTATTTGTCACATAGGTGCTCGTACAAAATGTAATATAAGACGAGGAGAAACACAAAACACAGTTTTTAAATGATTCCATCTATTGAAGGAGAATATTTTGCAACACTGCTGTGAAAAAGTAACTGCCCCCAAACATGATTCCTGGTTGTGCAGCAACAACATCAACCAAACGCTTCCTATAACTGGAGTTCAATCATACATTGCTGTGGAGGAATTTTGGTCTTTCATTTGAGATATTCAGTGGTAGACTTGTTCTTGTGCTTCCAATCGTTGTCTTGCTGTGTGACCCAACTGCACTTGTGCTTCAGATCACTAATGATCGGACATTCTCCCGCAGGATTTTCTGGTACAGAATAGAATTGATGGTTCCATCAATTATGGGAAATCAACCAGCGCCCCCACACCATCACACTACCACCACCATGTTTCACTGTTGGTATGATGTTCTTATTGTGGAATGCTGTGTTTGCTTTACGTCAGATGTAACAAAACCCTCGTCTTCCAAAAAATTCCACTTTTACCTCTACGGAACATTATCCAAAACACTTCGGAGTCATAGAGTTGTTTTTGGCCAGCATATGCCTTTATGTTCCTCTTGGTTAGCAGTGGTTTTGTCTTACTCTCCCATGGATACCATTTTTACCCAGTCTCTTTCTAATGGTGGAATCATGAATGCTGACCTTATCTGAGCTGAGCGAGGCCTGTAGATCCTTGGACGTTTGTCTGGGTTCTTTTATGACTTCCTGGATGAGTCGTTGATGCACTCTTGGAGGAATTTTGGTAGGGCGGCCACTTCTGGGAAGATTCACCACTGTTCCAAGTTTTCTCCATTTGCTCTTACTGTGGTTCGCTGGAGTCCTGGAGGCTTAGGAATGGCTGTGGAACTCTTTCCAGGCTGATATATTTCAATAACTTTCTTTCTCTTCTCTTTCTGGAGCTTCTTTTGATCACAGCATAGCGTGCAGCCTGTTAAGAGCTTTAGGTTTACTTTACATTGCAGAAAAGTGATTTTATTTAAGTGATGTTTAGGTTCAACAGGGCTGGCAATTGAGCCTGGATGTGTCTAGTCTAGTTCAGTGGTTCCCAACCCTAGTCTCAGAGGACTTTCTGCCCTGCAGATTTATGTGTTTTCCTGCCAAAATACACCCACGTCAACTCAGATCAGTTGTATCAGGTGTGTTGTGAGCAGTGCAAACACTAAAATGCGCAGGGCAGGGTGTCCTCCAGGACCAGGGATGGGAATCACTGGTCTAATTGATCCCAACTATCAACTAAGGCTACGTTCACATAACCAGCTTCATTGCTCAAATCCGATTTTTTGCTCAAATCTGATCTCTCTCACTCGAGCAGAACGAGCTTCACTGAGAAGATCATTAACTCTGATCAGCTCTCAGCTTCATTATTAGAGCGAGACGAAGGAGAAAAAGGTGAGATGAGCTGCTTTTCCACCGTTTACAGGCGTTAACTTCTGTTCGGCGCTGCTGCCATGGTAACGCTGAATGAATTGGATACGTATCTGATCTAGAACCACATATGAAAGTGGCTCAGGTTGGATTTGAAAAGATCAGATTGGTGTCCACACAACCCTGAAAACATCAGATCTGAGTCACACTCTAACACCTTCGTCTCGCTCTAATAATGAAGCTGAGAGCTGATCAGAGTTAATTATCTTCTCAGCGAAGCTCGTTCTGCTCGTTAGTTTGTGCTGATGATGAACGTGATTCGTTCACGTGATGTTACTGAGTAGGATGTGCTCATGCTCATTTCAGGATGCTGGTTTGTTCGCATTAATGACAGATTTGAGTCACTTACCTAAACGAGTGTGAATCATCGTGTCGGAGAGATCGGATTTGAGTAAAAAATCGGATTTGAGCAATGAGGCTTGTAATGTGAATGTAGCCTAAATTTGGTTTATTGGTTAATTGAGTAACGATGGGGGCAATTACTTTTTTCACACAGTGAAATAAATGAAAAGTTAATTTGAAAACTGCATTTTGTGTTAGCTCGGGTGGTCTGTTTTACATTAAAGGTCGTTTAAAGATCTGAAACAATTCAGCAGGACAAATATGCAGAAATAGAAGGTACTGTGAGGGGGCAATTACTTTTTCATGGCACTGTATATTAACCTTATAGCTCCAGACGCTAAAAAAGTGCAAAAAATGGGAAGATTATGTGAGATACTTTTTTAGAGTGTGCATTTGTGTTCTTGTTACCTGCTGATTCTGCATTTCCAGACCAACTGCAGATTGTGGAGACGTGGTCAAAGAAAATGGACCGTACTGCAGCACTGCTTCTTCAGACTGGGAGCGGACGTGGACGTTGGCTGTAGTATCTCTGAAATATTGATCGCCTCAGTGTGTCCTGAGAGGCCTTTACACCGCAGATTTAAACTCTCATATAGATGAGCTGTCCTGTGAAAAGCACTGTGATAAACGAACGTATCTTACTGACTGATCAATTAGTCGTCCCATAAGATGTTCAGCGGAGTTGACCTGCGGCTTTAGAACTGTATTTCAACAGCGGATGCTGAAGGCCTTGAATGGTCTCAGGTGCAGATGCTCCGCCCACACATGTGTTTTCTAAGCTACTGTTGCAGCTTAATGTGTCAGTGTGGTGCACAAAATGCAATAAATGTAGAGTCATTAATGTTTAAGATTTACTTTGTGTTAGCATTACTGCTACTGAGTGCTGATTGGTTAGCATTACTGCTACTGAGTGCTGATTGGTTGGCATTACTGCTACTGAGAGCTGATTGGTTAGCATGACTGCTACTGAGTGCTGATTCATTAGCATTACTGCTACTGAGTGCTGATTGGTTAGCATTACTGCTACTGAGTGCTGATTGGTTAGCATTACTGCTACTGAGTACTGATTGGTTAGCATTACTGCTACTGAGTGCTGATTGGTTAGCATTACTGCTACTGAGTGCTGATTGGTTAGCATTACCGCTACTGAGTGCTGATTCGTTAGCATTACTGCTACTGAGTGCTGATTCATTAGCATTACTGCTACTGAGTGCTGATTGTTTAGCATTACTGCTACTGAGGGCTGATTGGTTAGCATGACTGCTACTGAGTGCTGATTCATTAGCATTACAGCTACTGAGTGCTGATTGGTTAGCATTACTGCTACTGAGGGCTGACTGGTTAGCATTACTGCTACTGAGTACTGATTGGTTAGCATTACTGCCACTGAGTGCTGATTCGTTAGCATTACTGCTACTGAGTGCTGATTGGTTAGCATTACTGCTACTGAGTGCGGATTGGTTAGCATTACTGCTACTGAGGGCTGACTGGTTAGCATTACTGCTACTGAGTGCTGATTGGTTAGCATTACAGCTACTGAGTACTGATTGGTCAGCATTACTGCCACTGAGTGCTGATTGGTTAGCATTACTGCTACTGAGTGCTGATTGGTTAGCATTACTGCTACTGAGTGCTGATTGGTCAGCATTACTGCTACTGAGTGCTGACTGGTTAACATTACTGCTACTGAGTGCTGATTGGTTAGCATTACTGCTACTGAGTGCTGACCAGTGCCCTTAATATAATTGGCTGTTCAGCCTTCAGCAGTTTAGCCCCGCCCCTTCACACTGAAGTTATAAGGACTGCAATTCAAGGCAGCCAATCAGAACAGAGTGCATTTACATATATCGATCTTAAAGGAACAGCCAGAGAAACAGCAAGGTTAAACAATGATCGTATAACGATAAATTATGGCTGGTTTTGCTACATAATGATGATGATCTAGGCACAGTGCTAACTGGTGTGTTGTGAGCTTCTATTATTACAGTTGGGGTGGGGTGAAAAGTGGACTCTTCTCCACATTTTTCCCTGCGCTGGCTCATAAACGTGCTGATGATGCTGGCTGTCTTTGTCCGGCACCTCCGATGGCAGAATGGCTATTGATCATTGCAGCACAGCCTCCACTGACGCACACGGAGTAACTCACGGTGAGTTTAATTAGCCCAGCTCAGCTCTGCGGAAGTGCTGACGCTGTCAAATCACACACAGTCCAAAGACGCCCTTGATAGGTTTGTCCTGCGAATGGCTCTCAGGTTTAGGCCGAGAATGTTTCAGAGACAAGAACCACGACAGGATCTGACTACAAACCAGAGATACAATTAAGAACTGAGAAAATGTGAGTAGGTTCAGTTGGATCAGTGCTGTGTCTTTTTAAACACTGTGTCCACTCACTGTCCACTCTATTAGACACTCCTACCTTGTCGGTCCACCTTGTAGATGTAAAGTCAGAGACGATAGCTCATCTGCTGCTGCACAGTTTGTGTTGGTCATCCTCTAGTCCTTCATCAGTGGTCACAGGACGCTGCCCACACACACTAACACACCACCACCACATCAGTGTTACTGCAGTGCTGAGAATGATCCACCACCCAAATAGTACCTGCTCTGTGAGGGGTCCATGGGGGTCCTGACCACTGAAGAACAGGGTAACAAAGTATGCAGAGAAACAGATGGACTACAGTCTGTAACTGTAGAACTACAACGTGCTCCTTTATGGTCAGTGGAGCTGATAAAATGGACAATGAGTGTAGAAACAAGGAGGTGGTCATCATGTTACGGCTGACTGCTGTATATATCAATAGCCAGTGGCAGGGATGTGAACCACATGACCTTGCTCGGGTAGAGGTTTTTTTTTTATCTTCTTGGTCTTTACTTGATGAAACAAAAGTTCACAATTCGTTTTTCTGCAACTTATTAATAACCTCCCCAATGACCACCTCCAACAGCTGAACAAGTGGACACGAGCCTTGTACACATCCGAGCAACAATCTAGTTCCTCTGTTCAAGATCTGTTTACTTTAGTAGTCGGTGGGGTTTCGGTGTAAGACCACTTCAAAACACGATGAAACAAATCCAAATCATTTTTACTGTGTGGCGTTAATGTGCAGTATTTAACTAAAAGTTCATACATATCAACTGTTCAGGCTCTCCGTGTTGAGTATTACTCCGCGTTGTGCGGCTGTGCTGGGGAAGATGGCGGCTGCGCATCAGCTATAAAGCTTGTTATTGACACAATTTGCGGAATATTTCCAGCTTAGCCAACTTCGTGTGGAAATATTCTTTTGGGGATGCCCCGGAGTTCACACTGTACAACCGGAGAATACAGAGGATATCCAAGGTATTGTATCTGTCAAGATAACCATCTCCTTTTCAGTCAGGAATGCGGGCAGCGATGGAGGAAACGTCCCCGAAGTTGGTGCCTCGTAGCCGGGCAGCTCCTGCCGCAGCCGCCCGCCGCCGAGCGGCTAACTTCACTAACTTAGCTTTTCTGAGGGGATTTGGTCATTAAAGCCGCAAATCTAGGTTGAGTTTGTGTAGGCGACTCTTTAAGCCATTCGTACGACTGTTTTTATGCTTGTGGACTTGCTAACACGTCGATGTTCCTCTTTGTTTTAGACCAGTTTGAGCCCAAAAGTGGTGCTGAGGAGAAGTGAGGGGTTCTGGTCAGCCAGCGTTAACATGTGAATCAGCCTTGGACGTTTTTTTCATTTATTCTCATTATTCTTATTACCTTTGTGGGGCATTTTGGTGACATCATGCAGGTGTGTAAACTGTCCCACTTTCTTTATCTGGGCAAGTCGATTTCACTGTCTTTTCCGTTCCACCTTAAACAGTGCAGCGTATAGCGTCAACGGCTGCGCCGTTTAAGGTGGAACGGAAAGTTGGAATCAGAAGCTGAGAGGAAAGCGGTGTAAACTAACGTTGCATAAAACTGTGGATGTATTTTGAAACTTAAGACGTTAAATCCGTGTTACAGTAGTGCCGCCACCATCAGCATAAACCTGACATTAAGCTTGGCTGTGGACGGTTCTGATACTATGTGAAGGTAACGTTACCCTGTAGCAGGTGCTCTGGTATGTGCTAGATAGCTACGTTAGGTTAGCTAACCGACTCACGTTAAATGGGTGACAGACTGTCAGTGTGTGAAGTCGCTATATAGCTAGTTTTATTTAAGTAACGTTACATGTAACGTTTTGAGTCGGTGATGCGGTGATTCTGAGGCGATTCTGCGCGCCGGTGCCCACATTAGTCCCGGTGTCTGAGGGAATTCGCTCTGTGAGGTGTTGATTAGCTGCGGGGCGAAACGGGTCAGCGAACTGATTATTAATAACACGGTGGGACTGATTGAAGTGATGTTTTATGTTTAGAAAGTTCTGCTATTAATGATTAACAGCGTCTTTTAGTGCTGTGTGTTTTATAATAACCTTGGACCTGCTAGCTAACCGGCCTCTCAACGTCCCCGCAGAAGTTCGCCAGCTCCGCTAAGCTAGGCTAGGCTTGGCTGTTTTGTGAGGGGAATATGTTGACCTTCCCCGAGGCGACTTCGCTCTACCCGCGGTGTGAAATATGTCGGGGTCATATTAAAGCTGGGTATACTCATATTTATTAATATTAGTTCATATTGTGCTTTGAGGCGGCTAAAATCAGTTTGCTAACGGGCTAACGTCGCTAACTTTCCTCAGGCCGAACTGGTTACCATAGTGACGCGGCGGCGGGGGGGTGGGGGGGGCGGATCTCCTTTCAGTCGGTCAGTTTATCCGTTAAAGGGGAACTCAGCCGAATTTTTATTTTTTGAAATTTCAGTATAATCATACGGTGGATGTAAGCATAGGCATTTGTGGTGGTTTGGTGTGAAATGCTCTGTTTGTTTATGCGTCTCTTAAAGCTCCCTCACATTGTTATTGCTTAAAATGATGTCTGAGACATTGTTTTACGGTCGTTTTGAGGATGGTTTGGGCCCAAAAATACATTTTGAAAAATGTATTTATGGTGGATAAGTACATGCACAACACAAGGTGTTGTGAGGCAAAGTAGTACCCCCCCCTCATTAATTTTTCCCGATATTTTACCATAATCGATATTCCATATTAAACTCAGAAGACACTAGTTTCACTGGATGGTAAATAAAATGTCTATATTTGTGTTGTAGACATGGTGACCCCTGGTTCCTATCACCACCACTGTGAAGAAGCCTGAGTCTCTACAGCTCATGGATCAGTCAGGGCTGAGTTTCTGGCTCGCTTGGACACCCTGTGGTGTTTTCAGGTCACTCATGTGTCCTTGCTAACTGCTGCGAGTCATCAGCTGCTATTATTTTTTGTTTTATAGCACTCATGGGGGGAAAAAAGCACTTTTGAGTGGAGTAACACACTCTTTGGACTTAAATATGAAAGGGGCTAACTGTGAAATCGATGATTTTGTTGATATGATTGCTTTTCCTGATTCACATTGACATTGTATGATCTCAGTTTCCTTGACTCGGCTCCTCTTTGTGTTTCACTGTGCGCTGTAAATGCCGTGCTTTCTTACCGCCACCGTAAAACGAGTTGACAGCGGTCGCTTTCGTAGGGCTGAAAGATGAATCGTATTTATATTGAAATCGCAGTTTAAGAGAGCGCAATTTTCCAGTCGCAAGAGAATTATAGCCTGCTTTATCAAAAAAGTTGTCTTAGCTTTTAAGGTGGGAAATTGAACCTAATAACACAGAGCTTGTGAACTGCCTGTAGATGAGTTAGACCAATCGGAGGCGACCAAACCTCCATATGTTGTGACATCACAACCACGACTTATTGGCTTTTTGCCGCACTGCATTCAGGGATCAAGCCTCAAGCCAGAAAAGGTGGATATCCTGAACTTCTTGGCCAAAAAAGAAAACCGGCCCTAGGTAGTGATCACAATTTAAACTGCAGTCAAAATATTAGAAAATCGCAATTGTGTTTTTTCCTCAAATCGTTCAGCCCTAAGCGTTTGTTAGTTGAAACTTGGTGAGGAACCCTTGGTTAAACGTGCTTCGTGAACCTGTATTGGGAAACATGGGTCTGAGTGAAATACACAACCGTGAGTTAAAATTCAGCGTCTTCTACCAGCTTGTCCTTGTTGTGGGAAGAGCCTAATAGTTACTATGCGCCGGTAAACTGTTGGGTTTCTGGCCAAACACAAACAGAGGAGGTGGTTTTCCCCGCGAAGGTGAGCGGGTCCAGTTTAACTGCTCTCCTCCTCATTGTGTAGATAACACACTGCTTCACTTCACCCACCGTCAGTCGCCAGCCTTCACTCCTCTCACAGAGAGCGCTCTCTTTCTGGAGCTTGTGCAGTAAGTATCCTTAATCTTCTACCTGAGAGGGGAAAAGAACAATGAACGGCGCTTGTGTGTAATTTGACCTTTGTTTTCGACCTCGACCCGCCGTGTTTGGCGGTTTATGGGGAGACGTGTTGCCTGGCAGCTTTTCAGATTATGCTAACGTCTCTTTAAACACAGAGTCCTGAATCACTAACCGTTTCTACAGCAGTAGTTTCAGTGTTTGACAGCGAGCTGAGGGGTAAAAACTCTGATTTACACTTTAACTTGGTTTAACTTGGTATGATTCTTCAGGAAAAGATTCAGGAAGTCATGAAATTATTTTTTAAAAGGCCACTGACTGAAGGAATCTGTTAAAACAGTGGTGGAAAATAGACAAAAACGGTGCATGGGTTTTGTTTCAGAGCACATTAGGCTGCTTTCAAGGGTTTTTTTGTTGTGGTAGGTTGTAGGCAGTGAGCTTTACATAAACAAGAAATATCAGTGCTATATTATCATTAATATTACCTTTATTTGAGAAATAAAAATGAGTTTTCTCTTATGCATCAGCTGTTTGAACATTTTGGAATGAAACCTATGGCAAATACCACTTTTTTCCCCCTGAAACACACATTGAAGCCGTACAGTGCTGTGTTGTGTGAGGTTTCTGTTTACTGTGGCACTGAGCTTTAAAATAACAGAAGGATTTCATTTAAGGATGAGTATATAAAGGTAGGTTGTCATGCTGAAGCTACTGAAACGTACTGCTACTTAGGGCTGGGCGATAAAACGATAACGATAAGTATCGCGATATAACTTTTCCTCGATAGAGCGATACGACAGGTTCGATAAATGTTCGATATAATACACCACTCTCACACTTCCACGTTCAGCGAAAGCCCTGGTGGCGTTTTCTACTGCAAGGAAAGCGACACTACTCTGCTGTCGCCAGGAGAGGGCGCACTTCTGAATTTTTCAACTTGATTAGAGGGGAGGGGGGGGGGTCACGAGTAAAAAAAGGGTCGCCAAATATATTTTAGCAACGGCTGAAACGTGGAGTTATACAGTCCCTGTCTGAGTGGATGTTATCGGCGATCTGTTCTCCTATGACCGAGTGTGAGTGACGAGGTCAGTGGTGTAACTGTACTGTCCTACGGTGAGCTCACCTCTTTCCGTGCCTCCTAACAACTTTAGCGGTGTTAAATCTCGTCTGCAGCGCCGTGTTACAGCGCCCAACCGCCATATTTTAGTATTAGTGCATTCTCAAGCAATGAAAGTGAAAGAAAGAAGTGGGTTCATGTTCAAAAGTAAACTGAGGAAGCTGTGAGGCATTGGAGAGCGCTAACGTTATCTTTCCAGGCTAGCTGTTTTAGCTGCTGGCTAACTTGAAGCAGTGCTTCGGCACAACACGGTGAATTGATGATACGGTAGATCAAACAAGACACAGAATCACCGCTTTCAGTTTAAACATGCCTAAAAGGAGGACTCTGTGACTGGTGTGAGAGATTCACACTGCAGATAATGCTTTTACACAGCGAGCGTCAGATATACTGCGGTTCACCCCTTAAACTACTGCGATAGCATAGAGAAACCCAGCCGTCTAGCTGGTGTCTGAATACTGTGATCTGCTCTGACATGGATGTGGTAGGAGTGACCGCAGTGACCTACCGAACCGAGGTGACGTTGTTGAGAAACTAAAGAGTTTAGCTCTGTTGTTGGCCACTTGTTTAGCGTTTGTTTTCTTTCTTAAATCATGACTATTACAAAAATTGCAGCTGTGCTTTTCCAGCTGATAAAAACAGCTCAGAAACTTTCTCCCACTCTTCCCTGACAGATTAGTGAAATGTTCCACTGTTTGCCGAGTGTTTGTCATGATCGGACCATAAGTGATAGTTTAAAACCACAGTTAACCACCCAGGAGCAGAACCAGCCTTCAAACGTGAAAGAAATCATGATTTGACATTTATCGCGATATGTATCGATATCGAACGATATGAATTTTGTTTATCGTGATAACGTTTTTGGCCATATCGCCCAGCTCTACTACTACTGTACGTGAAGAACTATGCAGCTCACATCTCATCACACAGTATAAGTGAGTACTGTTTGTTTGTAGGTTTAGCTGAAAGAAATCCGCAGTGTCATTTTTCACACACCTCCGAAGTTCAGTCTTAGAAGTTGGTTGCTTTTTCTGCTTCTTAAGATCCGAGTAATCTCAAACCCATTCAGTGGTGTTGAGGTCTGGACTCTGGGGTGGTCAGTCCATTGTTCAGCTTCTTTGTTTGATGTGTCCGTCTCCTTTTCTCAGTGAGGTTCTTCTTGACAGCTACACATCCTTTCAGACCCACAGCACTGAGTCGTCTTCTCACAGTGGAAGGATGGACAGAAACACCTGTGGATGTTTTCAGATCTGAAGCAGCTTGATTTTCTCCTCTCTCTCAGAGACGAAAGCTTTAAGTGCTGTTTATCTGATGGGGCAGTTTTGGTGTGTACCAGGTCTTCCAGGTGGTTGTTAGGAGCCCCACTTTTTCTGTAGCTTTTAATTTAGTTTTTGGAAACTCTTGTTTTTTCACTTATTTTCCTTTGTCTGGCTCCTTCCTTATGAAAGTGGATTGTCTTATATCTAATCTCCTCAGCAGTATCTCCTGAAATGAATGAGTGTGATCTCCAGCATTGCTATCGGTAAATGAGAGTCGGAAAGTTAGCATCTCTGTGCTAACTGGCTCTCAGTAGTTCACGTTTAACATCTTGAAAGTAAAGTATTCCTTTAATATTAGCAGCATTTTGAGTGAACTGTCCTCTTAAGAGTTTAAAACCTTTGCAGTTGTGTACTGATTGATGGTGATGTCTTTGGCAGGTACTGACTGGTTAAGATGGCAACTGGCGGAGCTCCGTTTGATGACTGCGCAGACGAGCAGGAGCTGCACAACTGGACCATCGCCAACGGCAGTCTGGACGACAGGCTCAATAACATGGTATTTACAGCATTTTCACTCTCTCACACACACAGTCACCTTCACAGTCTTAAGGTTTTGCAATGCATGTTACTGTGCCAAGCACATTTTCCAGTGTTTAGCCATTTGTTTGTGGAGCTTTACTCGCACCCTGATTAATCTTTTAATTGTTTGAGGATTTGTTGGTGATTCGGTTATGTAATCGTGCCATGCAGTTACTTTGTGACGCTGTTGCTTTAAGGGATAGGCAGGAAAAAATCTGTACAACATAGTACCTTGATGCTTTAGGTAAAAATTAGTATCAATACACAAACTTTTTAGACAAAATAAAGAAATTAGAGATGGACAATAATATTGGATTCTTTACAGTATTCGCAGATAATTAAGATAAAATTGGTGGCGTCTCATAGACGTTAAGAGTCTGATCTGACTTGGAATATCATTCTTTGGTAATGTAGTCATTGCACTCTTGAAGAGCTAAGCATTAAATGATGACGCAGGACTGTTGTGCTAAAATGTCTACAATCATTTTTACTTAAAGGTGTAACGGTTCTCCACTTTCACGGCTCAGTTCGGTCCTCAGTGTCTGGGCCACAGTTCAGTTTGTATCATGGTTCAGCAACGAAGAACGTAACCAACTTTATACCTCATTTTTATTAGTATAACTTTTTTTTTAATTACTCAGATGTTTAATGCAAATATAAATCAGAAATCTTTTCCAAAAGAGAATCATCTGAATTGCTTTTACAAAATTGTTGCAAAACAAAGTTAGAAAAACACACACCGATCAGGCGTAACATTCTGACCACCTCCTTGTTTTTACGCTCATTGTCCATTTTATCAGCTCCACTTACTATATAGGTGCACTTTGTAGTTCTACAGTTACAGACTGTAGTCCATCTGTTTCTCTGATACTTTGTTAGCCCCCTTTTACCCTGTTCTTCAGTGGTCAGGACCCCCATGGACCCTCACAGAGCATTCTCAGCACTGCAGTAACACTGACGTGGTGGTGGTGTGTTAGTGTGTGTTGTGCTGGTCTGAGTGGATCAGACACAGCAGTGCTGCTGGAGTTTTTAAACACCTCAGTGTCCCTGCTGGACTGAGAACCAAAATATCCAGGCAACAGCGTCCTGTGACCACTGATGAAGGATGAGAGGATGACCAACACAAACTGTGCAGCAGCAGATGAGCTATCGTCTCTGACTTTACATCTACAAGGTGGACTGACAAGGTAGGAGTGTCTAATAGAGTGGACAGTGAGTGGACACAGTGATTAAAAACTCCAGCAGCACTGCTGTGTCTGATCCACTCAGACCAGCACAACACACACTAACACACCACCACCACGTCAGTGTTACTGCAGTGCTGAGAATGCTCTGTGAGGGTCCATGGGGGTCCTGACCACTGAAGAACAGGGTAAAAGGGGGCTAACAAAGTATCAGAGAAACAGATGGACTACAGTCTGTAACTGTAGAACTACAAAGTGCACCTATATAGTAAGTGGGGCTGATAAAATGGACAATGAGCATAGAAACAAGGAGGTGGTCATAATGTTATGGCTGATCGGTGTATAAAGTAAATGTGAGCATCTGCAAGTTGAACGAAACATTGTGAGGCATATTAAATGTATTTGCGCCAATCAGTGCGTAGGAAAAATGTAAACTGCAAGCAGAATGAATGTAAACATGAAGTGGAATAAATCTAATCATCAGGTTTACCTTCTATCCAGAGGAGCTGATGGAACAAATTGAGATATCCAGCTCTTTGTTGTAATTGCGATAAATCCTCACCTGGCTTTTGACGAAGTCCTGCATTTGTCTTTACACACATCTTTGGCGCCATGAATTGAAATTCCAAGAGCAGAGCGTTTCAGTACACACATGGCTGCGTATACGTCTGCATCGGGATCAACATCAGCAGATACGGTCATGAAAAATATCAGCCTACAATTTCCATATTATTGTGTCCCTAAAAGAAAGTTTTGCTGTCAGATAGAATGTGTTGCAGTGTATCATATACTTAGAATACTAATCACAAATCTTCAGAAGTCGTATCGTAGCTTAAGCATAGTGATAATATTGCATTACGGGCCCTCTAATGACTCCCGTTGACTACCGTTTGACTGTTTGGTCATTGTTCTTGGTCCAGGACTGGGGCGTGCAGCAGAAGAAGCCTAACCGCTCCTCTGAGAAGAACAGGAAGAAGCTCTCCGCCATGTCCGAGAGCCGGCTGACCAATGATATCTCTCCGGAGTCGACGCCAGGGGCGGGCCGCAGACGGGCCAGGACGCCCCACTCCTTCCCACACGTGAAATACACTACACAGATGTCCGTGCCCGACCAGGCCGAGCTCGACCGGCTACGCCAGCGGATAAACTTCACCGACCTGGATGAGGTGAGCTGCTGCCGGATACAAATCTTGGAAGCCAAGTTTTAAATTTCGTCTGTTCCGAAGCTAAAGTGACCAGAAATCTAATGTAGTTTAGTTTCCTCCCCTTACGCCAAAGATAATAAGCCTGAACAGTTTGAGATTTGACAGTTTTGTTTTTTTAGTTTTGCGCTGGAGCTACGAGGCTTATGTAGCTAACTGGTAATAGAGGTTTATCCCTCTACGAATGATTATGAAAAATGTTTGCATTTTTCATTCGATGAGATGTAAACAGTCTTTCGGAGTGGTTTGATATGTAAGGGTCCATTTTAGAGAAACTTAAAGACACAGGTTTGTTAACAGTGGGGGTGATAGGAACCAGGAGTCACCACGACTACAACTCAAATACAGCCATTATATTTACATCCAGTTTATATCCTAAACCACCAGTGAACCTACGCGAGTCTTCTGAGTTTTATATGTGATGTTGATGATAATAAAATAGTGGAAAATCAAGAAATATACATTTTTGGGGACTATTTTGCCTCATGTTCTACATGTGCACCTCTGCCATGAATGGATTAAAAATACATTTTAGGCCAAGGTCTTAAACATCAGTGTATTCCTAATCCTTTCATGTAGTAACTTTCTGTGAGGGAGCTTTCAGAGGCATTGAACTCTTCAGATGTGAACAGTTATAACTGAACAGAGCACATCAGACTCGAATGAATGTTATCTACAACCCCATTTCCAAAAAAGTTGGGACGCTGTGAAAAATGTAAATGAAAACAAAATGCAATGATGTGCAAATCATTTAAACCCTGTATTTCTTTGAAAATGCTTCAAAGACAACATATCAAATGTTAACTGTAAAAACAATAACATTTCTCAGTTTCAACATTTGATTTGTTGTTTTTATACTATTTTCAGTTAAATATTGGGTTTAAATGATTTGCACATCATTGAATTTTGTTTTTATTTACGTTTTGCACAGCATCCCAACTTTTTTGGAAATGGGGTTGTATTTAGTTATGCAGAATTTTTAAGAATGGGTGGAATCCCCCTTTAAGTAGTCTTGTGTATCTGGTTTCTCACTATGTATAACAAATGAACAAAACGTGTCTTGGCTGAAAAAAAATAAAATAAATAATTCCTTAAGTGTTGAATGTTCAAATTTGATGAATTCACCGCCATCCTTACGTGAAGTGTGCCTTAATGATTGATTTCCTACTCTGTGCAGCTTCATGTGAGTAATATCGACGTTCATGAACGTGCTGTGTTGTAGAAATGTTCTAGCTCGTCTTTAATAAATGTCCTGTCGCTTGTTTTACACCAGCGGAGCATCGGCAGCGACTCTCAGGGCCGCGTCACTGCAGCGAACAACCAGAGACAGCTGTCGTCTGAGACCAAGAAACCCTTTAATTTATCACTACACGTCAACACTAACAAGAGCAAGGAGCCCCCTGCCGCTGCGCCCACCACGCCGGTGGGTAAGGAGCCGAAGAAACTAAGCCCGGGGAAGGATCTGTTTGCCCCGATGCCCACCCTGCCCGTTAAGGAGCCTCGTGGGCTGGACCGAAACTCCGGGACCACCGTGGAGGATCGTAGAGGAGAGCCAGTGATCGACAGCAGCCAGGTAATAAGACCGCCTTCATTTTCAGTGGGTTTTGATTTGTGGCTAATTATTTAATTCTGATCTGTGTTAGTGTTTTACTGCTGTGATGTAAGCTTGGATTTGAGAATCTGTACAAAAATTTAATTGAATTTTGTGTTTTTTAATATTATTTATAACAATATTATTATTATTTATAAAATATGTAAATGAATATGCATATTTATTTTATACTGTTATTTATTTAATTATTTAATCATTTGTTATCTATTTAGCCTAATCCCCTCGCCTCATGACTCCGCCCCAGCCAATGAGAAAATACATATTTTAATTGTTTTTTTAACTTAAGAAAAACGTAGAATGTCTCAAACAGTCTCGCTTTTTAAGTCTGAACTCTCTTGCGCTTCTTTGAGGACAGGAAGTATCACTGCTGCCCCTTTGTTATTGTTTCACACAACAAATGAAGACCATCTTACCATATATATGTATATATAGAGCAGATTAAAACGATAGTTTGGTGAAAGATCATCCTTACAGTTTCCCCGTAACCCTGATGCTAATTAGTCGAGTATAAACTTCTGTTACTTGGTAGCTGCGTTTTTGTTGTCATTCCAGTGTGAAACCAAAGAAGTAAACTTTAGACACCAAACATGTTTTGACTGATCACTTAGCCTTTTTAACTCCTTCGTCGTATTCTTTACTTCATAAATTTCATATTTTATAAGCTGCATTCGAAAGGTGGGGGTCGTGTGAGAGCTGTAACTGTCTTCACTCCAGTCAAAAAGATGGGAAACGTAATTTTAGACCTTTATGATAAAAGAAGCTGAACTCACTGTCTTTTTTTGTGTTTTTCTACTGAAATTCGACCCATTTTTCCACAAATCTGAGCTATAAACTGGCTCTCAGATGGCGTCTCTTCAGTGATCTGCTCTGTAAAAAGATATTTTTATAAAATAATACAAAGAGCGTCTCAGATGTTTGGTTTTCAGCAGTAAATTGTAAGCATATGGTGTTATGTTTATGATCATAAAACACATTTTCTGTTAATTTGAGGGGAGCTTTTCTGAACAAAACAAAACAAAACTGAATACTGAATAATTTGCCTTAGAATTTGGGCATGTAAATTCAGATGGAAACACCGAAATACAACCACGAGCTTAAGAGGTTTCAGATGAAATTTCAAACGAGAGTTTGATAAACGAACAAACCTGGATTAGATTTCAGTGCTTTAACATCTGGGCCTTTTGTTTTGTGTTGAATCATCTAGCAGGTGAAAAATCTCTTCTTTTTTTTTTGTTTTTGATGTGTTTCGTATGTAACGAAGTTTTAGGCTGTTGAGGAGAGCGCAGGCATGTGTCTGAGAGAGTCAGAAAGAGGTTTGATCTGGACTGAAACTGGAGCACAGATGTGAGAGTGATCTTGGCGATGCGAGCAGCCTGAATTTAGGCCAGTTTAAAAATACGCCACCGTCCGCGTGGAGAGCATCACAGTGCCTCTCTCTCTCTCTCTCTCTCTCTCTCTCTCTCTCTCTCGCGCACTCTCTCTCACATCTATGTAGGCTGCTCAGTCTCAGTGTTTCTGCCTGCAGGTGGTTAGCAAGCTGGTGCAAATCCGCGAGTACATCAGCAAGGCCAGCTCCATGAGAGACGACCTGCTGGAGAAGAACGACGTTCCAGCCAACGTCGAGCGGCTCTCTCACCTCATCACTCACCTGAAGGAGCAGGAGAAGTCCTACCTGCGCTTCCTGCAGAAAATGCTGGTTAGTGTTTAATGCTCTCTGTCTGCTGCACCTTAAAGGCATACAAACTCAACTCCAGCTGTTTGGCAGCTCTCTTCGTATTAGTCTTTTATAAGGTTTGTCTTTATTGCTGTTGATCCTTTTAATCAGTAGTAAATATTATTCTAATACTGAGGACAGTCATTTCAACACATTTCATTGTATTTAGTAAAGAACTGAAACCTGAAACTCAATTCCAACACTTTACTGTCCTGTAGAAGACAGTGGACAGCTGCTGCATCATTAATTATTGTCCATATGCTGCAGAGAGAGAGAGACTGGAAAACGCTGGACTGTCTTTTTAATCATAACAGTGTCATGCAGTCACTGACCTGCTTGTCTAACTTCAGTAGCAAAACTGCAAAAAAGTAGCCAAATAACATCTATTTTGCTTGTTTTGTAACAAAAAAAGTTTAGCAGTGTTTGTTTTTGCTTCGTTTTCTCACCAGTTCATGCGTCTTAACAGTACTGCAGCTCTGTTGGCACAACACTTTGATTTATTCGTTTGGGCTGGACTGATTCAGATAGGCTTTTGTTGTTAATTGTATTGAGAACAATGGAAGGCCAAGGAACACCCATGATTACTACGAAGGTAGTTGGATGGTTAGAGACAAATATTTGTATTTTTATATATATATATATATATATATATATATATATATATATATATATATATATATATATATATATATATGTATATATATAATTTTTTTTCTCTTCATTAGTGCTTCGTTTCAACCAAGAATCGCTGCTTTCACCTGTTTCATGATGACCCTGTTTAGTCTATTCAGATTACGTTAGGTTTGTTTCACTGTGTGTGTTAAAGGGTCTGTATCCTGTTTTGTATTATAGTTTTTCTCTGAATGGTCACTTAAAATATTTCTGGGTTGATGTACAAAAACAGTATTTTAAATGAGAATTTTCCGGTCTGTCTTTATCTTTGAGGCTGTGTTCACACGGCAGGTAAAATCGGATTTTGGGCCAAATCGGATCTTTTTCTTTGTGTGTGATACAGATGCGTCGTCTGTGTGTCAGTGTGAACAGATAAACGCACTGAATCTGACATTTTCAATTCTGATTTGAGACGTTTTCATATGTGGTACTGAAATCTGATACGTATCCGATCTGCGGCAATGCGACTCAGTCTGAACAGGCAGATCGGACTTCTACGTCAGTCCAACTCGACATTTGTCATAATTTCACGCTGCTGAGACCCATAAACATCTAGGCTCATGTTTCTGTACAAAAATTAGAAGCGACGTATCCAAAACTCTCCGTGTTCGAAGAGATTTCTAAATAAATGTCCGAACGCGGCCGCAGGAGAACGAGGCTGCAGTGTCAAAGAACAGTTAAGCGTCTGAAAGCAAAGTTTAAAGAATCCGACGACGCGAACCAAAGAACTGACCGCGCCCTTTTTACAGCGCGAACTCATTCTGGGTGATGAGCCCAGCTGTCAGTCAGTGAAGGTTCATGATGGCTCCTGTGATGCTGGTGGAGATGAAGCTGATCCTCCGGGAGCGACTGGCGCTCGTTGGCGGTCGTGATTGTTTACCTCTGGATGAGCCGTGAATCAGCGTGACGCTCTGATCTTCTGCGCATGTGGGTCAGTTTAGGAGCTGATCTGTTCAGACTGATGTCGCATGCAGATCACATTTAAAAGATAACGTGAGCAGCCACGAAAGTGGGCCACTGTTACCTGCTGTGTGAACGTAGCCTTAGATTTAGAGTAGCTGTTTTGTTTCTGTGCCTTTAAGACTGACATATTTTACCTCAGTTCTGATTGGCTGCCCTGTATTGTGCAAAAAGCAATCCCCTCAACATGGATGGGCGGAGCTAAACAGCTGTAAACTGGAATCGGAGAATATATGTAAATGAGTTGGTTTTGATGTTAGTCTTCATGTATGGACTGTATTGGCTGGACTGTATTGGCTGTACTGTAAAGTGAGAAATTTGGTTTTCTGTGATTTGGGCCTTTCTAAGTGTTTCTGAATGTAAAGCATGTCTGCGTTAGGCTTTGTTCCTGTGTCATTGGCTGTGCTTGACTAATGTGGTGGCTGAATCTAGGACAGCTCTTCCTCTCTCCTCTCTTCCCGGCTTTTGGTCCTCAGTTTGGCATCCTTAGCAACCTTGTTTCAGAGACAGAGCTCTGCTGTAGTAAGTAGGTTTATAATAAAGCAATATTAAAACTAAAGCGTGATACAATCGCAGTAACCCACGGCCTCTCGTGGCTTGTTGCGGCCAACATAAGTATGTATTCAATACACAATGTTTTAGATAATTATTTAAGTTATTATTAATAATAACCAGCATAAACAAGTATTCCGCCAAGAAATGTAGTTCCTGTAGAGTGCGGTATCGCTGCTAATCAACCATTGACCACTGAATGAGGAGAAGAACGTTCAGTCGCCAGTCACTGTAAATTAAACTGCAGACATTTCATGATTTTTAAAACTTTTTTCGTATAACAGAGAACTTATGATAAAACAGCACTGTTTAAGACAAACACTTTCAGTTCATAAGTATTTTCTGGTCACCAAATCACCATCGTGAGTCTTCTGTCAGTCTGACGACGCCACTTTTCTCACGCTGGGGCTGAATCTCAAACGGCTCCCTGCTCCCTACATAGTGCACTACGTAGGAGTTTAAATACTGGATCCTGCAGCCCAACAGAGCAAAATATCACAGTGTTCATTTGGGATTCATCCACATTCAGACTCGACAGACAGTCACTATTCGACAGCAGAAGATAGAATTTCTAAACTTAATGTTGCACAGCTGACTATTTATCTAGGGAGTACGGGGCCGTTTGGGACTCAGCCTGGGTTTGACGCGATTTCTGACTGATTTGAAGTGTGTGAGACATTCAGGTGACATTCTTTAGACTTTTATACCGCCATTTTACAGTGAATCGTACCCTGAGTGCTTTAATTCAAGCCTGTGATATTAATGTTGGAGTTGTTTAGCATGTTTGCTATCTTTTAGCCTGTTAGCTAGCTGACCAGCTGAGTTCTAGATAAGAACATAAGTTTTCAGCCCCTCAGTTTAAACAAAAAATGGGTTCTTACTTCATCAGTGCACTCGGTGCTCCATGCGAGCAGCATTAGAGTCAAAGATTATTCATTAACACAGAAGGGTTTTCAGTGATGCAGAGTTCAGTCGCTGTGAGGCGTCACAGCCGTGGTGTATTGTGGATTTTACAACGGCTCGAACACGGCTCAGCCAATCAGATTTTAGGACCGGAACGATCCGTTTTATAATAAGTAATGTGGTGCGGATCAGGTGTGGATTATGTGCAGGTAATTTTGAAAAGTCCTGAGTCCTAATTTGGGGTTTCTTTGTCTGTTTTAAGCTCAGAGATGATAGATATTTCATCCAAAATGTTGCTGTTCCACTGAATTACGTTATGAATTAAGATTCAAATCCACTTGGGTCTTAATTTCAGTTCTCTGGACTGTGTTGGCTGTGCTGTCTGTCACTTTGCGAGCTGAGTCGTGTGTGTTATCAGGAAAGAGGCAGAGTGTCGTGTCCCCTCGACGAGACTTGTGAGTCTCTGCTGTCGACTGTCCAGAAGCTCAAGAGAACTCTGAAGTATGGATGGACAGTATGACCGTACGAGTCGTTATATTTATTTATCGTAAATCTGGCACTACTTTGTCGGTTCCATCCTACCAGACGCCATAAAAATAGGTTTTGTGACTCATCGCGCGTCATGAAAACTTTAGTGACGTTATGTTTTTGCCATGATGCCCAGATCTAGTTTGAAGTATCGATCCAGAACATGCAGTGAAACCACTGTGTGATCAGAATGATCATCATTTAGACGTAGATTTTTGAATGATCTGCATAAGATCATTGCTACTCTGTCACTGACGTATTTAATCTGGCAGATTCTCAGTCTCGGATGTTCCTCCAACCTGTACAGGGAGTGTCTGTTGTGCGCTAATCTGGCCACATCTACTGAGATTTGCCTTTCTGTCCGGGTGATATGATATAGTCACCATATTGAGTATTGGAGTATAAAGGTGTTGAGGTGTTCAGAAGTTTATCTGAAGTGTTATTGAGATGCAAACGTGTAAATACTTTGTGGTGGGGGAAAAAAGGTGAAAGACCCCCCCTCCCAATGCAGTTACCCAAATAAAAGGATCTCTTTACATTTATCTTACATTAAAGGTAAAGAATGTTTTTGTTTCCATTCTAGAGATCCTTGTTTATCCTTTGTGCCCTCTCAAATGTTGTCTAGCATCTGTAACGTCCTCTATTAGAGTCCATTTCTTTACATGCAGCTGTTAATATTAGCTGGCACACTCCACATCCAGGGTTAAGAGTAGCTCAGCCCTTTCAGTCCCAGGTGATGTTACAGCCATCTGTGGCCACAAGAGAGCACGCTTGACCTCACTTTCTGTGGGTGGTTAGGATGGCCCCCCGTCTCCCGCCAATCACCCAGCGCGATGCTAGCCAATACAGGTGTCTGTTAGCTGACGTAACAGCCCTGGTGGTTGGTGCTTTCCTCTGAGCACGTTCAACTGTCCAGTGACGACGTGTTAGCGGCAGTTCGTAAAGATGAGGTGGCTTCACAGGACTTGGAGGAAGTCTGTGCTAGCCTTCACCCTCCTAGTGCTGGTGGTATTGTGTGATTGGGTCCTAACTAGTGGATGGAATTGAATACGACTGAATGGAGGAGAAAACTGTAAAAAATAAATAAATAAAATTAGCTGAGTTCTAAAGCCCCTTAGCTAGGTGCGTTTAGCCTTAGTGTTGAGCCACACACGTATGTAGAACGTGATTGCAAAAGATGCCCAGCTGCGGCTGCCTTGCAAGCACGTGATCCTTGTGTACAAACTAGGGCTGGGCGATTAATCGAAAAGTAATTGAAACCGACATTCAGAACCTCTAACCGATGTAATCGTGCCCATGTCGGTTATTTTGAATTTTTTTTTTTTTTCAAATGTTCGTGTACTGTCCCCTTAAAAACTTACTACCGTGCGTGTCGTCACGTGAGTCCACCACATCCAGTCTGCGACATGGAAGCTCAGGCTACGTTCACACAGCAGGTAAAAGTGGCCCATATCTGATTTCTCACCAAATCCGATTTCTTTTGGTTTGGCTGTTCACGTTGTCTATTGAATGTGATCTGTATGCGACATCAGTCTGAACAGATCAGCTCCTAAACTGACCCGCGTACACAAAAGAACAATGATTCACGCTGCTTCACGACTGTGAACGAACACCAGTCGCTCCCAGAGGACCAGCTTCATCCTCATCAGCATTACAGGAGCCGTCATGAAGCTTCACTGACTGACAGCTGGGCTCGTCACCCAGAATGTGGTGGAGCTCACCGTAAAAAGGGCGCGGTCACTTCTTTGGTTCGCGTCCTCGGATTCTTTAAACTTTGCTTTCAGACGCTTAACTGTTCTTTGACGCTGCAGCCTCGTTCTCCTGCGGCCGCGTTCGGACATTTCTTTCTAAACCTCTTCAAACGCAGAGGGTTTGGATGAGTCTCTTCTAAGTTTTTGTACAGAAGTATCACCTCAAATGTTTATGAGGTCTCAGCAGCGTGAAATTATGACGCTTTAATTCCGATCTGGCTGTTGAGACGGTTTACGGTAAGATATGCAGAGTATATTTACAGTACAAACCTTTTCAGTGAACTATGAGGGCAAAAAACAAAAAAAAATATCGTTCATTAATCGTAATTGAGGTAAAACATTCAATTAATCGTGATATTGATTTGAGGTCATATCGCCCAGCACTAGTACAAACTCTGCATTCTTGACGTTACTGTGCTGCTGAAAACACTCAGTACTCAAAGGGGCGATAGAGGATAAGATAGAGGAGAAGCACAGTGCCAGTGGGGGAGAACGAGCTGCTTTATCCTGAGTGTTTGAAATGAAGAGGCAATGATGTATCGTGTTTGTTTATGTGAGCTGCTGTGGCAGTTGATCAGGCGAAAGTACTCTGGTGGTTCAAGACGGCTTTGCCAGGCTTGGCTGTCGCTATAGCGGCGCTGTGGCACAAATCTGAATGCAGCAGCTCTGGAAACTCTGTAGGTGTAGCTTGAAGCGTCTGCCTTGGCATACTTGGCGTGAAGCTTGTTTCTGACCTTGCACTTTGCTGTAGCTTGAGCAAACACTCCTGCCTCTCTGCCCTTTTAACGGGGTCTTCTCTGAACCCGCTCCGCTTCACAGGCGAGAGAGAATGAGGAAGAGGAGGAGGAGGAGGATGAAGGTGCCACGGTGGACTCGGCGGTGGGCTCGGGCTCGATGGCCGAGAGCACGTCTCTGAACTTAGAGCCGCGTTCCGAAGCCTCAGACGCCACCGTGAGTACCCACAATGCCCCTCTCTCTCTCTCCCTCTCCTCTCGCCTCCTCAGATGAGTTTCGCTCAGGCTTCAGCACAACATGCATGCTGAGCTGAACCTGCCGCAGAAACCGGACCACGTTCAGAACGAGGGCGTTACTGTGTTCAGCACTGCACGCCTAAGCGTGACCCCGGTGTTGCTTGTGTCGACACTCGTGCCCCACATTTATCATCTGCTTTGGTCCTATTTGCCTCATCTTTGGTGTATTTGTATGCTTCTTTTTGGCTACGTTCACATCACAAGCCTCATTGCTCAAATCTGATTTTTTGCTCAAATCCGATCTCTGACTCCATGGTTCACACTCGTTTAGGTAAGTGACTCAAATCTGTCATTAATGGAGAACAAACCGGTGTCCTGAAAATGACCCTCGTGAGCTCATCCTACTCAGTAATGTCACGTGACAAACTAACGAGCAGAACGAGCTTCGCTGAGAAGATAATTAACTCTGATCAGCTCTCAGCTTCATTATTAGAGCGAGACGAAGGAGAAAACGGTGAGGGTCCCCCCCCATCCCCAACATCGTTTACAGGCTTTAACTTCTGTTTGGTGCTGCTGCCATGGTAACGCTGAATGATGCCGCACGTGCAGTGGAAAAAAAGCACACGAATTCCGATCTGAGCGTCACATTAAGGTTGCTTGGCCACAAATGGGATACGCATCCGATCTAGGACCACATATGAACGTGGTTCAGGTCGGATTCGAAAACATCAGATTTGTATCCACACAGCCCCGAAAACATCAGATCTGAGTCACATTAGGGCAAAAAATCGGATTTGTGCCACTTCAACCTGGTAAAGTGAACGTAGCATTTTTGCTATTTTTGTTTGGGGCTGTTGTAATTTGGCCCAGTCCCATTTCACCCCTCACCACTACCACTGAGCCCTTCTCCCTCCGTTTTGTGCGTTTACGTCTAGAAGTAGGGTGTCCCGATTGTTGCTGAGATAGAGGGGTGGGGTGAAGTGTTGGGGCTAGATGACCCTCCAAACAGAGTTTTTCAGAGACTCCAAACAGAGTTATGAGAATAAACGAACAACAAGATGGCTGAACAAGCAACAAATTAAAAATTTTCTCTGTTTAAAAATTACGATAACCACTGTATTCTCTTAGTTTAATGTCGTTTCAGTGTATTTTGGTCGTTTTCTTCATAACAAGCATAAAAAATCGCTCAATAGTATGCTAATGTCTCGGTAGCTAGCTAGCTAACTTTCCCGTTCCACCTTAAATAGTCCAGCAGTTCTGACGCCTGAAGCGCCAGAATGTAACTGCTGCTCCATTTAAGGTAGAACAGGGAAAATTCAAATGAGAAGCTGGAGAATATCTGACTTCAACTTCGTATCACTGAAGAATTAGGGGTGGGTGATAATAAATAATTGCCCCCCCCCCTTTGAAGTCATATGATGCCCTAAATGTAACTGAAGCCCAGCAGTGAGGAGCTGAACTTTACCCTCCTCTGCTGTCACTGCAGACTGGCAGGGTCGCCTACAGAGCAGCGCTAGTAGCTGTTAATAAAGTGATGCTCTCTTTATTTGAGGGTCTCATTTCAGAGGGATGATTTCAGCCACTATCCATTGTAACTCAGTTCCAAGGGGCAAGGAGACACTCGAAAGCAGGGGTGGGCGTGAAAATAAGGAATGGGACTGGGCCTTAGCGTCTTTGCTGCACTGGGACGCGACAGATCATTTTTCTTAATATAAAATATTGTGCATCTCAGTGAAACTGCTGACATCTGATATGTACAGCGTCCTCTGGCTCTGCCTGCTCTTTCACCTTCCTTTTCATTTGGAGTTCAGTTTAAAAACGCTGTGATGCTAAGCAGTGCTAACGCAGTGCTAACGCAGTGCTGGAGGTGATCTGTAGTACGTTGAGTCGTTTACTGTGAAGGAGTAAAAGACCTGCAGGGTAAGGTGTGATTTAAGGTGGCGTTGTGATTTAAGGTGGTGTTGTAGTGCTCGTGTTCTGAGTGACGTATGCAGCTCTTGAGGGTTTTCCTTGCTGAGTAATGGTCTCTGTGGTTATTTCTGCTACTGCTGGGCTGTGTGATTATTCTCAAAGCATCCTGTTAAAAAGAGAATCATACTGTTTAATGAAGAGCTGTGCTTTGTGAGTTTGGTACAGCGTAAAAAATGAGTGTCTTGTAAAATGTGCTTTTGAATTGAGTGTTTTTGCTGAACAGGCTGGTAAAGCCAGGTTGACAGTACGTTCAGATCATGTTTACAGTGCTTTAACCACTTAAACTGCATGTATGAAGATAAACACTTCCATTATTTATGACTACATCACTTACATGAAAGTTTCATATAATCTGTAAGGCTAATCCTCAGTTTATGATACTGTGGTTCTGTCAGTTTAAACAAAAATGTTGTCGTTAAAATAAATCGTTGTTGTTGTTGTTATTGTTATTATTATTATTATTATTATTATTGTCGCATGATGAAGTGGAGCTTGGACTTTCTCTGTTTCTCACTCTTTTCTCCACTCTGTCTTTCAGGGCTGTGGGATGCGAGGGGAGCAGAAGGAGGAGCTGGAGAACCTGCGGAAGCAGCACGACCTCCTGCAGAAGATGCTGCAGCAGCAGGAGCAGCTGCGGGCGCTGCAGGGCCGCCAGGCCGCTCTGCTCGCCATGCAGCACAGCGCCGAGCACGCCATCGCAGCTATGGACGACACGGGTAACACAGAGCGTCTAATTCGGTGTTGCCTTTCGCTGCACAGCTCGTATTGCAAGCTTCTCCTGCAGTGCATGAAAATGTTTTTCACAGCCTGCTTGGTTGTTTTAGCACGTTCGTTTAAGCTCTTTCGTGTCTGTGTTTTTCAGTCGTGACTGAGACTACAGGAAGCGTGTCCGGCATCAGCATCACTTCAGAACTTAACGAGGAGCTCAATGACCTGATCCGACGCTTCCACAACCAACTGCATGACTCCCAGGTACACGGAAGACGGCGTACTCTGCGTCCGAATCCAAACTTAGCTGCAGATCCGGAGTGTTTTTAAGCATTTGCATTAGCAGCTGGCCTCACTGAAGTCGTAGTTTGTGACCGTTTGCAACTTTTTCAAGCCTGAAAGAAAGAAGAGCAGAAGGCCGTAGTCTTCTGCAGAAAGACTAAACTCTTAAATCTTAAACTTGGAACTAGTACAAAGACGTCGTATGATCCTAACAACAGTGATGTAGTGATATTCTTTAATATTAATATTTAAAGATGTTTACAAGTCACTTTAAGCAGGTCTGTTTCATGTTTTTCGTCATGAAGTTTTATTAGCATTTAAGCTAAATCTATTATGTGAACGACACTGCAGTGCACACTGTACAGGGAACTGCTTTGTGTCATGGCTTGTATGAGATGGCCTTTGCTATACTCTTGCACACCTTAGGTGGATCAAGAGAGTCTGAATGGCTCTGTTCTGTTTACTTTTATTTTAGTTTATAAAGTAAAACCGCTTGTCAGAGGGTTCTGCGGTAAGCTTTTTAGGATGAACAGGAGCACACTGGAAAATCTATGCAAATCTATAGATTTTAAAATAATAAAACAAAATAATAAGATGTCTCTGGCATCAACTTTCTGTGAGGGAGCTTTTAGAGGCGTTAAACTCTTTAGATGTCTGGTTTCCATCACCACTCTGAGCAGTTCTCACTCCAGAATGGAGCCTTTCACATCAAACCACTCAGAATGACTCTGCGCACACTGTAGCCGTTTAATTACGCACAAATTTTTGCAAAAAAACATTAACGTTTCCCTTCAAAGATGACCGGAACCATTCTGGGGCTGAAAGAGTCAGTTCTTATTGGTGAGCCGAGCTCATTGGTTTGACCCACTGAAAAGAGCTGCAATTCCCATCACCATCACTGCGAGTGTGCAGCGGCTTTCCTCTGCAGTCTGATGTCGAACAGCCCAGATGCTGCGATCTTTACAGCGTTACTTCAAACTGCACAAAACACGTTTTCCCCCAGTCTTAACTTTTCACTGTGTCAGGTTAAACACCCCAATCTGCTTGTTGTATAACAGCCCATTTAGCTGCTGGTGGTATTGCTGCTTTCTTTAGTTTCAGTAGCCAGTTTAAATGCCACTCAACACACTTGGCTTTAATTTGATGGCACTGTGTTGGCTAACATGCTGAGCAGTGCGCTGCATATGCGTAGCTGAGCCCGGTGTGGGCTGTTTCTGTGATGCCACTGCGCAGCATTCAGTAAAATGAACTTTTAACCCCAAGGGCAAGGGTCCCCAATCCTGGTCCCTGAGATCTTCCACCCTATAGGGTGTAGTTTCACCCCGAATCTAACACACCTGATTCAGGTGATGAAGGCTTTTAGGCCATGATGATGGCGATGGTGGTCATTAATAATCGTGTTGTGTTAATTTTAGGAGCTTTTCTACTTTAACACTGTACTGTTGTTTTCTCTCTCTCTCGCTCTCAGGCGGTCCCTGATAACAGGCGTCAGGCTGAGAGTCTCTCTCTCTCCAGAGAGGTGTGCCGCTCTCGCACTACCCACAGTCCTCGGGGGCAGCTGCCACCCGCCGCCGCGTCCTCTGCTAGTGCCAAGCTCACTAAACTGCAGGAGCTCCAGGACAAGAAGCAGACAATGGACAAGATCCTACAGGAGCTCCATTCACTCCGAGACCAGACGCTCAACAACAGCTCCTGTACGCTTTCAGCAGTTCACCAGTTACAGAAGTCCAGCCACAGAATTATCCTGACATTTAAAACGATAGTTGGACGCCAAGTTTGTCAGCTAAGATGTTTCAGCATCCAGATATTGCTTCTTTAGTTTTAGCCTCGAGCTATGAGGAAAATGTAACTATAGTATCTCTAAAAATGAGTTTATTCATAGTTGTAAATGTCAGTGTTTCATATTGTGTCTGAAACCACATAAGCAAGTCTATAAGACTACGTTCACACAGCAGGTAAAAGTGGCCCAAATCTGATTTTCTCAGTCTGAACAGATCAGCTCCTAAACTGACCCGCATGCACAAAAGAACAGAGCGTCACGCTGCTTCACGGCTCATCGAGAGGTAAACAGTCACGACCGCCAACGAACGCCAGTCGCTCCCGGAGGATCAGCTTCATCTTCGCCAACATCACAGGAGCCATCATGAAACTTCACTGACTGACAGCTGGGCTCATCACCCAGAATGTGTTCGAGCCGTAAAAAGGGCGCGGTCACTTCTTTGGTTCGCGTCCTCGGATTCTTTAAACTTTGCTTTCAGACTTTTAACTGTTCTTTAACGCTGCAGCCTCGTTCTCCTGCGGCCGCGTTCGGACATTTCTTTAGAAATCTCTTCGAACGCGGAGAGTTTTGGATGAGTCTCTACTCATTTTTTTGTACAGAAACATCAACCTAAATGTTTATGAGTCTCAGCAGCGTGAAATTATGACAAATGTCGAGTTGGACTGACATAAAAGTCGCATGAATTCCGATCTGGCTGTTCAGACTGAGTGGCATCACCGTATATCAGATACGTATCGGATTTCAGTACCACATATGAAAACGTCTCAAATCAGAATTGAAAATGTCAGATTCAGTGTGTTTATCTGTTCACACAGACACACATCTGTGTTACATATGAAGAAAAAGATCCGATTTTGGCCTCTTTCACCTGCTGTGTGAACTTAGCCTTAGACATTGCTGAGTTGAGGTAAATGATTTTTGATATGCAGTTAGTGTAACGCTAATGGGTGGATTCCAAGCCTCCGTTACTTATTGGCCTTGTAGCTCCAGTGCAAAACTAAATAAGCAAGTTTCAGACGCCGAACGTGTCTTGGTTTATCGACTACGTTTGCGTTAAGGGGGTAAAGAGTAAATTAGACTTTGCACTGAAAAGTAGCTTTAATGTCAATAGATACTTTGAAGGAATCTAATTAATGGCCTCTTTGGTGTTCTTATCTGTCAGTTGTTCTTATGGTTGTGTCTGTGTGCTCACTCTCAGGCCGTGGCGCGTCTCAGCGAGCCGTGTGTGCAGGAGTATCAGAGCGTCCGTCAGTGTTGGGGCGCGAAGGCAACAGCGCCAGTGCGGCGCGACAGGATTCCTCCTCTTACGATGACGACGGCCATCCAGCTGACAAACTCAGGTACTGGAACAGCAGTGACAGTCATTTACTTTTAAGTTGGTGGTGCTTTTTATATGACCTCAGAGGCAAATCTCAGAATTTTTGCCCTATGTTGGGTGTTTTTAAGCCCTTTTAATGCTCAGAGCTCAGTACGTTACAGGCGTGTTTTTACCGCTGATGCTTGGGCTTTTCACCATTTACACTTGCAGCCCTCGCTCCCATCAAACCGAGCATTTTGCCAGCGATTATTTCTGGGAATTTGGCAACGGCCTCTTTTGAAACCTCTCTACTCAACAATCTGATGGAAAATCTTGGTTTACATGCTCACTACAAGTAATCCAATCCAAAATTACACGCATACGAGGAGAACCACTTAGAGTAAACGTGACCATGACAGCGAACATCACGAGTCCAGACAGAGTGAAACGAGTTTTCGGCTGGCTTGTGTTTTTAATTGATTTAAAGTTGATTTAAGTCTGACTCAGAAAATGTACGTCGATGTCAGAAGAAGACGTCGTGTTCTGAGACACATAAGCTGGACGTCCGTCCCACCGCCGTCTTTTAAAGATCAGAGCATAAACTTCGTCTCCTCTGCAGACCAGTTTCTGCTCCGCCATGTTGAACGGTATAAACTTTCACTGTGACGTGACGAACATGATCAGAACGGACTTAAACTTTCCGATAGGGAATGTAATCAGATACAGGCGTTTACACGGATATTATTCTTCTATTTAACAGATTATTTACAGGATTACCCACCTCGATCAGTCGGATAGAGATATTCCGAATGGCCTCAATCAGACTAGACTATTCCGATTGAGCTATTAGTCGGACTATTAACGGATTATCAGCCTGCATGTAAACGTGGCTACTGTTGACTGATGTCACTAATATTTCTGTTCATGTGTGTTGATATTCCTAATATTAGAATTTGTTAGACTGCTTTCTTTACCTGTCAAATAAAGGCAACAGCAGCACTGAGCACTTTTTTTTTGCATCAGCCTTAAAGGATCAAGCAGTGATTTACTTTTGGCATGAATGTCCCGTCAAGCAGGTCTTAACATTCTCAGCGTAAGCAGCTAACAGCTCTTTCATTTCTGAATTGTGTTTTAAGTACAAGCTTGTACCTTTTTTCACAGAAAAACTGAAACCTGGCTGTAAAAACAAAAGCCTGACCAAAATGAGCCACTTTGCCTGCGATGTCACATTTGCACATTAGCAGCCACACACGAGAGCAGAACGTCACTAGTATTGTCCAGAATTGACTCACAAACACGGAACTCTCCTAGTAGTGTTATCAGCTTCTGTTCACACTTTAGACCTCCTGGTAGTTTCTTGAGAATTGAGGGTTTTGTGCAGGAAAATTGCTGCCATTCTTGGTGAGACTTCGGCTCCAGCTTGTTTTAAAACTCCTTCACATTTGATTTACTGTTAAAGTCCTGCGTGAAAGTGCATGTGTGAATGGGACAGTGTGAATGGATAGTATGAATTCTCACTGTCTGTCTGTCTGTCTGTCTTTCTCTCTTTCTCTCTTTCACACCCTACAGGAAGCTGAAGGAGGTGCACAAGCGGCTGAACGAGCTGAGAGAGCTGGTTCAGTACTACGAGCAAACCTCCGACATGATGGTGGACGCGGTCAACGAGAATGTAAACGACGATGAGGAGGAAGCGACGGAGGATGGGTCACTTTTCGAGGCGATGTTTGACTCGGAGCAGGAGAACCGAGAGCCGGTCACCACCATCAGGTACTGTGGGAACAGAAGCTAGAAGGAATATCAGAATATCACTGATAAAGCTGGTGCGATTAGGAGCTGGAGATGCACTGTGTAGTATTTAATGTAGTTTTGGCCTTTGAAATATCGGTGTCACAGAAGGCAGTGTGCCTTATGTAACTGAGCCCACCAATCACAAAACATGTTACTGTTGTCGCTGTTCGTGGTCAGTGAGTTAGCTAGCTTGCTAAGAGCACCGACATGGAGGATTTTTTTTATCTTTATTACATTTTTTATTTATTTATTTATTTTTTTAATATGCTGATATAAACTGCAAATATCTAGTGTGACTGCGGCTTTTAAAAACAGCCGTCAGAAACTCCCGGTACAATATTTGACAAACTCTGCTGCACCAAATCTCCATAGAGTCTGGCTGCAGACATGCACTCTCCGCCTGACATGCGCCGCCAGCCTCGGTGCCGCTCTGCCACGACAGTGTTTTTGTTGTTTTTATGAGGAAAAACAGCGAACTGCGTACTGTTGGGCAACAAGAGTTACACTGAGTGGATATTAACTTTGCCATACTGATAATAAGGTTATTAAATATGGAGACTTTCAAAACAAAACCTACCACGACGATAAGACACGAATGTCGGGTTTATTCACAGAAAAAAACAAAGTTTGCTGAAACTGGTGAAAGCCAAGCTGAAGACGATCAGGAACGAACCGGTTATCAAAAACTGCATTAAAATTGATGAAAATAGAGCTCATTAAGGATTCTAGGAGGTTGATGACGTTGACGAGACAGCAAAAGTAGTCACAACCTCCTAGAAAGTTGTCAGACAACGTTCGTAACTTTCCGAGGAATTACATTTCAACGTTGTGACGATGTAGAGAGCACCAAGCAGACGACGCTGTGGGCATCGAAACAGTACGTTGTCACAATGTAACTGTGCCTGCAGGGAGTTGGCTTGATGGTTGCCATTAGAGGCCATTAGGAAACAATCAAATGTAACTGGAATCAGTCCCAAACACCTGATTATCCTTAACACTGTGATATCGACCCATCAGGAAAACACAGAATACCTTTAGTGACTACTGAAAACCACCAGGAACCAGCAGACACTTTTAATGGGTTCTGTGACTTTTTCAACAGGGAGGTATATTAAATGTAACTCTCCAGCTGTGTTATGGATGAAAAATGGATTAAGTGATGATGTCGCTAAGCAGCAGCAGCCAAAAGTTACCGTGCCGTTGGGCGGCTTCTGCCACTGTGGCAGAGAGTGCATGTGTACGTGACGTCACTGGGGCTGAGAGTGCCTCTGTCTGAGAGTGCCTCTGTCTGAGAGTGCCTCTGTCTGAGAGTGCATCTGTCTGAGAGTGCATCTGTCTGAGAGTGCATGTCTGCAGTCTTGTTAAAGAGGACTGATTATGTTCTGTAACAGAACCTGTTGGTCTGTGTTCTGTAAGTACTGATCCACAGTTTGTTTAGAGAAGCTTGTTGTTCATCACAATAACAAATTGATACAATGTCATGTGTGTGTGTCTGTGTGTGTGTCTGTGTGTGTGTCTGTGTGTGTGTGTCTGTGTGTCTCTGTGTGTGTGTCTGTGTCTGTGTGTCTCTGTGTGTGTGTGTGTGTGTCTGTGTGTGTGTGTGTCTGTGTGTGTGTGTCTCTCTGTGTGTGTGTGTGTGTGTGTGTCTCTGTGTGTGTGTGTGTGTGTGTGTGTGTCTCTGTGTGTCTGTCTGTGTGTGTGTGTGTCTCTGTGTGTGTGTGTGTGTGTGTGTGTGTGTGTCTCTGTGTGTCTGTCTGTGTGTGTGTCTGTCTGTGTGTGGGTGTCTGTCTCTGTGTGTGTGTGTGTGTGTGTCTCTGTGTGTCTGTCTGTGTGTGTGTGTCTGTCTGTGTGTGGGTGTCTGTCTCTGTGTGTGTGTGTGTGTGTCTCTGTGTGTGTGTGTGTCTGTGTGTGTCTGTGTGTGTGTCTGTGTGTGTGTGTCTCTGTGTCTCTGTGTGTGTGTGTCTGTGTGTCTCTGTGTGTGTGTGTCTCTGTGTGTGTGTGTCTCTGTGTCTCTGTGTGTGTGTGTGTGTGTCTGTGTGTGTGTCTGTGTGTGTGTCTCTGTGTGTGTCTCTGTCTGTCTGTGTCTGTCTGTGTCTGTCTGTGTCTGTCTGTGTGTGTGTCTGTGTGTGTGTCTCTGTGTGTGTCTCTGTGTCTCTGTGTCTCTGTGTCTCTGTGTCTGTGTCTCTGTGTGTGTGTGTCTGTGTCTGTGTCTCTGTGTGTGTCTGTGTGTCTCTGTGTCTCTGTGTGTCTCTGTGTGTGTCTCTGTGTGTGTCTGTGTCTCTGTGTGTCTCTGTGTGTGTCTCTGTGTGTGTCTCTGTGTGTGTCTCTGTGTGTCTCTGTGTCTGTGTCTCTGTCTGTGTGTCTCTGTGTGTCTGTGTGTGTCTCTGTGTGTGTCTGTGTGTGTCTCTGTGTGTGTGTCTCTGTGTGTGTGTCTCTGTGTGTGTGTGTGTGTCTCTGTGTGTGTCTCTGTGTGTGTGTGTGTGTCTCTGTGTGTGTCTCTGTGTGTGTCTGTGTGTGTCTGTGTGTGTGTGTGTCTCTGTGTGTGTGTCTCTGTGTGTGTGTCTCTGTGTGTGTGTGTGTCTCTGTGTGTGTGTCTCTGTGTGTGTGTGTGTGTGTGTGTGTGTGTGTGTGTGTGTGTGTGTGTGTCTGTGTCAGGAACCCAGCCCAGCCACAGGCTGCAGGTAACTGGATGGACATGAACACTCTGACCAACGCCTGCAGCAGCTCCAACAACAGAGACGGACGTCTCAACTCTGAGTGTGAAATTAACAACCGCTCTGCTACAAACCTGCGCAGCCTCAACATCCCCTCGGCTATTGGTCAGCTTTCTTTAATGCTTCTTTCTTTCGTTTTTTTAAGCTATCATCTTGTTCTGTTTGTCTATTTATGTTTGTAAACACAGTTTTGTTATTTTACTCCTGTATGTAAATTGTAGATGAAATATCTTTATTATTGTTCTGTAAGTTAGACTGTTTCAGGTTTTTTTCTTTGAAACTTAGAATTTTCTAATCTTATTTACTATTTGTTGAGTTTTTTTTTTAACTATTTACCACCTCAGAACATGAAAATTGGCAACATTGCAGATTATATATATTAATTTATATATTCTGTATAGTTTGTGCTCATGATTCGGCCAAAATACAATTTCCTGGCTTTTTTTAAACTAAAAATCCATGATAAAGCTCAGTGTGTGATTCAGAGTTGTACCATAATAATGTAATCAAATTGTGAAATTTCATTGTGCTCTGAATTTGAATGTAATGGAGTTATTGATATCCCTTCTCATTTCAGAGTGTCAGTATAACAGAGACGGCCCTTACAACGGCGCAAAGAACGGAAACGGTGATGAAGACGAGGGCGAAGACGACGATGGAGCTGAGGATGAAGATGGCGCGAGGCGAAGGAGGGACAGTTCGGGTTCAGGCTCGAGCCGCAGGAGCAGCATCGCCGAGGACGCAGAGTTCGCTCAGAAGGTCCACCGCCTCCATACGGCCAAGCAGAAACTCCGGCAGCTCCAGGAACTCGTCGCCATGGTGCAGGTTAGCGCTGACGGATGGGTGGCTGCTTAGCAACAGTGCTTATCCAGTTTTTTGAATACATGCTGTTACTTGTTACTTGGTTGGCATTATGAAAATCATGGGTGGTGATAACTGGTGATATGTAGGGGTTTAAAAATGTTCTGATATTCTGATCCTTCGATCTGAAGGTGGTGATTCAGCTACGTCCATTTTAGTGTTAGAACTGGTTAAAGTCAGTTTTGAATTGAGCATACGGCCATTTTTTAAGGTAAAATATTTTTGGGGATGTTTTCAACAGTGAAAAATCCAACAGTAAGCTTGATTTGTTGTTCTTATTGTTTGTGGTGTAAATAATTCCTCCAGTCGGTTGTACATGTTCTTATTTTAAAAGTAATATGTAATTGTATCAGCATAAAGGCCTCAGCAGGCGGAGAAAAAAAACCGTAGACGTCGCGGAGGCTTCGTTCGCCATGTAGCGCACATGGCAGCTGAGCGAACTCCATGAATGAAGACGCTACGCGACAAAGCCTCTGATTGGTCGGTAGACAGGAGGCGTGCCATGAAACAAAGATGGGCAACTTTGAGGAGCTTCGGCTTTGGCAGATACACTAATATTTCACTGTGAAATGCGCATTCGTTAAATAAACAATGAAAACCTCCTCAATGTAAGATATTAAGTCTTTTATTCGGTAATACTAACCAGTACGAAGCACCAAAACATACAGGTTATCTTGTATTTAGGTTCACAAGAGGACGAGGCTGAAGTTGGCTTCCTATTCACCAGCTTCTTGTTTCGAATTTCCCCGCTCCACTTTAATGGTGGCGGTATTCTGAACTCAAACGTCGTCATAGTTGGAACAGTGAAAGAACCGTTTTCCAGCAGTCATGAAACTTATCATAAAGTGTCATAGCGTCACGTGGAGCGTCCACAACAGGCAACACGAAACCGCAGAAAGTATGCGAGCTTGTAAGCTCGCAAAGGCGCTTTCGGCTTCACACAACCCTCGAGAATTTCGTTACGCAAGAAGTGCCGAGGCCTTAATTGTCAGATAGTAATAGATTCTGGAAAAGATTTGTCGCCTTTCATATATAATAAATATAATTCGGAACTTTATAACTGAGAGCTGTGTGAATTGTTAGCTTTTTGGATATCATAATCCTTTTTTGGAAACGGTAGTAATCATTAGTGGATTGTTTGCCACATTTGTTTGCCTACCTTTGATTTAAAAGTTTATTTTGGTTTTAAATAAAGCGTTTTTCTGTGTTTGTTCTGCAGAGTGATGATACAGATGGTACTGCGGCCAATGAGGATGAAGGCTTGCACCAGCAGCCCAACAACACCAGAGCAGCGGCACCCAAAGCCAAAAGAGAGCTTTCCCTCTCGGACAAGGCCAGGTGTGTGTCCGTTTCTCAGTCCTCAGTGTACGTTTGCCTCTGTGAGAGCTGGAGGAGATCCGCAGGGCACTGGATTCGGATTCCCATTCAGAGTTTATCACCAGAGAAACTGTTTTTTTGCTGTTCTTGCCACTTACGCTTGCTGTAACGGCTAGTCTAACAGTGATATCCATGTGTACACTGGTTTCGTTTTCATTCACTTGTTTAGTTAATCGTTTAGTTAGTAACACTGTGTGTTTGTATGCGTGTGCATTAGGGAGAAGCTCTATGAGGAGAAGCTGAGGCAGCAGCAGCAGGAGCTGAAGCAGCTTCATGAAGAGAGACAGAGACTGATGGAGATTCAGGGAAAAATACAGGACCTGCAGTGGGCCTGCCCTGATTTACAGGTACCCTCATTCAGTCACTCTAACCTTTACATACAGAGGACACGCAGTGGGGCACAACTAGGGGCAGAGAATTGTGATGTGTTGATCAGAAGGTGCTGAAAGTGCAGTTACAAAAGTTCTACAAAGTGTTTGTTACTTTTCAGTTTTTCTTTCTTTCTTTCCTCCTTTATTTGGATTTATGCCCATTATTTCGTTAACTTGGCCACGACCAATTCCACCTGCTAGTTAGGCCTCACCCAGTCGTGCGATGCTACGAAGCTGAAGGCTTGCTCTGAGGCGCATGAAGTGCCATGACATCTTCTGCATTTACATTTATAGCATTTAGCAGAGGCTCTTATCCAGAGCGACGTACAAAAAGTGCTTTGTCTACCTAGAAAAAGTATCTTAGGTTAGAGTGAAAGCCAGTCCTGAGCTCAGATACTGCTAGAATCAGAAGATCATGTTGATACCCAGAGATACCCACAGTGCAGTGCAGTACATTAGTGCCTCACAGTTCATTACAATAAGTACTTATCTCAGTGCTCACTTAAGTGCTGTAAAAAGAGACGAGTCTTCCGTCTGCATTTGAAGACCACGAGAGACGCTGCTGTTCAGAGAGCCAGTGGGAGTTCGTTCCACCACCTGGGTGCCAGGACAGAACCGCTAACTGTCATGCGGCTAACATAACTAGGGATGTTAACAGTTAACAGTTAACTGCCGAATGCATAAATGTTCGTCCAGTGTTTTCAGTTTAAAAAGTACATTTCTGATAAACAGCTGATGTTGGATAGGAGAGTTTTTAATTCACTTAAGGACGGTTTTTGAATTCTACACATGAAGGCGCAGATTCCATTAGTCCTACTTTCAGGAGTCGACTTCTGCTGCTGTAGGTGACTTTTAACAATAGCACAGGAGCCATTGATCAAGAGATAGCAGAGATCAAAGCCTCTTAAATGTAACTTCATCATCACAACCAATATCTTTAGTCACATGACAGAGCGAAGAGCTATTGTTTATTTTTTAAATATCTTGTTGCTTCTGTTCAGTGTAGCCTTTAGCTACAGCCTTCAAATATGTTTATCTAACGATTAGCCTTTGTAATTTGTCCCATGACCAAAAAAAAGCTTAAGTTGTGAACTACTGGCTTTATATTGATGTTTAAACTATGCATATGAACTGCAAGCTAGTCCCAGTCAGGCCATATAGGTTTGTTAATTTGGGCTAATAATATGTAATAAATATAAGTAATAAAGTAAGTAGACTACATATGTGAGTCGTATCTGTTATAATAGCGTGCGTTTTTCTTTTTCTTCACTTACTGAAGCCTAAGCCGTTGTTTTTATGAAACGTGGTGCTGTGTTTCTTGATTTCATATGTCGTGTCCATGATTATAACCCTATGATCACCCACTAATAATGATCAGCTATCGGTCAAAAGAAATTGCTGAAATTCGTATCTCTAAAAGCAACATCTCTGGACAGCTCAACACACTTGGAGGACACTATATTCCACTATAGTGCAGATATTTGCTTGTGTATTCAGTGTGTCTTTAAAAATATTTCACAATCATACCAGAGTAAGCAAATGATTGTTTGATAAAACACTTAAGCTGGCAGTGCAAATCAGTGTCTTTTTGGCCAAAGTGCCGCTGTGGTTGAGTTTAATGTGCGGCGCGTGCCGGATGCTAAGCAGGACTCCTAATTGTTGTTATTTGTCTCACATAGTCATCGATCTCCAGCAGCACCAGTGGTGCAATGATGAAGAAGCTCCCGGCTGCAGCCTCCACTCCGGCTCCTGCGCCTGTAACGGCCGCTTCTGCTGCCAAGAGCAACACAGCGGTCCTCAAACCCACGACTGAGCCTGCCCCAGTGGCGGTCACTGACAATGAGGTGTGTGGAAGTGGGCAAGACTGGGAGGGTGCAAGTCAGAATCATACTTCATATATCGAGTATACAAACTTATCAGTTTTACAAAGACACCTGGCTGGATTATTTGAGAGGTGTTTGGATGTGACCGCTTCGATCTGATAATGCCGAAAAAAACAAGTGACAAAAGGCAGAAAGCCTTTTGAGGAATATGCTTCCCTCATTCTCTCGTGTTTTGTGAGAAATACTTTTCAGATATTTTTCAGATGGAGGTTTTCTCATACATGCGCCCTGAAGGTGGTGTTTCATGTTATAAAGTCAGACTGCACAGCACTACATATACATCCTGTAAAAATGTTTCTCTTAGGCTACGTTTACACACCAGGTAAAAGTGGCCCAAATCCGATTTTATTTTATTTTTTTTTCTTCATATGTGATACAGATGTGTCTCTGTGTGAATAGCAAAAAACACATCTGACATTTTCAATTCCGATGCTTTGGTATGTGGTTCTGAAATCCTATCCGTATCTGATGTGGCAATGCGGCTCAGTCTGAACAGCCAGATCGAATTCACGTGGCTTTTATCTCAGTCCAGCTCGACATTCCGCGCTGCTGAGACCTCATAAACGTTTGGGGTGATGTTTCTGTATAAAAATTATTAGAGGCTCATCCAAAACCCTCCGTGTTTCACAGAGAAGTTGGAAGAAATGGCCGAACGCGGCTGCAGGAGAACGAGGCTGCAGCGTTAAAGAACAGTTAAAACTCTGAAAGCAAAGTTTAAAGAATCCGAGGGCGCGAACCAAAGAACTGACCGCGCCCTTTTTACGGCTCGAACACATTCTGGGTGATGAGCCCAGCTGTCAGTCAGTGAAGCTTCATGATGGCTCCTGTGATGCTGGTGAAGATGAAGCTAAACCTCCGGGAGCGACTGGCGTTCGTGACTGTTTACCTCTGGTTGAGCCGCGTGAAGCCGCTCTTTTGCGCATGTGGGTCAGTTTAGGAGCTGATCTGTTCAGACTGATGTCGCATACAGATCACATTTAAAAGATAATGTGAACAGACAAAAACAATCTGATTTGGTGAGAAAATCAGACTTGGGTCACACTTACCCTCTGTGTGAATGTAGCCTTAGACTAATGTAATCTGGCTGTTGTGAGGATGTTAACATAGTTATTGAGAATTTACAGAGGAACATGCCTGGGTGGTGTTTGCATTTGTGTCTTTGTGTGGGGATATTTCTGCTTTTATTCAAGCCTTGATGGAAGGATTTGTTCTAATTTTTCTCTCTCTCTCTCTCTCTCTCTCAGCTGTGGTCGGAGATGCGCAGGCACCAGGTGCTGAGGGAGGAGCTGAGGCAGCGGAGGAAGCACCTGGAGAGTCTAATGGCGGAGCAGCAGAGGAGGAGCGCGCTCAGTGACTCCCCCTACAGAAGCGACAAGCACACTACACGCAACTACAGCCGTGACGAGAGGTAAACACACACTCGCGCTACCTGCTGTTCCAGCTGTGTCCACAGATAAATGTACCATATTCGGTCAAATAAAGCAGTTACTGTGTTGAAAATTAAGTTATTGGGTGATGTTAACGGTCAGAGCTTATAGTTATTGGATGATTAGTGTGTCAGAATTGTGCATAGGTTATTTTTTTGATTGACTGATTTACTGGTTTTGTTAGGACCATGGCAACATGGGGTGGTTCCACACAGTGCCCCCTGGGTGAGGAAGATGATGAAGACTTCATGTCTGAGCCTGGGGCAGAGGAGGAAGAGGAGGATGAGGAAGATGAGGGAGAAGAAACCAGCTCCAGTGATGATCTTCAGTCGTTCTCCAACAGAAAACAGCAAAGCTCCAGCAACAGGAAGAACAGAGACAGGTAGATGCACATACAGAAAGGATAGACACGCCGATTTAGTGTTCATCATTTAGAGAAGAAACAGCCACAAACTTCAGCAGGATCTAACAAACGCACCTGTTTGAAGTAAAAACTTTCAAAACCAGAAGATTATTACCAAAAGACACAGAGTTACTTAGTATTATTTATGTGATTTCCATTAAAGAACTTCATTAAATCAGTAAAAGGTGAAAAGACCATAAAAACCTAGATCATATGCATCGTAGCTACAGTGGATCATGTTTGAGTTTCACTTTGTTTACATGCAAAGATTGTTGCCAATCCGATTAAATACATTCCGATTACCGACTGGGGTGTTTATATGCTCACTCTACTCAACAACCTGATGAAGAATCTCTGTTTACATGCTCACTATAAAGTAATCTGATCCAAAATTACGCGCATGTGCAAAGCACCACTTAGTGTTGGCGTTACCATGACAACGAGCATCACGTGAGTCCAGTCAGAGTGAGATGAGCAGCAGTGAGCAGTGCTTGTGTATCTACTTACTTTAAAATGATGTCAGACTCAGGAAAACGTCCTTCACATGTCCTCATTAAAGAAGGCCGAGAGGAAGACGTCGTGTTCTGAGACATAAGCTGGACGTCCGTCCCACCGCCGTCTTTTAAAGATCAGAGCATAAACTTCGTCTCCTCTGCAGACCAGTTTCTGCTCCGCCATGTTGAACGGTATAAACTCTCACCATGACGTGACGAACATGATCAGAACGGACTTAAACTTTCCGATAGGGAATGTAATCAGATACAGGCGTTTACACAGTTATTATTCTTCTATTTAACGGATTATTTACAGGATTACCCACCTCGATCAGTCGGATAGAAACTGTATTCCGAATGGCCTCAATCAGACTAGTTTATTCTGATTGAGATGTAAACATGGACGTATTCTATTCCGATTGAGCTATTAGTCGGATTATTAACGAATTATTGGGCTGCATGTAAACATGGCTAGTGTCTCAGATGGACCACACCCAAGCAAAAAGACAATGCATACAGTCGTGTACAAAAGTTTCCACACAAGAAATTACGTTTTGCTGATTTTATTTTTTTCTTTTTAGTGTAAATAAGTTAACGCATCCTCTACAGAGAATATGCTTAAATACAGCATTTTGCTAATTTCAGTTGTTACCTAACATATTGGAAAAAATAAAACACACAGCATATTTTACTGTATGTTTTGCAAAGGCCAGATTTTGTGCCCCCAGTAAAAATTTGAAAGTCAGCAAACCAGCAGTAATTGTGCCTTACAGTGTGCAGAAGTGTGTTGTCTGCAGAGGATCTGTTAACTACCTGTTTTAAAGATATAATAATTGTGGTATCCAGTGTATCAGTAATAAAGACACAGCAACAAATGATCATGTGGAAATGAATGAAATGACTGAAAAACAGTGTACAAAACCGTTCATATGTTGTAAATGGACTTTTGGGGCATTTTTAAACCTGTGTGTCTCTTTGCCCTCTCTCTCTCTCCAGCGTGAAGGTTGTGGGTGAGCTGTCTGGTCGTCCCTCCCCCCGCCGCCCTCGGCCGCAGCACCGTCAGCAGAGCGAGAGGGAGGGGGCGTGTCCCAGATCCGGAGCGAGGAGGCAGGAGAACCTGCGCTGGGCTGCCGATCTCTCTGCCTCCGAGGGCACCACACACACTCACTGGCAGGAGCAGGTCACACAGCTGCAGAAACAGCTGGACTTCAGCACGGCCATGTGCCAGACGCTGCTGCAGGACCAACAGGTCAGTACAGCACGCCACATTTACATTTAATCAGTCATAGGCATTACAGTACATCCCCGTTTCCAAAAAAGTTGGGATGATGTGCAAAATGTAAATAAAAACAAAGTGCAATGATGTGCAAATAATTTAAACCCTATATTTAATTCAAAGTAGTACAAAGACAACATATTAAATGTTGACACTGAGAAATTTTATTGTTTTTTGAAAAATATTTGCCCATTTAGAATTTGATGCCAACAACACATTACAAAAAACGCTTGGGACAGGGGCAAAGTTGGTGGTTAATTGACAACAGATGAATAACATGATTGGGTATAAAAGAGACCCTCCCAGAGAGGCGGAGTCTTTCAGAAGTAAAGATGAGGAGGGGTTCACCACTCTGTGAAAGACTGCACAATCAAATAGTGCAACAATTCAAGAATAACGTTTCTCAATGTAAAACAGTAAAGAACTTTTGCTTTTCATCATCTGTGGTACATAATAACATTAAAAGATTCAGAGAATCTGGAGAAATCTCTGTATGCAATAGACAAGGCCAAAAACCAGTATTTGCTGGCCGTGATCTTTGGGCCCTCAGGCAGCACTGCATTAAAAACAGACATGATTCTGTAGTGGAAATCACTGCATGGGCTCAGAAACACTTCTGAAAAATGCTGTCTAATGAAAACAGTTCATTGCTGCATCCACAAATGCAAGTTTAAACTGTAAAACATTAAGAAGAAACTGTACATAAACAGGATCCGGAAATGCTGCCACCTTCTCTGGGCCCGAGCTCATTTAAAATGGACTGAGGGGAAGTGGAAAAGTGTCCTGTGGTCCGACAAATAAATCCTTTTTAAAATCATGGACACTGTGTCCTCCGGGTTAAAGACCACTCAGCTTGTTATCAGTGCACAGTTCAAAAGCCAGTATTCATGATGGTATAAGGGGCATTAGTGTACATGGCATGGGTGACGTGCACATCTGTGAAGGCACCATTAATGCTGAACGATATATACATGTTTTGGCAACATATGCTGCCATCCAGACGGTGTCTTTTTCAGGGAGGGCCTCGATTATTTCAGCAAGACAATGTAAAACCACATTCTGCATGTATTACAACAGCATTGCTCCGTATTAAAAGTTTGCAGGTGCTAAACTGACCTGCCTGCTGTCCAGACCTGTCACCACTGAAAACATTTGGCACATTATGAAATGAAAAATATGACAAATGAGCCCCCGAAACTGATGAGCAGCTGAAATCCTGTATCAAACTAGAATGGGAAACATTTCACTTTCTAAACTACAGCAGTGTCTCCTCAGTTCCCAAACACTTACAGAGTGATGTTTAAAAGAAGAGGTGATGAAACACAGCGGTAAAAACGCCCCCGTCCCAACTTTTCATCAAATTTAAAATAGGCATATATTTTTCAAAAAAGAAAATTTCTCAGTTTCAACGTTTAATTTGTTCTCTTTACTATTTTCCTTTAAAAATATGGTCACATGATTTGCACATCATTGCATTCTATTTTTGCATACATTCTGCGCAGCGTACCAACTTTTTTAGAAATGTGGTTGTGTGATCTTTCTGTAGAAGTAATAGGTTAAGTACCATCAACAAACACTTGAAACATTTCATTTTTCATAAAATAAAATGGTTTTCTTGAGTTTTTGTCTCACTCTGTTTGTGTGCACTCGCAGACTCTATCCTGCATGCTACAGTCTGTGTTGACAGGGCCGTACAACGTGCTGCCGAGCAACCTGGCCTCCCCGCAGGTTCCTCTCATCATGCATCAGCTCAACCAGTGCTACACACAACTCGCCTGGCAACAAAACAACGTCAACAGGTACACAAACACATAATTATGGACTGAGCAAACCAAGGTTCTTACAGACTGGCCTGGATTGTTTGTCAAGCTGAACTTTCTTTTTGCATTAACAGGCTGAAGCAAGTTCTCAGTGAGCTCCTCCGGCAGCAGCAGCAGTCGTCAGGGCAACAGCAACAGTCATCGTCGTCAGGGCAACAGCAGCATCAGACTGTAGCTCAGGATTCTGTGTCTTCATCTCTGTTTTTCCCTTTCCCTCCTCTGAACCCACTCGGCATGTCTGGAATTGCCAACTTCTCCCCGATGTCTACTGGTGTGTGGAGCTTCTGATTGTTTGATTGATTGCATGTTTGTTTTTTATAGATCTGACCCCAACAGCATTTTACAGGCTTCAGGTGCTCGCTGGTGTTTCTAGACGAGTACACAAATTTATTGTTGTTTAAAAATGACAGGGTTCCTCATGCATGATTTCTTTCTGAGGCATCATAGAGTGTTTGTTTTTTAGCATTTTCAGTATATTAATATATGCTCATGAAATGTGTAGTGTGTCTCTCTCTCTCTCTCTCTCTCTCTCTCTCTCTCTCTCTCTCTATATATCTGTGTCTGTGTGTGTCTTGTGATATTTGTCATTGTCATGGCAAAATTAATATTTTCTTGATCTTGGTTAATTTATACCAGGACAGGATGCACATTGTTTAATCAAGCTAACATTCATTGTTTTTTTTATTATAATTTTGATAAATGACTCAAGATCTTGAGAAAACAAATGAAAATAACTCATTATGGTAAACTGAATAAAAAAGAAAAGAATTAACAGACATAAAATAATAAGGAAAAGAGTATTTTTTTATTTTTTTTTTTGGCTCAAACACTTTTCTCTCTGTCTCTCTCATTCTAGGTTTCAACCTCTCTCCACTGTTCCCATCAGCGGGGCCAGAGGTCCAGCAGACGTCCGGCGTTCAAGCCAGTCCGGATCAGCAGCATCACGACATGTCCCTTAAAACAGAGTACATGAGCTTCCCCCCGCCGCTGCAGAGGACTCCACTCAACAACGCTGACAAACGGTACCTCCTGTGTGTTGTTTGCACACATGCAGTAACTCTCTGACCCATCATACCCTGCACACAGACGCATTCTCATATAGTTATTGTTGCGAAAAATTGCATCCACTGTATTAAAAAACTGTATTGGACATAACATTGACATTGAAGATCCATAAATCTTAAGCCATCTGGTTTTATAAAGACCTCCGAACGCTGCCTTGGACCCTCAAAATAATCACACCACTATTCAACAGTATTTAGTCCTTGATACCATGGTTACGATCACGTATGGCAGCAGTATTGTGTGATTTAATATTTAATAGTTCAAGGCAACACTTTCTTTTGTTCTGTTTTTACTGTATGGTGATATATGACAAAAAAACACATTTGTGGATGTGCACGAATAAAAGTACTGATTTCCCATTTATATTTGTTTATTTACTGAAATCAGAGCGATGTGTTTGTGGCAAGTTGTGGCTTTGAATTCACTGGCTTCTATATTATATATTAGCATTTTCATTTCTGCTGACAAAGTGAGATGAAATGTATTTTTTTCCTCTCTCAGCTCTCAGAGTGAGCCTCATGGCACCAGCTGGTTAAACTCCTCCCTAAACAGGTCATGTGACCAGCGTGCTGCCGTCCCCACTGACCGCGGTCAGTCTCAGCTGGACTCTCCCTCGTTGTCTCCGGCCCCTCGCGCCCCCACCTACGCACCAGAGTCACAGGACTCTCTCAGCAGCCTGCCGGACCGGGCCGACCCCACCACAGTCACTAAAACATTCAGACCGGGACGGAAGGCCTCAGCTCAGGCCAGCCTGGCCTCCAGAGACAAAACCCCTAAGAGCCGCCGCAGGAGGGGCAAGGGCCACAAAAACACGGGTGAGGGACAAATTTCTCCCTTTTTCTGTCTATTACCGCTATTCCAGTCTGCAGTAAGAACGTTTGTAAAAATTCAGGGAGATTCAAAAAGATTCGTCCGATTTCAAAGCGATATATTTTTACAACCGTGAGGCGCCTAGGAACCAATCACAATCCAATTGAAAGAGGGGGTCATAGTGTTTCTGACTGTCACCGGAAGATGGCCCCCTTCAGTCTGAGAGGAGATGAGACCCCTGAGCAGAAAGCGTTCTGCGTTCTCCACTTCAATAAAAGTGAATCCGTCATAACTGTGCAGTGTGATCTTCATTGGCAGTGAAGCTCCAACAGCTCAGAGCGTTCGTGATCTCCGAAATCGCACTGAAAGAGCCGTGAGTGCAGCGACACCGACGTGCTCAATCCAGTATGGGATGGATTTGACTATGGCGTTGATGTTGTCTATACAGCTGGAGGAGGTTCATACTGAGACCTTGTAAAATTACGTAATAAACTTTATGCTCATTTAAACCAGTTTACTGCATTGATCTGTAGTGATTTACAAGAGAAATCAATCATTTTGAAATCGGATGAATCTTTTAGAATCACCTTGTATTTTTCTGCAAAGCTGAAAAAACAACTCATATACGCCCAACTTTGGAAACATTTATCCCCTCATGCTGTCGGCACTTTCAATATGTGCTTTTTTAATAGTTTTGAAAACTATCGAATCGTTTTTTTTGGCAGCACTTTGATAAACATGAAGCTGAGTTTTGCAAAATACTAAAAATAAATAATATATTGTAGTAAATATGAGTAAATGGTTGTTTTATGTGAACAGTCATTTGGAGATGTTTCTTTTATTTGAAAAGTAACAGTAAAAATTAAACATTTTCTTCAGAAGAAGACAGAGTGTCCCTTCACTTCTGATTATGCAGAACTCCCATGAGACACAGAGTGCCGCAGTCATTCGCTCATTCTGAAGCTCTGTCCCGCTCTCCTCACAGCAGGTTTGGAGTCAGACAGTGCTTCAAGCGCCACAGAGTTTGGCCCGGAGAGGGAACGGGAGCGTTCCTCTCAGCCAAAACCTCGGGATACGAACCAGAGCCTCCTGGACAAACTCACCCAGGAAAAACTGGACAGCAAAACCAAGAACAGCAAACACAACGACGTCTCTTCAGGTCCGTCTCTGTTCCTACAACACAGTACCCAGTACAGAATTCTCAGGGCCAAAACACTGCACAGTAGATGGTGGAGGTTTCTGATAGTGATGACCTCAATGATGTGGATGACACTGATACCAGTGACCTTTATTTACTCATTTATTTAATAATGTATTTATTTGACAACCGTTTCACACCGTCCATGTATATGAAGCCCAGTGAGTATAAAATTACTATTAAAATAGGAAGCCAAGTTATTTAATTATAATTATTGGATTGTAATTGTTGGCTGTAAGTCAGACAGGCAGAGCTGGGTGGTCATTTAAAAATGACATTACTTACTTTACTTACCGCTACTGTTTACATGGGAAAGAATCAGCTTTTTTACTCAGTTACATTAGCATCCCATTTATTTAGTCATTATTAAGGGTTTCAACAAAGGTTTCTTTGTTGTTGAACACATTTGTACTGCTTTATGATTCGTCACACTTGGGAACTTTGGCTTTGCAACTTCAGTATTGAATTTCAAAAAAAGAGAAGAAAAGAGCGCAATAAACTTCGGTTCTTGTGCTGATAGATACTGGATATGCTCAGAAACTCCTCTGCAGTTCTCAGTACTTAAGTAGTTAAGTACTGTTACTTCGGAACTTTTAAGTTGGTTTTGGAAAGGTGCTCTTACTTCAATCACAGCAAAAGTCATGATTTCTATTTCCCTGAAGAAATAGTGCTTATATTGAGTTTTACTTTAGAATGCTCTCTCTTCCTCTTTATTGCTGAATAATACACCAGTCAGGTATAACATTCTGACCGCCTCCATGGTTTTATCAGCTCCACTTACTATATAGGTGCACTTTGTAGTTCTACAGTTACAGACTGTAGTCCATCTGTTTCTCTGCATACTTTGTTAGCCCCCTTTTACCCTGTTCTTCAGTGGTCAGGACCCCCATGAACCCTCACAGAGCAGGTACTATTTGGGTGGTGGATCATTCTCAGCACTGCAGTAACACTGACGTGGTGGTGGTGTGTTAGTGTGTGTTGTGCTGGTCTGAGTGGATCAGACACAGCAGTGCTGCTGGAGTTTTGAAACACTGTGTCCACTCACTGTCCACTCTATTAGACACTCCTACCTCGTCAGTCCACCTTGTAGATGTAAAGTCAGAGACGATAGCTCATCTGCTGCTGCACAGTTTGTGTTGGTCATCCTCTAGTCCTTCATCAGTGGTCACAGGACGCTGCCCACAGGACGCTGTTGGCTGGATATTTTTGGTTGGTGGACTATTCTCAGTCCAGCAGTGACACTGAGGTGTTTAAAAACTCCAGCAGCACTGCTGTGTCTGGTCCACTCAGACTAGCACAACACACACTAACACACCACCACCACGTCAGTGTTACTGCAGTGCTGAGAATGATCCACCACCCAAAGAGTACCTGCTCTGTGAGGGTCCATGGGGGTCCTGACCACTGAAGAACAGGGTAAAAGGGGGCTAACAAAGTATCAGAGAAACAGATGGACTACAGTCTGTAACTGTAGAACTACAAAGTGCACCTATACAGTAAGTGGAGCTGATAAAATGGACAATGAGCGTAGAAACAAGGAGGTGGTCAGAATGTTACGCCTGATCAGTGTATGTTGTACGAGTTACTTGATTGCACTTTTTAACTAGTTATTAGGATCTTTGGCTTTTAAAGCAGTGATTCGGCCGCCTGAGTTGGAGAATCCTTTATTATCTTCCTAAATATCGTCTGACGCGGCTGTTCCAAACATCTAGACGTGCTCCTGACGGTCGACCCTGCTGCAAAGTACAGTTCCACCGCTAATCTGAGTTGGATTAGGATCAGAACGGAAACGTGAACTGCATTAAAGTGTTATTACTGTTCTTTTGTCCTCATCTTAAGTTGTTATCATACCATGTTTTCATTTTTTGTCGTTTCTGTTCCACATTCGTCCGTGCTTCATTTCTCATTTTTGGTTTTCTCACAGCGTATGCTTGGAGAACTCCCTTCCTCTCTAACCGAATCGCATGCACAGAAGCTCCAGGTAACGCTAAACCCAACACCCTGCTAACCACAGCCTTTATTCTAATATTTCATGAACATTTATAGATTTATAGGTGCATCGTCTATACTTTTTTGCATTATGTCGCATGTGAATTACTTGAATGCTGTTTTGAGAGTGTTTTGGCATGTAGATCATCTCTCTGTGCATGAGAACTGACTGACTTCATTCATAGTTTTGTCCCATATACAGTTCATCTCCTTTACAGCAGCAGTATGATGACACTTACCTGCCCATTTGGATGCTTAGATAGGAGATAGTAGTTCAGTGTTTGCTTTAATAGAGCATGATGTTGTACAGATGCTTTTACAACAGCACCTCATTGCTTTCTAATTCACGTACCTGTTATAAAGTGAAGTAGAAACGTGTCTGAGTAGCACATTTGTGCTCATTTCTGTTTAGCACAGCTCCTTTTGTGAAATTGGGCAATCTGTAATTCAATTACTGTCTTTTGTTGACATTTCTGAGAAATGAAAATTCATATTTTGTCATGTCAAGCGCCTTATTGAGCTGCCTTGTTTCTCTCTTTACTATTACACTGGATAAAAAGACAGTGTAATATTAAATTTCAGCAGTGCTTCAATGCTGGTAGGTGAAATAGTGTTTTTTAGCTTCATACAAACTTCAGTATGAATGGAAATTAGTGTGGCGTGTACTTTAGAGACTTGATGGATACAAACATTGCAGAAATTAGCGGTTAAATGGAATATAGTATGAAAACTATGGCCATTGTAACTGACGGGGAGTCAAATTTATACAGACCATTATTTATTTTTTTTTATCTGTTTATTGCTGTTTAGTTTGTCTTAAATGGAAGAACATAGTTACTGTTATAATAGTTTGGGTTGTTTTAATAGAAACTATCAAATTATAATTAAATATGCATATTTTTTTCTGTATGAATATGCATTGCGCTAAAAATATGACCCTGAATACGATATGCTTATTTCTCCTTTCTCTTATTTGTTTATTCTTCATCTCTGCAGACGCCAGCAGTGATTTCTCCCTGTTTGAGGCTCTGAGAGAGACCATCTACTCTGAGGTGGCCACACTGATCTCCCAGAACGAGTCTCGTCCTCACTTCCTCATTGAGCTCTTCCACGAGCTGCAGCTGCTCAATACCGACTACCTGCGCCAGAGGGCGCTGTACTCACTGCAGGTAATGTTCCACATCCACAGCGCTGAATGGAGCAGTAATGCTACACGTCTACTTGCGCTTTTTCTTGCCGCATTCCTCCAGCTGGATCCCTCTGCTCGCCTCGGTGGCCGTTTCTGTGTCGTTATGGAGATGAAGGAGCCGTGTTGAGCATGGGGCAGTAAACGGGCTCATGTTTGCTGTTTCACAGAGGCAAAAAATGACATTAAGCTTTTAATGCTCTTAATAACAAATCACTGATCACAAATTAGCAAGAATTAGAAAAAAATGGATAAAGTAATTTAGTATAGGTTAGGCTTTCACTTTGATTTCATTGAAAATGAGTAAACCTGCAGGCAGCCTTTTACAGGAAGAATTGTCACTGTTATTCCACTCAGCATTGACGGCTTCAAACAATTGAAAAACACTGCTGAGCCAGTTTCTGTTTAATGTGAGACCTGATGTCCTCTATAGGGTTTAAATCTTGATTTACATTTACAGCATTTAGCAGACGCTCTTATCCAGAGCGACTTACAAAAAGTGCTTTGTCTACCCAGAGATAGTATCATTAACCACTTTTACATGCAGCCTAATAATCCGTTGATAATCAGACTAATAGGTCAATCGGAATAGAGCACGTCCATGTAAACACCTCAATCGGAATAGTCTAGTCTGATTGAGGCTATTCGGAATACAATAGCTATACGATTGATCGAGGTGGGTAATCCTGTAAATAATCTGTTAAATAGAAGAATAATTTCCGTGTAAACGCCTGTATCTGATTACATTCCCTATCGGAAGTCTGTTCTGCCTGTGCGTCGTATCATAGTGAAAGTTTATACCGTTCAACATGGCGGAGACAAAGTTTCTGCTCTGATCTTTAAAAGTCGACGGTCTTTAAAAACACAAGCACTGCTCACTGCTGCTCATCTCATTCTGACTGGATGTGATGTTCGCTGTCATGGTATCGTTTACTCTAAGTGGTTCTCCACACAGGTGCATAATTTTGGATCGGATTAATTGTAGTGAGCATGTAAACAAAGATTTACATCAGATAGCGGGAGAATAAACACCTCAGTCTGAATCTGTAATCCGAATGTATTCAATCGGATTGGCAAATGTCTTTGCATGTAAACGCAGACACTGCTAGTTACAACTAGGTTAGAGAGAAAGCCGGTCCTGAGCTCAGATACTGCTAGAAGGCCAAAATCATCAGTAAAAAAAAACCATTAGGATTTTGAGCTTGGCCCGTTTTTTTGAATGGGAGTGTATAACAAAACAGACGCTCCTCATTTTCAGAATGCATCAGTCGTCTAGGCAAGCTAGAAAATTAGCTTGCTCAGTCTCACTAGCAAGATAGCTACTTTAGCAAGTGACCAACGAGATCTGTGTGGTTTGAATTTTGCCTTCCCACTCGAACCATGTAAACTGCATCCAGTCTTCCATTCAGATCTTTACTGTCAACTGTTCTGTATAAAACCAGACACCTTTATGATTATTTAACATCGTCTTGGATTCAAAGAAAGGCAGCCATCGTTGTGGTCGTTGTTATGACGTCCAGACAACTCTCGCCTGATTAGCTAAATGCACATAACTGCACTTAATTGCTTTAAGTTGGATCCTGCTGAGGTTTTTCTCTACACCACAATGCACTGGGCAATGAATCAGAGTCTCCGTTGAAGTGACCATGATGTGACAGTCATGTGTTCTTCTGCCCTTCAGGATATCGTGACCAGGCACCTGACGGAGAAGAGTGTTGCGGAGGAACAGGGGTCGTCACTAGGCCCAGCAGTGTGGGCCGCAGGATCACAGTCTGAACTCACTCCCAGCGAGAGCCTGGCCACTACTGATAATGTGAGGACCACTCACACGCATACAGGGAACATTTATTTAGAAAAGGCAGGAAATCCAAAATATTCAGTAGGTTTTAATGAATATCTGTAAAACAGTGGTCACTACAACACTGAGACAGTAGTTTTGACCTGGTCGGAGTCCAGATTTATACCCTATAGATCAGGGGTCTTTAATTAAAATTCAGTAAGGTCCAGTTAGAGAGAATTTCCTCAAGTAAAGGTGCAGAACATCATAATGTCTAAGTTGCATCATGACTCAGTGCCATATACTGTTTACTGAAGGAGCCTAGTAGGTATATCAACATCTTATACAGTCAACAACTGAATATCAAATCAAATAAAGTAGAAGTCAGTCATATTTCAATAATATTTATTGTCAGTTTTCTCTTTTTAGATCACACCATGTGAAATAACTTCCCTCTGACTCACTTTCTTCTCCGACTGCTGTTTCTCTCCTCATCCCTCCCCTGTGTGTGCGTCACTCACTCGAGTCTCAGTGCTCATCGTAATGCACAGATCTGATTGGCTGAGTAGCGTCATGTGTGATATGTACAACGCATGCGATTGGTCTGTGAGTCTCCCGGGCCGCTAAAAGCTACCGTAAAGGGTAGAAAAGCTACACCGATTAAAATAGTGAAAGCCTGCTGAAATTAAATAATTCTCTATAGTTTATCGGTTATAGGTCCAGGTCTGCATAGGACAGCATCTGGGTCCAGACTCAGAGCGCAGTACACATATTAGTGACCTCTGCTGTAGAAAATATTTCTCTCACATTAAACACAAACTAACTTAGCAGTGTTTTTCAGCTGTTTGGAAAACTGTTGTACGCTTCGTTCACCAGAGTTATATATTATATTATATATATTGGCCCATTAAAAATTACGGACATGTTGAATTTGTGCAAGACTGAAATTGCAGAGAGACTCAAAAAGCAGTTTCAGAAAATCAGTACAAATATTCACATTCACAGAATTTGGCAGACACTCTTATCCAGAGCGACTTAGAATCTGATCATTTTACACAGGTAGGTGAAGGCAGTGTTAGGAGTCTTGCCCAAGGACTCTTATTGGTATAGTGCTTGGCCAGGTCGGGGATTGAACCCCAGTCTACAGCATAGAAGGCAGAGGTGTTACCCACTACACTATATCGACCATACCAAACCATATATGATATTATACCAAATAGAAATGTGTCAGACTTGATGTGAAGGTTTTAATGCATCACTATAACCAAACGTAAAGCAACTAAATGTATAGTTTCTAATAGGGTTTTGTTGCCCGTGTGCCAGCACACCACTGGGTCACAGAGCGACTCACTACTGTGTGTGTAAATGAAGTAAAACCAGGACTGGATTTTCAAGTAGCAGATCGGAGCTCAGAATGCTCATCTGTACTTAATGGAGGAGGGGAACAGTAAATTCCAGGAATTTCATGGTTGCTATAGATATCGATCAGAAAGTGGTCTTGGCTCTAGCCCTAACTACTAACTACCCCTCTCCCCATATATAACTCAGTCTGTATAACCAACCCTGTCATAATAGTTCAGGACTACTGTAGAAACGGATGGTCTGGTGACCACATCACCGACACTGTTGTGTTTCAGGACGTGTCCGAGAAGGATGTGAGGGTGAACGTTGGGAAGAGCGCTCAAGATGGAGATTCGGTGGACAACGAGAGCCTGATGTCCACGTCCTCCAACCTGGAGCCGTTTGCCAGCGATGATCTGGGTGAATACATTCACACACATTCAGAGCCAAGTTGTAATTATTAGCACGAAGACTGTAGTCTGATGAATGGAGTCACAGCAGGTTTGAAAATCACACACTTTACAAACGCTTCTAAATATCTGCATATTCAGTCATTCAGGGTGGCTTGGTGTGAAAGGGTTGATTGAAGAGACACACCATGACTACAACACACATAAAGCCATTTTATTTACTGTCCAAAACCTCCAGTAAACCTACACGAGTCTTCTGTCTTTTTATGTGTAATATTGCTTGTAAAATAGTGATAAGCAAAGTTTTATTTGGGGACTGTTTTGCCTTAGAAAACCTAGGGAACAGGGAACTAGCCCTGCGACCGGAAGGTCGCCAGTTCGATACCCTTGGCTGACAGTCCATGACTGAAGTGCCCTTGAGCAAGGCACCCAACCCCCATTCCCCAATTTTAATCAAAGCTCTTAAGGTTAAGCACAAATAAATTGAACGCTTGCTTTGGTCCTGATTGTGGTTTTGGGTTTGCTGCTTGGCTGGCTGGCCCTTGTCCTCCCCCCCTTTCCATGTTTTGAGTAGTAAGCTACAGCTTTGGGATGTGGCTGGTTGCCTATTGTTAAAATTTGATTTCCCTATTTTTTTTCTCTTGTTCCTTTCGTCCTTCCCCTCCTTTCCTCTCTTCTTACCCCACTGTCTCTCCCCTTTCCCCCTATTTTTGTGCAGGCAACACAGTAATTCACTTAGATAAGGCTCTGGCCCGTATGCGGGAGTTTGAGCGCATGAAGCTAAAGGCGGAGTTTGCTGTCCCTAACGCTGAGCTTTCTAGTGCTGCTGCTGCTGCTGCTGCTGATTCGGCTTTAACTGAAGGTACTTTAGCGCTCACTGATTACCCACAGTACCCTAATAATATGGCACTTATAACACATTGCACTGAGACCAAGTACAGCACTGATGTGCCTGACGTTTGTGGATGATTCAGGCTGTGTTGTTGTGTTTGCAGTCCTTTTAAACTGAAGAATTAATGTTGCAAATTGAGGAACCAGATTTAAGTCACCACTGAAACGCTGTTTAAAAGCATGTGTGGGTAAACATGGCCTGGGTTGATTAATCGCGTTAAACGTCTGTCAGAGAGGTGAACTCGCTTGCTGGACTTGATCAGGAATAACAAGGTCAAATGCGTGTTCGGTTAGAAACGCATTGATTTTATATATTTATTAATTAATTTATTTTTTGTGTGCTTGTGTAGGTCAGTCCTCTGCAGACGTGCGCTGTCCTCAGATCGACACGCAGCAGCTGGACAGACAGATCAAGGCCATCATGACTGAAGTCATCCCCTTCCTGAAGGTAAGAAAACTGAAAACTGAGCTCTGTGTTCTAGATTCATGTCTGCTGGCTGATATGTCAGCTCTCTTAAAGATGGTTCTTCAAGGGTTCTTTAGAAAGAAAATTGTTCTATATCGAACCTTGAACACTCATAGAACCCTTTGCATGAATAAAGGGTTCTTTGCATTGCATTGCAAATTGCAGAGTGCTATAGATGGTTCATATAACCTTTTTGAAAACGGTTCTGTATAGCACCTAAAAGGGTTCTGCTATTGTTACAATGTCAAGCCTGTAACAATAGAAGAACGCTTTTCGGTGTTACACTGAACCCTTTTCAAAAAGTTTCTATATAGAATCATCTACAGGACATTCTCCATCAATCTGAAGAACCATCTCACTATGCAAAGAACCCTTTAATCATGCAGATGTTTGAGTGATCATGGTTCTGTATAGAAGATATATATAAGCGGGTTTTGAATCTAGATTAGTGCACAGGGACCAGATGGAAGCAGAGTAGAAACAGGTGTTAGACGTGTGTGAACAAGCTGATCTCCTGCCTGCATGTCTCTCTGTCAGGAGCACATGGGGGAGGTGTGTTCTCCACAGCTGCTGACGTCAGTGAGGCGCATGGTGCTGACGCTGACTCAGCAAAACGACGACAGCAAAGAGTTCATGCGCTTCTTTCACCGACAGCTCGGAGGCATCTTACAGGTACCCTACACGCATACGGGGTCACACCCCGCACTGATAATAAAGATTAGGGGGGAAAAATGGGGGGACGCACCGAAGCCATCAGAAATGGCACTTACGGTTTTGACCTGAGACAGAAAAAAGGCTAAAAACTTGTGATGACACATCAAACTCACTCATATAATCTGAATGGTAATGAAAAATAGTGATTAAAATCGCTGGTCAGCGCAGATGCATTGATTTGCTGCTGCTACTCAAGCGCCAAATGCGCAGTAGCAGATCAACAATAGCCACGTTTACATGCAGCCTAATAATCCGTTGATAATCAGACTAATAGCTCAGTCGGAATAGTCTAGTCCGATTGAGGCCATTCAGAATACAGTTTCTATCCGACTGATCGAGGTGGGTAATCCTGTAAATAATCTGTTAAATAGAAGAATAATATCCGTGTAAACGCCTGTATCTGATTACATTCCCTATCGGAAAGTTTAAGTGCGTTCTGATCATGTTCGTTACGTCATGGTGAGAGTTTATACCGTTCAACATGGCGGAGCAGAAACTGGTCTGCAGAGGAGACGAAGTTTATGCTCTGATCTTTAAAAGACGGCGGTGAGACGGACGTCCAGCTTATGTGTCTCAGAACACGACGTCTTCCTCTCGGCCTTCTTTAATAAGGACATGTGAAGGACGTTTTCCTGAGTCTGACATCATTTTGAAGCGATTAAAAACACAAGCACTGCTCACTGCTGCTCATCTCACTCTGACTGGACTCACGTGATGCTCGTTGTCATGGTAACATCTACACTAAAGGGTACTCTACGCATGCGTGTAGTTTTGGATCTGATTACTTGTAGTGAGCATGTAAACGGAGATTTTTCCATCAGATTGTTGAGTAGAGAGAGAATAAACACCTCAGTCTTAATCTTTAATCGGAATGTATTCAACAGTGAAACTCAAACATGATCCACTGTAGCTATGATGTATATGGTCTTCAAGTTTTAATGCTTTTTAGCTTTTACTGATTTAATGAAGTTCTTTAATGGAAATCACATAAATAATACTAAATAACTCGGCATCATTTGGTAATAAACTTCTGGTTTTGGAAGTTTTTACTTCAAACAGGTGCGTTTGTTAGATCCTGCTGAAGTCTGTGGCTGTTTCTTCTCTAAATGATGAACACTAAATCAGCATGCGTACTGATAGCGCCTCATACTGTTTTTGAGTAATAGGTTACTTTTAGATGCTTATCTTAACTGCTTCAATTAAAAATGGCTAATTTTTAAAGAAAAAATGCCGATGTTGGTGTCTGACAGTTCAGCATTGGTACAGCAAAAGAAAAGGCGGCCGTCTCTAATTGTTGTTCTAGACCTCGGTCAGGACTGCAGATGTCAGACTGAATTTTGGTACAACGTCATGCCACTGTACCCACTGAGTACAGCCTACACAAGCGGTGAATCTGCTGTGAGGTAAAGATTTATATTCGTTATCCAGGTTTTGTTTAATTCCATGTGCTTTTGTGTGCAGGACTCTCTGAGTAAGTTTGTTGGCCGCACGCTGCAGGACTGCGGTGAAGACCTGCTGGTGGAAATCTCCGAGATCCTCTTCAACGAGTTGGCCTTCTTCAGGCTCATGCAGGACATTGACCAGAACACACACCGGCCCAAGAGACGCAGCGACCCCACACCACCAAAACACACCCCCACCACCACTGAGGTAGCGTGCATTTTCAAAGTGTGCCGCAAGAGAGGAGTCAGAGCATATTTTTGTTTGTGTAGGTGTTCGCCCAGTGGATGAAGCACATCCACATGCTGTTTGTTTCAGTACAAAACACAAAATTGTCAAAGCTAACAATTGTGGAAAACAGTTGCCGTCAGTTGATAACGTAATAATCACGACAGGCCTGGAGTTCATTTTCCCTAAACTCACAAAAAGTTTGACTGGACTTGAGGAAAAGTGACAGAATTAAACAGATAACAGCTCTTTGACCAGTGTGTTATTCTGCATTAGGTGAAGAAGTCTGGAGAAGCAGAAAAGACCTTTTCACCATCGTATTTCGACGAGGATAAAGTGAGTTGCCTCCATCTGTTAATGCCAGTTTGGCACCGTTTCTGACAAGTAGAGGTTTTTTATTGTTGGTATAATTAATGTAGGATTGCCACTTAACTAGTAAAAAGGCACTGATTTGTGCTAACCTTGCCTACTTTTTTTCCCCTGTTTTTTTAATGTGTTTTATTTATTTAGCTAAATTTACCATCCTTTGTTTCTTTATTTTCCCTGAAAGGCACTTTTTGAACTTGTGCTGTATATGATGATGACTGATGATTGATGATCATGTGTGAACAGGCTGTGTTCATATCGCTTAAAGAAACAAAGCAAAAACATGACATTTGAGGGTCCCATGAATAGGTTGATAAGAATAATAATATTTTTTTAGTCTTTATTTATATAGCACCTTTCATACATTAAATGCAGCTCAAAGTGCTTTACAGTAAACGCCACAGAGAGAAATGAAAACATAGAAAAACAGAAGTAAACAACAGAGTAGCAAAAGTGAAAAAGATCGAACAATTAAAAAGAAAAGAAAGAATCTAACAGTTAAATGTAATAATAGAAACGGGGCACAAAATGCATAAAACAGTGAAAGTCGTATGAATGAAAAAAAACAGACATTTAAAGAAGGGAATCAGTTTTACAAATAAAACAAAAAAGGAAAAAAGTAATTAATAAAAAATTACAATTATTAAAATAATAAGCAAACATTAAAACAACAGATAAAATAAATAATTGCAAAAAAAAGGGGTTTTTTTCCCCTCTTTTTTGATGCTCACTTTTTCTTTTCTGTGTATCTGTCAAATCTAAATATCAGGTAATTGTTCCCTTTGTGTTTTTCCACAGGACCAGGATGAGACTGAGCAGGGAGGAACGCCCCACAGCACTGAAGGAGAAAGGGAGCGAACGGAAGAGAAAGACAGACACAGCAGCGAAGCTTCAGAGGGGGAAGAGGAGGAGGAAGAGGACGAGGATGAAGGAGAAGGCCTGCCTCTCTCCATTAGTGAGTCTATCTGGAAGTCTTCCCTTCTCTCTCTGATGCTGAATGAATTTGTCTCGTTTTATCTGACTAGTTTAACTCAGTAACACAGACCATGTTGTCCAAAGTGCTGCCCACAGTTCAGTTCTCAGTAAGTCACACTGTGTTCTAAACCACATGAACGAGTCCCTGAGACCTTAACAAAGACCTGGATGTGGTTTCAGTGGGTTGAGAGAAATTTTGGCGATGTATTTTAGGGATTTGGGTGACTGTTGACTTCTTCTAGTGTATGTTGGCAATGTTGGCAACCAAACTTCAAGTCCAAACTTGTCTCGGCTGAATGGCCACATCTGGATGAGTGGAGTGGTGGTAGTGGTAATGATGTAAATTAAGTTTTTCACTAAACCGCTCCATTAAGCTAATTTGAGCGTAAGAAACCAGCACTAAAAGCTGGACATGCATTATGGCTACGTTCACACAGCAGGTAAAAGTGGCCCAAGTCTGATTTTCTCACCAAATCAGATTTTTTTTTGTTTGTCTGCTCACATTATCTTTTAAATGTGACCTGTATGCGACATCAGTCTGAACAGATCAGCTCCTAAACTGACCCTCATACGCAAAAGAACAGAGCTTCATGTTGATGCACGGCTCATCCAGAGGTGAACGATCACGACTATGAACGAACGCCAGTCGCTCCCGGAGGATCAGCTTCATCTTCACCAGCATCACAGGAGCCATCATGAAGCTTCGCTGACTGACAGCTGGGCTCATCACCCAGAATGTGTTGGAGCTCACCGTAAAAAGGGCGCGGTCACTGCTTTGGTTCGCGTCCTCGGATTCTTTAAACTTTTAACTGTTCTTTAACGCTGCAGTCTCGTTCTCCTGCGGCTGCGTTCGGACATTTCCTTCAAAATCTCTTTGAACGCAGAGAGTTTTGAATACGTCTCTTCTAATTTTTGTACAGAAACATCAGCCTAAATGTTTGAGATCATAGCAGCGCAAAATTATGATAAATGTTGAGTTGGATTGACGTAAAAGTTGCATGGATTCTGATCTGTCTGTTCAGACAGAGTCGCACTGCCGCATATCAGATTCATATCAGATTTCAGTACCACGTGTGGAAACAGTCTCAAATCGGAGTTGAAAATGTCAGATTCAGTGTGTTTGGGCCACACAGATCAGATTTGGGTCCACTTTTACCTGCTGTCTGAACAAAGCCTATGTCTCTGGATTTATTATAATCGAATACTAGTTGCATGATTGCTATGCATTAAATCATTTACTTATAAAATACTATTTGTGCCTTGTAGCAAAAATCAAGATAAATAGAAATACAGCCCACTGCTGTGCTTCGTAGTGAATGTGTCCTGCAGTGGCATTTAAATGGTCCATTTTATTAGTTTAAAGGGGCAGATTTAAATGAATAAACTCCTGGATGTGTCTGATGGATCCACTCTATTTCATACTCTGGTTATTTCTCCATCTGCTCCAGGCCTGTCGAAAGCAGAGACGCAGGCGTTGAATAACTACGGCAGTGGGGAGGATGAGAATGAACTGGAGGAAGTGGAGGAGTTTGAAGCCGGACCTGTAGAAGTGCAGACTTCACTGCAGGCCTCAGACTGCACAACAGATCAGACCCAGGTGAGTTGTTGGGTTGTGCATCATGTCCTGTGCTGCATATTTCATTCACTGTAAAACCTTCATTCACAGGTTTGACCAACAGTGTTATGTTTGTATGCATGTTTTAGCTGTCAAAGTCTGTTTTCAGCTTTACCCAGCTATTAGGCTACGTTCACACAGCAGGTAGAGGTGGCCCAAATCTGATTTTCTCCCCAAATCCGATTTCACATTACCTTTTAAATGTAATCTGTATGCGACATCAGTCTGAACAGATCAGCTCCTAAACTGAGCTTCATGCTCAAAATAACAGAGCTTCACGCTGCTTCACGCCCAGAATGTGTTCGAGCCGTAAAAAGGGCGCGGTCGCTTCTTTGGTTCGCGTCCTCGGATTATTGAAACTGACGCTGCAGTCTCGTTCTCCTACAGCCGCATTCGGCCATTTCTTCGGCCAAGTCTCTTCTAATTTTGTGCAGAAACAGCCTAAAAGTCTCAGCAGCACGAAATTATGACGAATGTCGAGTTGGAAAATCGCATAAATTCGCAGATCGGATATGTTATTGGATTACAGTACCACATATGAAAGCGTCTCAAATCGGAATTGAAAATGTCAGATTCGGTGTGTTTATCTGTTCACACTGACAGACAGACACACATCTGTGTCACATATTAAGAAAAAGATCGGATTTGGGCCACTTTTACCTGCTGTGTGAACAAAGCCATAGGTGTTTGTGAAGAGCACACAGTAGTTTGAAGAAATGTTTTTAGTTTTCACACAAAATATGAAAATATTAATTGATCAACTTTTGCTGAAGGATTATTTTACATACTTTCATAGATTTTAATTTACTGTAGTATTTTTGTGTAGCCGTTTTGTAATAAAACGACAAAATGGCTTGTTCTAGGGGGAAAAAGACACTTAAAAATCAGTGAATAGAGAACTACGTGGTTTTGTCACCGTTTCAGTTTCAAAACTGATGCGTCTCATCTGTTTGTGAAGCTGGTCAAAAATGGAAATGTTAAGACAAATAAAATAAAAGCCCAAAGTCTGCGCCAGAGTGTTCATCCATTTGCAGACATGCTTACTAAGAATAGGCTTTATTATTTTTGGTATTATTTTTAATTTCACTATGTTTTTAAAAAAATATTTCAAGGTTTTGAACATTAGCCTGTCTGTGGCCATACATTTTTAAAAAGCTCATGAAATTGTAAAAAAAAAAAAAATCTGTTCTAAAAAATCAGAATATTCAGATAAATTATTTGTTAAATTATTTTATTATATTGCCTGGGCCAGTCATTAATGGTCAACCATTTATCGGTAAGAGTTCTCACCGTTCACTGTTTGTTGATCTGGACCTTGGTAAGCAAGAAATTTGATGTAACTCAACTTTAAGTTTCTAGACGGTCACTAAAGGAAGCTATTCAATGCCACTGTGTGAACAAATGTAAAAATTTGTTAGATATTTTAAAGGAATAAATTGTATGAAATGTAGATTTTCTATCTTTAAACATGAACAGTAATACAGCACAATATTAAAATAATAGAAGTTTATGATCCAACCCTAATTCCCTGGAAACATTGTGACGTTCATTGCAGTGCAGTGGAGATTTACCAAACGGAGCAGCTCAGGAGTCCAAATCGGACCAGGAGAGCACAGAAAGCAACGAGGGTGAGTTTCCAACACATCTTCCCTCATTTCTAACACTGCATTCACTCATAAACTCATTCAGGCTGTCCTGAAACTCCAGCTCTCTTTGTTGGAGTTATTTTTACCTTATTTTTTTCAGTCTCTCTTTAAACTTCTTTCTGATTCTGCAGTTAAAAGCACTAAATCGGAGTCCATAGAGGTGATGGACTCTCCGGAGGAGGAGCGGGAGGCGGGAGTCGCAGAAATGGAGAGGAAGGAGGATTCTGCTGCCCCTGCTGTCCCCTCAGGTCCAGAAGCCCCTTTAGCACAGGAGAGTGCTCAGGGGTTTGGGTCTGCCACTGCCAGCCCTCAGACAGACTCCCCTGTTATGGTCAACGCTGATGTACGTCTCTTTCCATCTAGATCTCTCTTCTACAACATGACTGCGGTCATAGGCAGAAGTTAGAACACCCTGGGCAAATGACCTCTGTTGATTTTCTAAGAGAAAATAATGAACACATTCTCCACGGAGAACCGCAGAAGTCCAGAGAGGCCATGAGTTGTTGCTGTAATTTTCTGGATTGTTATCTTGGATCACAAGATCAGTAACTTGTTATTTCAAGATAACAATTTTGTTGTTTTGAGATCAGAAGATAATTAACTTGTTACCATAAAATAACAACAACTTCTGTTATTTCAAGATAACAATAATTAACTCTATCTCTAAATAACATTTCAAAAATGTATAACTACCTCATAGCCCTCTGGACGTAGATAACAAGATTAGTAACTTATTTCAAGATAACAGTTATCTTAAGATCACAAGATAATTAACTCGTTATTTTAAAATAACAGCTTTAATTTCAATATAACAAGGTAAGTAACTTGTTATTTCAAGATAATTTTATCTTGAGATAAGATAAATTACTCGTTATCTCAAGATAACTATTTTGAGATCACAAGATAACTAACTTATGTTAAAATAACAACTCTTGTTATTTCAAGATGACAGTTTTATCTTGAAGATAATTAACTCTATCTCAAAATAACATTTCAAAAAAAAAAAATTATTATAACTACCTCATGGCCTCTCTGGACTTCTGTAGAGAACACACTTAAATACACCTTTTTTCTTTCTTTGTTATTTATTTATTTATTATTTATTATTTATTTTTTAATTTTTAGTGCATATTTTCTATTTAGTTTAACACACAACACACAATATAAAATGAGCCGTGACTTTTGCACAGACCTTGTTTTATGTTGTATTTTTCCCCCAATGTTTAAAAGTCATTACAGATAAACCGTAAATTGTATTAAAATTAGCAGAAGTGGGTTCTTTGTAGAGAATGTGTTAACTTTCTTTTAGAACATCAACAGTGTTCTTTGACCAGGGAAGCACAAACATTGGGATATGCCTGTAAATGTATCTGGATCCATTTTGATTACATTGTTTTATATGTAACTAAAATAATTAAACTGCAATCATTTGAAATGCAGGAGGTTGGATCCGGGAACACTAGTCAGAAATCAGACGAGGAGGATTTCGTGAAGGTTGAAGACCTCCCTCTTCAGCTCTCAGTAATGTGTGAGGTAAGAGCGGCTGTGTCTGGTTATCGTAATGGCGGTAATACTATTGTTAGTGAATTATCTGGAAATGTACCTCAGCTATTTGATAGGAGAATGAACTGATTGTCAGTGTCTGTGTAGGTTTATCTGTACTTTAATTACTGTGTTTGTCTGTGTGTGTTCAGGAGGAGCTGCGTAAGCGGATCACGGCTGAACAGAGGAACAATAGCCTCTCTGTTGAGATTCTGAATGGGGCTGCGGATGGAATGACTGGACTTGTGGGCAACGCACACGGTCTCAAAGAGCCAGGTAGCTCTAGTCAACTCTACTCGGCTCCTTTACACAGCACAGCGCCCAGCAACTCCACACAGGAACAGAGAACGGTTATAAAACTGTTATAATGAGACGGAGGGGTTTCAGACTGACAGAGGTCTTTAATGAGACTCATGAGGAGACGCCTGTAATACATTTTTACACATTTCCTCAGTGATAAAACAGGATGAGGGAGTTTCTAGTGGGTTGTATTTTGTACAAACCCAGTCATTATTCCAGAAAACTAGAAGTCCGTATGCAGATATAAAGTAGTACTTTATACATGTAGCTTCCATGTAGTAATTTAGTTTTTTCTCCTTCTGTTAATGCCCTCCCAGTGTAGACAAGACTGAGACAAAGTTCTACCAGAAATTTTCGACTGAGGCGAATTGCCGCTCAGAATTGTCTTCCAGAATGAATAGGTTTCTATGGAGCTTTTATTCACTGTAGTTTGTAAATGCTGAATCATTTTTATACAGGAAAATGTCCTCATTTTCTCATCACAGAAGAGCATAAAATATGCTGCTCTCCTGTTTGAGCGCTTTTAAGCTCATTATAGGACTTCCAAATAGTGTGTTGTGTACATTCATGATGTCGGTGAGCGCGAACCACCGACGAACTACCGTCGGTGAGGCTGATCACCTCGCCAGCCAGTCAACACTCAGTGGAGTAATGCTAGCAGCCTACTTCCCAAACCTTTTCTCTAACCTGTAGGCATCGGCCAATAAGGATTAGATAAAAAAGAGTCAGCCAGTGAGTGTTAGTGTCGTCTAGAGGTGTAGCCAAGTTTTCCCACTTAAGTTTGTTTCTTGTACTTGACCACTCCAGTAAGAAACCTGCATAAATGAGGGGCTATTAAATTGGCCCATAAAGAACATTTTAACCCTGTATTGCACAACGTTGCCTCTAGGCAACAAACCCAGAGCTGCTGTTCTGTCTTTTTTGTGCCCAAAACGCCCTTCTGTTTTCCAAAATTAGAAGAAGTTCCCACATAAATGGCCAGAAACATTTCATTTTTAGCCATTTAGCTCTTTTCAACCCAATTCGTTTCTTGTGGCCATTTTTTTTTGGTTGTGGTTCTGCCACCTTTGTCAAGTAATTGGTTAAGAGACTCCCAAAGCACCATTGGTTCATGATTCAGGAGGTGTTTTAATATGGGTTATGTTACTTTTTCTATGTTACTTCTACTATCATACTTCTGTTCTCTCTGCAGAAACCATCGGAGCCCAAAGCGCGTGAAAACGGCCGTTTTTACAGCACGTCCTCGCAGTGACACTACAGAAGCATCATCTTCACTCTTATCAAATGTGATTTAACTCTTCAAGACTTCATCTTGGAACATAAGTTCAGCCTAAGCCTTGCCGACGTAGAGCGCTGTTGCGTTTCAGTGGCGTTTATCCAAGCTTATTTTACCGGCTTACAGGTCAAGGCTCTGTATGTATTAGTTGATTTTACGTTGAATGTTTTAGAGCGGTTCTAGGAGACCTTCTTCGAAAAAGGCGAGTGATTTTCACTCTGTTTTGCTCTTATTTTCCTCTTCTCTTAAAGCCAAGCCTCACACTGGAAACACTTTTTACCGTCGCGGCGGGTCCTGTTACGAAACGTGAAGTTCGTTTATCTCTTTCTTTCTCTCCCTCTGCGTTTCGTCCTTCCTTGGCATGTTTTATTTTTGTTTCTTTTAACTCTGTGCCTGACTAAACGGCCCCACAGCCTCCTAAATATGCACTTTGACCCCAAAAAAGCAGGTTATAAACATGAAGGCTTAAGGTCAGCTAGACGTTTAAGACCCTGAAATCAGATTGAGGTCGGTTATTTTTTTTCTGGTCGTCTCTCAGATTAGCTGAGGTGGAACGTGACCATGAGCAGAAAGCTGGTTTTGGAGAGGAAACGTGAGCAACGATCTCCGCTTCTTTCTCCTCTGTGTCCCATGTGGGTGATGTTTCGGCCTTAATGCACTCTTTACTCTGTGTGTTCGCTCTTCATTCTTACCTTTTCCTTTTTTTCCCTTTCTTTTTAAGTCTTTCTCAGTGCTTTTGGGTTCTCTCGCCCCGTTTGATTGTTTTTTCTCGGATGTTAACGTCGAGGTTTTAAGAAAATTAATAAAATGTTCATTTTTACCGTTTCCCTCTGAAGCTAGCCCAAGTGTCTTTATTTCACAGTAAAATCAAGAGATGAAGGGAAATTTTATCAGTTTTTCAAAACTGCTGCATACTTCAGTCATCCAGGGAGGCTTGGTATGAAATGGTTCACTGTAGACTCAGTTTTTTATCTATACAGTGGTGGTGATAGGAACCAGGGGTCACCATGACTACAACACAAATATAGACATTTTATTTACCATCCAAAACCACCAGTGAACCTACACAAGTCTTCTGTTTCGCCTCACAATACCTTGCATGTACCTCTCCACCATGAATGAATTAAAAGCTTTTCATGAATCTATTGTAAAACGTTCTCAGGCATCAGGCAGTGTGTTCATAACCATTTATTACAGTAGCTTTCAGTGATGTAGCTTTTAAAGGCCTTAAGCTCTTCAGGCGTCTGGTTCTTCTCCCCACCACTGTGAACAGATCTGACACATTAAGCTTCTCTATAAAGGAGAAGCTTCTACAGAAAACTAAATAAATTCTGCAGAGGTTTTCTGTGGAATCTCTCTTTTATCTAGCCTGTAGGCATCGGCCAATAAGGATTAGATAAAGAGGAGTCAGCTAATGAGTGATACCGTCATCTGGAGCTGTAGCCAAGTTTTCCACTTAAGTTTGTTTCTTGTACTCGACCGTTCCAGTAAGAAATTTGCATAAATTGGTGGCTATTAAATTGGCCCATAAAGAACATTTTAACCCTCTGTTGCATGATGTTGCCTCTAGGCAACAAACCCATTTTTCTCACCGTACACTAACTATATACATATTTAACAACAAAGACAAGGTTAACAATAAAGGGAAGAGTTTTAATAAGTCAATAAAAAGCATGTATTTGGTCATACTGTCTCTTAGTGGACACTTTTAAACCTCTTTTTTAATATTCAGTATCATTTTTTTTGTTATGAGAATTTGCAGAAGTATGTTTGTTGCCTAGAAGCAACACTGAGTGACAGTGGAATTGATTTAGCCAGTCACAAAGCCAGATCTCACCACTTCAGGGAACACGGCTCTACATCATTCCTTCTCGTTGTCGCACAGTTTTGCCTAACCTAAAAGGACCCCTGCACACATTATTATTTAAAAGTGTTTTTGAATTTAATAATCAGGTCGATTTTATGCAAGAATAGTGAATCGATTTATTTTTTATTTCTTAAATGCTCTCATAATGTGTGCAGTAGAAGGTTAAGAAGGTGTCAAAGAGCAATAAGGTCGGGGTACCAGTGAAATAAAATCGGTGTCATTTTGTTATTTATATAGATATACTGATGATTTTGTAGGCCTAGTACAGTCCAGGGAGCACTACTGTCTCAAGAAACACAGTGTAAACTTAAGTGTTACATTAAACATCCAGCAAAATCTGATCAGGGCCATTTGTCAACATTCAGCGTCCTGAACGACATCTTACTTGGGGACCCTTATCATATGGTTGTGTATGCAAGAATGAACACTTTGTTTATTTCACTCAGGAAAAGGTTGAATAAATTCTACAGTAAATACAATAAAACAACTAATGCACAACAAAGCAAGCCTTTCAGCAAAATTCTGTCACATACCCGGTGACACCACTACTCTTTCGGCTTATAGGAAGAACATATGCTGAATTTCATATGCATTCATTTCCCACTGTCCACTGTGTCCTGTGTTAAACCATAAAACGTTAATTGAATCAACACTAGATGGTGTAGTAGACCAACATAAGACACTTGCATCTCAGCCCATATCTAGTAACCTTGGGCTTCAAGCAAAGGCAAGAAATACAGGCGTAGGGGACAGCGGGGATGGTTATGACATGGGGAGAGTTGTAATGGCACCAGTTCCACCAGTCAGGGATTAGATAGGATTCATATGATCATGTCTGTTTTTACCCACTTCCACCCCGATCCCACATGGTGGCTGTCAAGGCTGGAAAACAGGCACCTACAGATTCTATAGAGGAACACTGTATTTTGTTTAGTACTTACACCAATCAGGCATAACATCATAATATTATCCCTGATCGGTGTACATTGCTGTGCAGAACAAAATACATTCCAAACACTGAAATGTATTTCAGTATATATTGCCGTATTAACTAAATATTTTTAAATGCATTTATTTTTTAAATGTATGGAGAAATATTACACATAGAAATGTAGCACACAAAATAAATGCATATAAATGTGTTTATCAAATCCATTTGATAATGTATGAAAACAGCCAAAATCCTGTCGAATGCTGTTTGACATCTTTTGAAATGAATTTGTATTCTAGTATCTTCATTTTTTCAGTATGATTTAAATATGAGTGTTGTGGGTATTGATACTTTGTGAAAATGCAGTTATGATTTGATATCTTGTTTATTTGAAGTACATTGTGTGTGAGAGTCTCACTGCAGACGTACATGGTTAATGTAAAGTACAATGCAGATCACAGAAGTCAGTACCGTTCATTCAGCTCATGTATATTCCGTTTTATAAAACAGAAAAAATCTGATTGGTTGAGTAGCGTTTGCAGCCGTTGTAAAATCTACGTTATAGATTGTGCGCACTTGCGACCACCTCACAACGACTGAACTCTGTATCACTGCGCCACGTCAGGAAAAACACTCCTGCTGTTAATGGTATGATCTTTGACAGTAATGCTGCTCACATGGAGCACCGAGTGAACTGATGAAGTAAGAACCTGTTGTTTGTTTAAACTGAGGGGCTGGCAGCTTATGTTCTTAACTAGAACTAGGCTGGTCAGCTAGCTAACAGGCTAAAAGAGCCAACAGCCTAAACAACTCCATCATTAATATCACAGGCTTGAATTAAAGTTCTTGTGGCATGATTCACTGTAAAACGGCAGTATAAAAGTCTAAATATTTCATTTGAATGACTCGCATGCTTCAAAAACCCAGGCTGAATCCCAAACCGCTCCGTACTTCCTGAACAGTGTTCTAGCTATGAAAGTTTAGAAATTCTAGCCTCTGCAGCCAACAGCGCCTCATTTATCGAGTGTGGATGTGTCTGAATCCCAAATGACTGTATGAATGAATGTATTTTGCTCCGTCGTTCTGCAGGATCCAGTATTTAAACTCTTATGTAGTGCACTATGTATGCAGCAGGGAGCCGTTTGAGATTCAGCCCCAGCGTGAGAAGAGAGGCACCGCTGGATTGGTGCTAAATAAGACTCGCGGTGGTAATTTGGTGACCAAAAAGTACAGATAAACCAAAAGGTTTTTGCAATAAACAGTGCTGCGTTATCGCATGTTCAGTCTTCTACAACAAAAAATTAAAAAGTTCATGAAATTACCACAATATACAGCGATGGGCAACCGAACGTTCTCATTCAGTGGTCCATGGTTGCTTGGCAACGATATTGTACTCCAAAGGAACTACGTTTTTTGGTGGAGTACTTGTTTACGTCAATTAATATTACCAATAACTTCAATTATTTTCTGAAAAGTTGTGTATTTTATCATATTTTATGTTTTATCCCAGGGATAATATCGCAGTAACGCACAGCCTCAAATGGCTCATTGCTTTAATATTTCTAACCTTTGTTAAAACTACATACAGTTGAAAAAAAAGTAATAAAAATAAATAAGGGCATAAAAAAAATATTTTAACAAAATTGTTTTTTGGACATGTTTATACATTGCGGTGAACCAGTTCTTTTTTTGTAAATAAAGAAGTTGAAGCCTTTTACACAGGAAGTAGCTGTACAACATAGTAAAAATAGTGTGAGATTATCTATAAACCACAGAACAGGTGGGTTGCTGACACTGTCAACGTGTAAACAAAGCTAGCAGCAAAGTTACAAAGTCAGTACAGCACTGCAGTCCTTGATTGAAAAAAGTTATTCTGGTAGCACCAAAAATTAGCCTGTTGTCTGCCAGACTGGAGCTTTAAGCCAGTTCAGCAGTTTAGGCTGGCTGAAGTATTGGGGAAGTCTTCCTCTAACTTCCTCTAATAAGTGCTTTTCAGGAAATTAAGCTCACTTACAAACGCAGAAGATCAGAAATAAGCATGTTTTCCACAGCTCCAACAAGAACAAGGAACAATGGGAACCAACCAAATGGGAGTCCAGACTTTGTAGGAGATACTATGGACAGTCCAAGCAAGACGGAGCACAGAGGTAGGATAACTGGTGTTGAGTGAAGATCTGTGAAAGATCTTCTTTCCTGTATTTCCACAGTTTTAAAGGGACGGCATAGTGTGTTTGTCTGTCATTCATCATTTGTCTGTTTGTCACTGCAGGAATGGCAGCTTATAGAGTTTACAGGTTGGGTTTGCTGTGTTTAGGAGTGATGTGCATCCTGCAAGCCTCGCTCAATATCACCCTGCGCCTTTTCTGTAAGTCATAAATGTTAGCATCCTTAACATTAGCCTCAGCTGACACTGGGCCTCACTGACCAACATAGTTTCGTTCTTAAATGTGTTCTTAAAAAGGTCCTAAAACATCTACCTCAGATTTGTGACGTGTATAATGAGGCTAATACTCTACTAGTACTCAGATTTCAACTACTTTAGAGGAAGCTGTGAAAAATGAAGAAATGCCCAGAATGATGAACCGAGCTGCAGATGATTCTGAAATGACTGAGGAAGCTGTAGAACACTGAGAATGAAGTTCTAGGAAGATTAATATTCAGAATGTCCTGTGTTTCCATAGTGGTGATCAAAACTCAGGCAAATAACACAAAGAAATTACTGTAAGTAGAACATTATAGTGTATTATTTGTCATTTAATAACTTCTTGGTGTTCCCAAAAAGTTGAAAAAGAAAAACTTAAAATATCTTCTAGTGTCTAGCTTATAATGTGGCCAAATGTATGTGGACACGACCATCACAACTATAGGACATGCCATTCCAGTACCATGGACATTAATATGGAGTTGTCCATGGGAAGGCTTTTCCTAAGAATTTGGTGGTTTGTGCAATTGACGTTCCAATCCATCCCAAAGGTGTTCTGTGAGGTTGAGGTCAGGGCTCTGGAGTTCCTTCACATCAAACTCGTCAAACCATGTCTTTATAGAGCTCGCTTTATGCACAGGGACTCAGTCGTGCTGGAACAGGGAAAGGCTCTTCCCCAAAACTGCTGCCACAAAGTTGGAAGTCGTCTGAAATGTCTTTGTATGCTGTAGCATCAACATCACCCTTCACTAGAACTGAGGGGCCCAAACCCTGAAAAACAGCCACAGCCCATTATCCCTCCTCCACCAAACTTTACTGTTGCACTATGCATTCCTGTAGGTTCTCTTTAAACCCAGATTCATTCATTAGAATGCAAGATAGTAAAAACATGATTCATCACTCCAGAGAACATTTCCACTGCTCTGGAGCCCAGTGGTGGTGTACTTTACACCCCTCCAGCAGATGCTTGGCATTGTGTATAGTGATCTTAGACTTTTGTGCAGCTGCTCAGCTAGGGCTGGGCGATAAAACGATAACGATAATCACGATATAACTTTTCCTCGATAGAGCGATACGACATGTTCAATAAATGTTCGGTATTGTACACCATTCTCACACTTCCACGTTCAGCGAAAGCCTTGGTGGCGTTTTCTCCTGCAAGGAAAGTGACACTATTTTGCTGTCGCCAGGAGAGGGCGCCCTTCCGAGTTTTTCGACATGAGTAGAGAGGGAGGGGGCGACGAGTAAGATGAGTCTTTAGCAACGGCTGAAACGCGAAGTTATACGTTCCCTGTTTGAGTGGAGCGACCGGCGATCTGCTCTCCTGTGACCGAGTGTGAGTGACGAGGTCAGTGGTGTAACTGTACTGTCCTATAGTGAACTTACCTCTTTCTGTACATCCAAACCAGCTTTAGCAGCGTTAAATCACAATCACACTCCTCACAACTACAGCGCAGTTACAGCGCTTGGACAGTCATATTTTAGTATTGGTGCATTCCCAAGCAACGAAAGTGAAAGAAAGAAGTGAGTTCATCTAAATTACAGCCCTGATTTAAATGGAAAGTAAACTGAGGAAGCTGTGAGGCATTGGAGAGCAGGAGAGCGCTATCTTTCCAGGCTAGCTGTTTTTAGCAGCTGGCTAACTTAAAGTAGCACTCTGTCACTCCACAACACGGAGAATTGATGATACTGTAGATCAAACAAGACACAAAAGCACCGCTTTCAGTTTAAACATACCTAAAAGGAGGAAATCCAGTCGTCTAGCTGGTGTCTGAACACTGTGATGTTGTTTGTAGCGGGGTAGCCGAGCGCTCGGCACCAGCTAAAAATAATCTGTTTTCTTTCTTAAATTATGACTATTACAACAATAGCCGTGCTTTTCCAGCTGGTAGAAACAGCTCACCAGACACTTTCTCCCACTCTCCCATGACAGATCTGTGAAATGTTCCACTGTTTGGTGAGTGTTTGTCATGTTCCGACCATAAAGGATAGTTTAAAACAGCAATTAACCACCCAGGACCAAGAATCAGCCTTCAAACTTGAAAAAAAATAATGATTTGACATTTATCGCGATATGTATTGATATCGAACGATATGAATTTTGTTTATTGTGATAACATTTTTTGGCCATATCGCCCAGCTCTATGCTCAGCCATGATTCATGACGTGTTCTTAAACTGCAAAACTGTTCACACCTTTGTGCTCTGGAGTGTGTAGATTCTGTTCTTACCTGAGAACAAATCCCAAATAAGGAAACACTGGTGAACGTCAGAATCTTTGTAAAAAACTGCATAAGAAGATATTTCTTCCTAAGAATGGTTGGTAAATGAGGACCATTGTGTTAGCAATGTCCTGGACTACTTGAAGGTTATTGTAATTTAACTGAAGAAAATCGTAACTAGATGTCCGATATGAAGATATGTTACTGTCATCATAATAAGGTACGTCATGATTCGTGTTTGAGTATCTAGAACACTGAAGAACTGTATGTAGAATAAAAAGTCAGAGCCTGTAAACAACAACCAGTGTAGAGTAACTGCATAGTAACAAGGAGCTGACTGGATGGCAGCCATCTCTATGTATTTATTCCACCAGTTGTGTTTTTTCTGCTGTTCCTTCTTAAATAGTTTGATTTTTATGAACATTAAATTTTGAATAAAAATTTAAAGAGCTATTTTCATGTCACTTATGTAGCACTACTATTTTGCTGCAGCATTTTGGCCATTCAAACTTGTTCACAAACCTTATAAAAGCTGAACATATCTTAAAGAATCATGATTTTTGTTACATTGGTTACCCTTTCAAAGGTTTCCAATATAGCAAAAATATAAATTGTACTGATTTTTGAACATTTATCTATAATTCAGTGTTTAATATGTAAACAGAGTCATTCAGAGTGGTTTGGTGTGAAATGGTTGATTGTAGAGACTCAGATTTCTTTACAGTGGCGGTGATAGGAACCAGGGGTCGCCATGACTACAACACAAATATAGACATTTTATTATCAGAAACCACCAGTGAACCTATACATCTTCTGAATTTTATATGGAATGATGATGATGGTAAAATAGTCATAAATATTTTGTTTTTTTGGGACTGTTTTGCCTCAAAACATCCTCCATGTACCTCTCCGCCTTTAAAGGCATAAAAAAAATTGTTTAGGCCACAATCTTCTCAAAATTATCATAAAACTGTGCCTCAAACATCAGGCAGTAATTTAAAACCATTTCATGTAGTAACTTTCTGTGAGGGAGCTTTTAGAGGTGGACATCTGGTTCCTATCACCACCACTGTGAACAATTCTGACTCTCTAGAACTGAGCATTTCACACCAAGCCACCTTAAATGCTAACCACGTTTATTCAAATGGACATTTTAGCCAACGCTGCAAAACCCAATGCCAATGTTACCTGTGAAGATGACCAACTTAGGACCAGCCTGAGACGTCTGACGACAGAGAAAGAGCAGTTACAGACCAGTTGCAACCAGCTGCAGAATCAGTTCGACCGGCTACGTGAAGAGCTGCAAAGAAAAACACAGAGTGGTATGTTAAAGAGACCTCAGAGAACGCAGAACACAGTGAGAACAAAAATCATTTAAATCAGCTTTACTTAATATTTAATGCATAGAACTGGTTCTTCAAGGGTTCTTAAGTGAAGAAAATGGTTTTATATAGAACCTTGAACACTCAAAGAACCTTTTGCATGATTAAGGGGTTCTTTGCATCCTCAAACGTTCTTCAGATTGCAGATTGCAGAGTACTGTAGATGGTTCTACATAGAACCTTTCTGAAAAGGGTTGAATATAGCACCAAAAAGAGTTCTACTATTGTTATGATGTAAAGACTGTAACAATAGAAGAGCTTCCCTGAAGAACCTTTTGATGATGCAAAGAACCCCTTAATCATGCAAAGGGTTCTTTGAGTGTTTAAGGTTCTATATAGAACCATTTTTTTTTTTTACTAAAGAACCCTTGAAGAACTATCATTTTGAAGAGTGTAGGATGCCTTCAAAGTGTGCTTAGAATAATGTGTAGGGCAAAATAATGGACATATTTTAGCACTCAAAAATTAAGAAATTGCTGTTTTTAATGATCAAAAATTTTATTGCTGTTGTAAAATGATTCTATAATGAGGCTAATACTCTACTAGTACTCAGACAAACTACTTTATAGGAAGCTGTGAAAATGAAGAAATGTTAGAGCCCAGAATGATGAACCGAGCTGCAGATGATTCTAAAATGACTGAGAAAGCTGTAGAACACTGAGAATGAAGTTCTAGGAAGATTAATAGTCAGAATGTCCTGTGTTTCCATAGTGGTGATCAAAACTCAGGCAAATAACACAAAGAAATTACTGTAAGTAGAACTTTACAGTGTAATATTTGTCATTTAATAACTTCTTGGTGTTCCCAAAAAGTTGGAAAAAGAAAAAAACAGCTTAAAATACCTTTTTGTGTCTAGCTTATAATATGGCCAAATGTATGTGAACACCTGACCATCACAACTATAGGACATGCCATTCCAGTACTATGGATAGTAATATGGAGTTTCCCATGGGAAGGTTTTCCTAAGAATTTGGTAATTTGTGCAACTGACGTTCCAATCCATCCCAAAGGTGTTCAGTGGGATTGAGGTCAGGACTCTGTGCAGGCCACTAGAGTTCCTTCACACCACACTCATCAAACCGTGTCTTTATGGAGCTCTCTTTGTGCACTGGGGCTCAGTCATGCTGGAACAGGAAAGGATCTTCCCCAAACTGCTGCCATGAAGTTGGAAACATATAATCGTCTAAAATGACTTTGTATGCTGTAACATCACCCTTCACTAGAACTGAGGGGCTCAAATCCTTAAAAAAAACAAACACAGCCCATTATCCCTCCTCCACCAAACTTTACTGTTGGCACTATGCATTCCTGTAGGCGGCATTTTCGTGGCATCAGCCAAACCCAGATTCATCTGGAGAAATCTCTGCATGCAAGGGACAATACCAAAAAACAGTATTTGCTGGCCGTGATCTTTGGGCCCTCAGGTGGCACTGCATTAAAAATGGACATGATTCTGGAGTGGAAATCACTGCGTGAGCTCAGAAACACTTCTGAAAAACACTGTCTGTGAAAACAGTTCATCACTGCACCCACAGATGCAAGTTAAAACTTTAAAACGCAAAGAAGAAACCACATATAAAGAGTATCCAGAAACGCTGCTACCTTCTCTGGGCCTGAGCCCCTTTAAAATGGACTGAGGGGAAGTGGAAAAGTGTCCTGTGGTCCAACAAATCAACATTTGAAATTCTTTTTGGAAATAATGGACACTTTGTCCTCCGGGTTAAAGACCACTCAGCTTGTTATCAGTGCACAGTTCAAAAGCCAGTATTCATGAAGGTATGGGTATTAGTGCACCTATTAGTGATGGCATTAGTGTACATGGCATGGGTGACATGCACATCAGTGGCACCATTAATACTGAACGATATATACATGTTGTGGCAACATATGCTGCCATCCAGACGACGTCTTTTTCAGGGAAGGCCTTGATTATTTCAGCATGACAATGTAAAACCACATTCTACATGTGTTGCAACAGTATTGCTCTGTATTAAAAGAGTTTGGGTGCTAAACTCGTCTGCCTGCAGTCCAGACCTGTCAACACTGAAAACATTTGGAGGGTTATGAAATGAAAAATATGACAAATGAGCCCCTAACCTGTTGAGCAGTATCAGACTGCTGTATCAGACAAGAATGGCAAAATATTTCACTTTCAAAACTACAGCAGTGTCTCCTCAGTTCACAAAGGATTACAGAGTGTTGTTAAAAGAAGAGGTGATGAAACACAGTGGTAATCATGTCCCCATCTCAACTTTTTTGGAACGTGTGGCTGGCATCAAATTCAAAATGGGCTTATAATTTTCAAAAAACAATAAAATTTCTCAGTTCCAACATTTGATATGTTGTCTTTGTAGTATTTTCCTTCAAAAATATGATTTACATGATTTGCATATCATTGCATTATATTTGTATTTACATTCTGCACAGTGTCCCAACGTTTTTGGAAATGAGGTTGTAATTTAATTATGACATTATCTATATTTCACCAGTTGTATTTTCCTGCTGTTCATTCTTAAATAGTTTGAGTTTTGCAAACATTGAATTTTGAAAAAAATGTTTAAAAAAAATATATATATATTTTCATGTCTCTTATGTGGCACTACTATTTTGCGGTAGCATTTTGGCCATTCACAAACTTCATAAAAGCTTTTTTTTTTTGTTGCATTGGTGACACTTAAAAGGGAATTCTACTGATTTTTGAACATTTATCCATAATTCAGTGGTTGTGATGCAAACATTCAGAGTGGTTTGGTGTGAAATGGTTCAGATTTCTTTACAGTGGTGGTGATAGGAACCAGGGGTCGCCATGACTACAACATAAATATAGACATTTTATTTACTATCCAAAACCACCAGTGAACCTACACGAGTGTTCTGAGTTTTATTTATATGGAATGATGATGATGGGGATTTTTTTTTTTTTTTTTATTTGGGTCCATTTTGCTTCAAAACATCCTCCATGTACCTCTCCAGCATTAAATGCCTTAAAAAATACATTTTGGGCCAAAATCTTCTTAAAACTATCATAAAACAGTGTCTTAAACGTCACAGTCAGTGAATTCATAACCATTTCATATAATAACTTGCTGTGAGGGAGCTTTTAGAGGTGGATGTCTGGTTCCTATCACCACCAGGGTGAACAATTCTGACTCTCTAGAACTGAGCATTTCACACCAAACCACCTTTAATGCTAACCTCATTTATTCAAATGGGCATTTTAGCCGATGGTGTAAAACCTGATGCCAGTGTTACCTGTGAGGATGACCAACGTCTGAGACGTGTGACGACAGAGAAAGAGCAGTTACAGTCCAATCCAGAATCAGTTTGACCAGCTACGTGCACAGATGCAAAGCTGCGATGAAGACCTGCAAAGAAAAACACAGAGTAGTATGTTAAAGAGACCTCAGAGAACGCAGAACAAAAAGCATTCAAATCAACATTACTTAACATTTAATGCATAGAACTACACTCTTAAAAAGATTGTTCTTCAAGGGTTCTTAAGTGAAGAAAATGGTTTTATATAGAACTTTGAACACTCAAAGAACCCTTTGCATGATTAAAGCGTTCTTCAGATTGATGAAGAATGTGCTGTATATGGTTCTATATAGCATCAAAAAGGGTTCTGCTATTGTTACAATGTGAAGCCATATACAGTCTATACAGAACCATCTACAACACATTCTCCATCAATCTTTGGAACTATTTCACCATGCAAAGAACCATTTAATCATGCAAAGGGTTCTTTGAGTGTTGAAGGTTCTATATACAAACATTTTCTTTACTAAAGAACACTTGAAAATCTTTTTTAATTGTGTAGGATACCTTCACCTAGTCCGGAAAAGGGTGGCATGCCCACTCCAGGTAAGGGCAAAGGACCTGCTTCAAGTGGAGGAGTTTAAGTATCTCGGGGTCTTGTTCATGAGTGATGGGAAGAGGGATGGTGAGATCGGCCGCAGGCTGGGACAGGCGGCAGCAGTAATGCGGTCACTGTACTGGACTGTAGTGGTGAAGAGGGAGCTGAGCCATAAGGCGAAGCTCTCTGTTTACTGGTTGGTCTATATCCGGACCCTCACCTATGGTCATAAGCTTTGGGTAATGACCGAAAGAATGAGATCGCGAATACAAGCGGCGGAAATGAGCTTTCTTCACAGGGGGGTGGGTGAGGACCTCGGTCATCCGGCAGGAGCTTGGAGTAGAGCCGCTACTCCTCAACATTGAGAGGAGCCAGTTGAGGTGGTTCGGGCATCTGATCCGGATGCCCCCTGGACGCCTCCCAGTAGGGTTGTACCAGGCACGGCCTACTGAGACAAGAACCCGGGGTCGTCCCAGGACCCGCTGGAGAGATTATATCTCCAAGTTAGCCTGGGGGTGGCTTGGGGTCCCCAGGAATGAGCTGGAGGATGTTGCGAATCATCTGGGATTCTCTGCTCTCACAACTGCTGCCGCGACCCTATCTGGACTAAGCGGTTAATGATGATGATGATGATGACCTTCACTTCTGAAGTGTGCTTAGAATAATGTGTAGGGCAAAATAATGGATATACGCTCGCATTCATAATCGCTGTTTTCACTAATCAAAAAATATTGCTGTTGTAAAATGATTATATAATGGGGCTAATACTACTGGTACTCAGATTTCAACTACTTTATAGAAAGCTGTGAAAATGAAGAAATGTTGAGTCCAGAATGATGAACCGAGCTGCAGATGATTCTAAAATGACTGAGAAAGCTGTAGAACACTGAGAATGACGTTCTAAGATAGCGTCTAGCTTATAATATTGGCAAATGTATGTGGACACCTGACTATCACAACTATAGGACATCCCATTCCAAAAGCATGGCCATTAATATGGAGTTGCCACCCTTTGCAGCTACAACATTCTCCACTCTTCTTTCCACAAGATTTTGGAGTGTGTCACTGGGAATTTGTGCCCATTCAGTCAAAAGAGCATTTGTGAGGTCAGACACAGATGTTGGACGAGAGAGCCTGGCTCACAATTGACGTTCCAGGTCATCCCAAAAGTGTTCAGTGGGGTTGAGGTCAGGACTCTATGCAGGTCACTGGAGCTTCTTCACACCAAACTCATCAAACTCTGTCTTTATGAGCTCTCTTTGTGCACAGGGGCTCAGTCATGCTGAACAGGAAAGGATCTTCCCCAAACTCCTGACACAAAGTTGGAAGCACATAATTATATACAATGTCTTTGTTTGCTGTAGCATCAACATCACCCTTCATTGGAACTAAGGGGACCAAACCCTGAAAAACCACCAAACTTTACTGTTGGCACTGTGCATTCCAGTAGGATTTGTTCTCCTGTCATCCGCCAAACCCAGATTCGACCATCAGACTGCAAGAGAGTAAAGCATGATTCATCACTCCAGAGAACATTTTCCTAGCCAACGCTTGGCATTGCATATGGTGATCTTAGGCTTGTGTGCAGCTGCTCAACCATAGAAAAACCCTTTTTATGATGCTCCTGATGCACAGTTCTTCTGCTAATGTTGTTTCAAAAGGCAGTTTGGAACTTACGTGCTATGAGCTTTAACACTTTGCGACCCCGCTCTGTGAGTTTGAGTGCTCTAATGCTTCGTGGCTGAGCTGTTGTTGCTTATAGATGCTTCATATTAATAGCATTTGTAGTTGACTGGAGAAGATCTATCAGGGCAGAAATTTCACGAACTGTCTTGTGGCAAAGGAGGCATAGTGCTGCATTTGAATTCACTAAGCTGTGATCCATTCTACTGCCAATGTTTGTCTATGGAGATTGCAAGGCTATATGCTTGATTGCATACACCTGTTAGTGATGTATGTGGCTGAAACATTAACTTTTATAACTTAATAACTCAAAATTAGGAGAGTTGTCTGCCTGCTTTTGGTTTCACACCTCAGTGGTCTTATAAGGCCACCACACACTGGATGTGCAATGTCCAGAAATTCGAAACCACTGTTTTTGGTGAAGTTTCCATTGATGTGTGTGGCCACTTGAGGACTTGGTAGGTGGTAGGTGATGGGTGGTTTGAAATTTACACCAAGAACTGTAGACAAGTGCTAACCGTTTGTTACCTCAGGTAACATTAGTAGCCTAGTCATTGTTTTTCACCTAATATCTTGTATCTGGAAAACAGCAAGTTATGATGATCAGTTAGCTGATACCAAATGTAACCATTTCATCAAATTATTTTGAATGTTTTATTCAATTAAATTTACACGAGTGGAGTGAAAAATGAGCTTATGTTTGACCAACTACTTTTGGTGGCAGATTTGAATCAGTTAAAGGAGTCTTGTTGTTTATTAAATAGCAATGATGTGAAGATGATGGAGTCTCCGCTGATACCATCTTCCTTTTATAAGATGTTTATTACAAAGTAAAACAGTATCATATCAAGCACCATAAAGTACCTGAGAGGGGATCCATGCCAATTCTAAAGTGTCCCCTTCCGAACAGTATAGCCTACTGCTTTATATAGGGTGACTGCTTTCGACAAAGGGAGCAGAACATATGGTCCTTCTTAAAATAGTCTCATTCTTCTAGAACTAAAAGAGGAAGGGAACCTTGACCCTTGGACCTGTGGACCAGGGGCCCCCTAACTTAAACATTCCAAACCTACAAAGTCAGATAACACATGAAGCTCGGATACTACACCTTCTTCTATAAAGCTACTCTTTTAAAAATACTTCGGGGGGACAAAGAGCTGTTACCACATTCAGGAGAGTCTTTGTACTTGCAGTACAAAAGACCTGCCCAGATGGATGGACAAGGAGAGGCACCAGTATGTACTACATCGGCACAGGAGAGAAGAACTGGCACCAAAGCAGACAGGACTGCAGAGAGAGAGGGTCAGACTTGGTGATCATCAACAGCCGTGAGGAACAGGTGAGCACATATATTGGTCACTCAGTACAGTGGTTTTTCAAATCAGTCCTCAGGAACCCCCAGATGTTCCATGTTTTAGGTCTGTCTCCCTGAGTAAGGTGTCTAAGGATCCCTGAAGACTAATTTGAGAACCACTGACATACTGACATCGCTTCACTGCCTTTTGGCTAAGATCAAGTGTAGTATCTGTTCTTATCAGTTTAGTATCTGATACGTCCTCTATATGAGGACTACATATTAAGTTGATTTTTAGAACAAGGGGACGGAAGAGGGGCTTGCTCTGTTTGCTCCATGCATCGACCTGGTATTGCAGTACCTCCTTTTTGCTAAATTTCCTTCAGGATCAATAAACTATCTATCTATCTCTATCTATCTATCTATCTATCTATCTACTACAAACCCAAATCCCAAAAAGTTGGGACAGTTGGTAAAATGCAAATAAAAACAGAAAGCAGTGATTTATAAAAAAAAATAATTTGATACTTATTTGAACAAAAACAGTACAAAAACTAGATATATACTTATTTTGAAATCAATGCCTACAACATGTTCCAAAATAGGCAACTTAAGACTAGAAACACTGAAGTGTTGAATCATGCTTGAATGTAAAAGGAGCTTCCAGAAAAGGCTGAGTCCTTTATGAGCGAGGATGACTTGAAGCTCGTCACTGCGTCAGCAACAAATCCAACAGTTTCAAAATAACATACCACAACGCTTTTAGGTATTTCCTCCTCTGTAGTGCATAATATCATCATAAGGAAGGAATCATCCAATCCGATATTCCTTCAATATCATTCAAGGAATCCAAAAAAATCTGTGCATGAAGGGCAAGGCAAAACATGCTTTTGTGATGAATATCACCACACGGGCTGGGGAATACTTTGAAAAACCTTTGACAATAAATACTGTGCATTGCTGTATCCACAAATGCAGGTTAAGTGCAAGTTAACCCTAACCCCAGCACATGCTGTTGTAACACGTGCAGAATGTGGTTTGACAACACCAAACCACATTCTTCACGTGTTACAACCGCAGGTCTTCGTAATCAGAGAGTGTGAGTGCTACACTGGCCTGTCCGTCTTCTGTCAAAATTGTGTGGGATATTATTAAGCTCAAAATACGACAGTGAAGACCCCAAATGCACAGCCGAAAACTTGAATAACCCAAAGAATGGCAAAGAATTCTGCATTTAAAATTTAATCAATTTGTGTCTTCAGTGCCGAAACGATTGTGTTGTTAATATTTACAAAAAATAGTGAAGCTATTTACATTGTGCTTGTATTTTGTATTGTTAAGCACTAATAACTGTCCTTATTCAGGAAAAAGATAAGACCCTTTTAAGAAAATCTAGGGTCAAAAAGGCCTCTAAAACGTGTTTTTGTTGTAAAGTCAACATAAATTCATGTGGCTGATTTCCCAGACATGGATGAAGCCTAGTCTTGGACTAAGTTGCAGTGGCAGTGGTAGATTTCCATTTGAAATGGAGTTACGGGATACCGGAAATTTGGGGGGGCAGAAACCCCTCCACCTTCCAGTGTAATGCCCGATAAATTCCCTGCTTGACCTTCTATTTCCCCCTACAACCATCCCAACTCCTCCCTGTTTCTCACTCCTAAGTCAGTCTATCACATTTTTGGAGGGGTCAGGCCTTCTAGCTCTGGGCAGAAGCCACCCAGAACTCCAGTCTAATTTCTCAGAGTTCTCTCCCCTCCCTCAATCAGTCTCCTCTCACACTGCCACCATATGCTCAAGGCACAATCCTACTCGCAGATTTCTTTTTATTCTAAGCTTAGGCTTGATTTGGGTCTGGGAAACTGGCCCACAGTGTACCAGCAATATTAATGCAGAAACCACTGAAGTGTTTCATTTTTTGTTTCTGTGCAGAATAAAAATAATTGAAATAGTATACAGTAAATGTCATATGCTATCCAGTTGTTTTTAAACTGGTCTAGAGGTCCACACACGTTCCGCAACATTCCTGAGTGTAACGTTCTTTGTGTTTCAGAGATTCATACAAGAGCTGAACTTGCAGGTGTGGATTGGGCTGAGTGAGAGTCAATCCACATGGACCTGGGTGGATGGGAGCTCACCATCATCCGAGTAAGGTGGTGCTGACTGTGTACGGGCTCTGGCTTGACTCCAGTCAGCTCAGAATAAATCAGGGCATGAATTTAGAAATGCAAGTGCAATCAGATGTCTGCACGGGTATGAAATTGAAGCCTGTACATGACTCGTACCCACGACTTTGAAACCCAGCCCAGCTGGGCCTGACTGGTACTGCTAAATTTAAAACCTGTGCCTGCTGAAAGAGATGCATTATTATTTTAGCTTATTATCTTAAGCTCTTTTACAGAGCTTTACTCTGTTACTAAGTGCTTGAGTTGACCCAAATCGACCCAAATCCATCCCAAAACCCAACATTTTGTTGAGTTCTGTCAGGTTCAGGCCAGGTAGCAGGCCTCCATATGATTAATAATGTATCCAGTCAACCAAGACATGTTTGGTGTCTGAAGTTTGCTTCTTTAGTTTTGCTATGACCTAGAAATACCTTAGCAACCACCTGGGAAAACATAGCAATGACGTAGAAATACTTTAGCAACCACCTGCGATAACATAACAATGACATTGAAATACCTTAGCAACCACCTGGGATAACAGGTATGACACAGAAATACCTTAGCAACCACCTGCGATAACATAGCAATGACCTTGAAATACATTAGTAACCACCTGGGATAACAGCTATGACCTAGAAATACCTTAGCAACCACCTGTGATAACTTAGCAATGACCTTGAAATACTTTAGCAACCACCTGGGAAAACATAGCAATGATCTTGAAATACATTAGTAACCACCTGGGACAACAGCTATGACCTAGGTAACATAGCAATGGCCAAGCAATATCTTAGCAACCACCTAGGAAAATATAGCAACAGCCTAGTAACACCTTAGCAACCAATTCCATAAAATTCCATAGTAATGGCCTAGCAACATCTAAGCAACCCACTGGGATAACACAGAAGTAGCCTTTTAACACCTTAATAACCACCTGGGAGGACATTGCGATAACATAGCAATGACCTTGAAATACAACACCTGGGTAAATATAGCAACTGCCTGGCAACACCTTAGCTACCACCTGGGGTAACAGCTATGACCTAGATAACATAGCATTTTTTTTCTCAAGGCCTTTGCTGATGAAATGTGTTGTCTAGTCTACAATATTGAATTAAGACTAACATAATAAACTAAGCATTCAAATTATCTGGGCCAGCCATAGTATACAATAGTGTGTTGTGCCATGAGATAAGATTGTCTGGAACTTTTTTCTTAAGCTTTTGTTTTGTTGTATCAGTGAGCCAAAAAAAAATTTGACAAAAATGATCTAAAAACTATCTAAAGAATTATTTAAAAAAAGGTGAGGTAAATTCTAAGTACAGCGTGAAGATGGTTTTCATAAGACAGAACCTAGTGTTTTATTCTCTCTATTGAAACTCTAGGTACTGGATAAATGGAGAACCTAATGAATATCGAACTGGAGAGGACTGCGCAGAGAGCAAGCCAAACTACGAACCTCCGAACACCTGGAATGACGAGAGGTGCAGCACTGTTCTGAACTGGGTCTGTGAAAGAGAGGCCTGTTAAAAACAACATGTGTGATATATTATTATCAACCGCCATGACTTTCAGTTGGTGTTGAGTAGAGCTGCTGCAATTTACTGACATTATTGGCTATGTCGACTCTGAAAACGGCCCTGGACAAATTATGTTTTGTTGATTTTCTAAGTGTAAATAAGTTTAACACATTGTGTACAGAAAGCACACTTAAATATGGCATTTTTCTCTGCAAAATTTAGCGCAAAACTTTTGTGTATATGCTGAATTTGACATACTAGAAAAAATAAAACCTAAAATATAAAATGTGCCATAGCTTTTGCACAGGGGACATTTCATTTTTTTCCCCATATGTTGAATTTGGCAAATAAACAGTGACGGCATTAAAACGTGAAAATAAAGTCTTTTAACTTTTTTTTCCTTCCCCAATTTTCTCCCCAATTTAGTCGTATCCAATTCCACCCACTAAATAAGACTCCCTGATCACAGAATTCCACCAGCGCTAGGTGGGCGAAGGCTAGTATAGGCTTCCTCTGAGACCTGTGAAGTGCCACCGCACCTTTTCGAAATGCCGCAACATCATTGGACAGCCAAATGCGCTGGGAGGAAAGCACCAACCGCCAGATCTGTTGCATCATCTAACAGACGTCTGCGCGGACTAGTATTGCGCTGAGTGATGAGGGGAGACAAGGGGCCATCCTACCCACCCAGGGGGCCAATTGTGCTCTCTTGGACTCCCGACCACAGACGGCTGTAGCATCACCAGGAATCGAACTTGGAATCTCCTGATGATATGGCCAACATTAAGATGGTTGCACTACGTGGGAACCCCCAATGTTAACTTATTTTAACTTACAGAATAACCAAACATGGAATTTGACCAAAGATGCTCAATAGTTGGCCAATTCAGATTTTTTATATTGTTTGTTTTATGTGCCATCAACACTTCTGAGAAGATTAAGAAGCCGTGTAAGAAGTATTTAGTGAGAGGTCTTAACTCCTAATTACAAACATCATAAAAGTACCAATTACTGTTATTTTTATGCACTTTAAGGCTGTCAGAAACTTTTTCTATAGAGGCTCATGAAACCAAACAAATATCCATGTAACTCCTTCAAAAGCTCCTTATAGTGATGCAGGTTTGTTGTGTAAAGCACTTTTATGTTGTGAGCAGTTGTGAGCGTCATAAAGTCTGACTGATTTATCAAACTCAGCAGCTGAGCTAAGAAGCCAACTTAGCTAAGTAATCTTAACGTTTTTCTGCAACATCATTTATGGTTAGACATCAGAATAGAGAACTTCAGGCCTCACACGGTCCTCAGGAATGTTTCCACCATCTCTTTGGCCTAATAATTTGGACTAATTTACTACCACCGCGGTTCTGACTGCAGGATTGTTTTGAGGAGTCCTGTTGAAGTTCTCTGAAGGAACGTTAGAGATGAGATATGGTAATCATAATTTTATAAATGGTCAATTTCACGAGTAAATTGTCTACGCCTGCAGCTGAAAATCCTGTAGCTGTCATTCCCTCCTCAGAAAATGTAGTAACAGTAACCAAGAGCGAGTGAAGGATTGAACCTTTATGAAAAGCAACTTTTGCATGGCTTGTTTAATAATGAGACCATGCCATAAACATTGAAAGAACTCGAGTATGCGGTTAATTATTTGAAGTGGCAGAGAAAATGTATAAGCTAACAGTTCTATGAAACAGCACTTTTATGGTTAAACAGCACTTTGAACTATTACGGTGTTGTTCATATCCTCGAGTAAGAATATTACACGTTGCCACCCCGACACACAAGAGCCAGAATGTGAGCTCATTGCCAAGGACATGTGGTAAAAGAAGTGGCTGAGAAGGCAGATGCAGTGTGGCTTTGGAGCCAACTAGGCTAGTAGTAGTAGTACAGGGAGATTCATTATTCATTCTGTAATAACTCTCTCTAGGACGAAGCAATCTGAACGAAACAATGTGCAATGTGCTTCTCAGTATATGGAGCTTCGAACAAGCCAGGATGCCCCTGTGTCAGGGCGATGAGGTAGGCGCCGGACGGTCGTCGCAACGTTTAACCTCTGTTTGCAACTTCTGGGTGAATACCCCTGCACCCCATCATGTGTCTGGCAGGAAACGGAGATCACTTCCAGCATCGCATGTAATGCAATCGATTACACATATGTCAAGGTATGTAGCGAATTTTTTGGTTCACATTGCTTCACCCTAATGGGACGGTAGTTGCAACAGAATATTTGGGACCCCTTTTTCCAGTGAATCTCCCTGTAGCAGTTGTAGTAGTAGTAGTAGTAGTAGTAGTAGTAGTAGTAGTAGTAGTAGTAGCAGCAGTAGTAGTAGAATTTGCAGTATTAGCAGCAGTAGTAGTATTAGTAGCAGTAGCAGCAGTAGTAGTAGTTGCAGTATTAGCAGCAATAGTAGTAGAAGCTGTAGTAGTAGCAGTAGTAATAGCAGTAATAGCAGTAGTAGTAGCAGTTGTAGCAGCAGTAGTAGTAGAAGCTGTAGTAGCAGCAGTAGTAGCAGCAGTAGTAATAGCAGTATTAGCAGTAGTAGTAGCAGTTGTAGCAGCAGTAGTAGTAGTGGTAATAGTAGCAGCTGTAGTAGCCATAGTAGAAGTAGTACCAGTAGTATCCCTAGGGGCAGTTGTAGGAGCAGTTGCAGCATTAGTAGTAGAAGCTGTAGTAGCAGCAGTAGTAGTAGCAGTAGTAGTGGTAGTAGTAGAAGCTGTAGTAGCAGCAGTAGTAGTAGCAGCAGCAGTAGTAGTAGTAGTAGCCATAGTAGAAGTAGTACCAGTAGTATCCATAGGAGCAGTAGTTGTAGCAGCAGCAGCAGCAGTAGTAGTAGTGGTAGTAGCAGCAGCAGCAGTAGCAGTAGCAGTAGCAGTAGTTGTAGTGCTCTTTCGTGGTCTTTTCAGAAGGTGTTGATTGGTTTTGCAGCTACTGTGAAGGTCTTGACTTCAAATTTAGTCAACTCCTGGCTGGCTCGCCAAATAATATATTCTTTGAATTTAGTTACTTGAAATAAACTGACAGAAACTGCATGCTTGAGAGGTGAATTTATATCTTACATTAAAGATAACTTTTTACAAAGATGATAACGGGTTGACCGTTTCCTTTCTTCTCCATACTCTCCTCTTTGCTCTGAGCAGAGAATACAGATTAGCACATTATTGCTTACAAAGACCATTTCAGGAAAAACAGCAAAAGAAAGAAATCATTCAGAGATAAATGACATGCTTCTGAGGCATTAAAACTGTTCTTCTTCTTAAAACTAACTATAGTAAAAAGTATAGAATATTAGATAAGGTTTCCATTTTTAAGCATCATTTACATGTAGATAATATAGATACAGGCAAGTTGTTGACAAAGACTGGACCCGTACTGTGATTTGCAAACCAATACGTCAAAGAAAGCCAAAGTAGCGGCAATGGAAAGCATTCATCCAAGTGCCGAAAGGCTCCTAACCCTCATCTTCAGGGAAATAAAGAGGGAGAAACTGCAAAGGCACAGAATGCTGAGCACCAGAAATCTGGGAATGTACATTACCTATGCAGCCACACTGGTCATCAGTGAAAGAATCACAGTTGTAAACAATGTTTACATGCAGCAATTGCAAAAGGAAAGACAGGACAGCTGCTAGATGGGCCATAGGCTGACCTACAGATGGACTTCTCCCACCAAAAAAGGGGGGGTTACAGATACATTTTGATAAAATTTGTGGATATTTTCACATGATGGCAGAATTTTGCAGCATATGCAGGCAGTACAGGAGAGTGTTTGTTTCCTGTGTGAGGAAATATTGTGTAGGTGTCATTTTGTATATGTGCAGAAAGTGACACTCGTTATCTGATCTGTCTTAGATTCTGCAGAAATGTGGTGAGCTATTGCGCAAGAGTGGAACAGTTTGAACTCACTCAGAGCATCACGAGCAGTGACTTGGGTTAAACTTGGGTTCAACGGAAGAGGGAGATTCTTGGGTGAATATATTGAAAATAATTCATTGTTTATTCTGGTTTTGTTACCTTTCACTTTTGGACTTGTTAAAAGTTGTATAGTGATTATTTAACCTTTGTTAACCTCCTCAGCTCCCCTCATGACTCCAACAGTGAATGGAGTAAATCATGGTCTTCTTTGGTTACATTTACAGCATTTGGCAGACACTTTTATTCAGAGCGACTTACAATTTGATCATGTTCTGCACAGGTAGGTGAAGGTAGTGTTAGGAGTCTTGCCCAAAGACTCTTGCGCTATGTTTACACAGCAGGTAAAAGTGGCCCAAATCTGATCTTTTTCTCCGTATGTGACACAGATGTGCGTCTATGTGTCAGTGTGAACAGATAAACACACTGAATCTGGCATTTTCAATTCCGATTTGAGACGCTTTCGTATGCGGTACTGAAATCTGATACGTATCCGATGTGCAGCAATGTGACTCAGTCTGAACAGCCAGATCGGAATTCATGGTTAAGTTTAGGGTTAGGACTAGGGCCAGGATGAGGGTTAAGTTTTGGGTTGAGGTTGAGGTTAAAGTTTGGGTTAGGATTAGGGCCAGAGTAAGGGTTAGGTTTTGGGTTGAGGTTAAGTTTAGGGTTAGGACTAGGGCCAGGTTGAGGGTTAAGTTTTGGGTTGAGGTTGAGGTTAAGGTTTGGGTTAGGATTAAGGCCAGGGTTAGGGTTAGGTTTTGGGTTAAGGTTAATGTTAGGGTTATAATTAGGGCCAGGGTGAGGGTTAGGTTTTGGGTTGAGGTTAAGGTTAGGATTAGGGTCAGGGTTAAGGTTAGGTTTTTTGTAACATTGGTAAGGTTAGATTTTATGTAATTGAAGTAACATTAACAAAACATCTACTTATTGTAGATGATGTATCAACAGAACATCTGCAAGATATTTACTTCAGTGTATTCAGATGCTTCACTACTGCTACTTCACTGATATGTTGTTGTGTTACTGATAATCTGTTAAGAGTTTATTAATCATCTACAAAGGATCACTCCAAATAAAGTGTTACCAGGCGTTTTTGTAAGCATCAGTTTGTGGTGGATGGCTCAGTACACTCACGTTAGCTTAGGCTTGCAGGCTACAGCTTAAAGCACTACAGAACAGGTTAGATTTCAGCTTTCTGTCACTCCAACACGGATCACTTGACTTTGCTCTCGCTGTTATAAGTTT